ATCAATTGGGTACTGATCCAAAACGCTGGTACTGGACCAACATTGAGCATCTCACCAATAATTTGGTACTGATACAACATGTGGGTACTAGTCTAACAAAGACTCACATTGAATATCTTCCCAACAACTAAGTACTGATCAAACACGTGGGTACTGGTCCAACATAGACTCACATTGAGTTTCTCCCCATCAACTGGGTACTGATCCAACACGTGGGTGCTGGTCCAACATAGACTCACATTGAGTATCTCACCAACAATCTTGTACTAATACAACACGTGGGTACTGGTCCAACATAGACTCACATTCAGTATCTCCCCATCAATTGGGTACTGATCCAACACGCTGGTACTGGTCCCACATACACTCATATTGAGTATCTCCCCAATAGGTGGGTTCTGATCCAGCAAGTGGATACTGGTCAAACATAGACTCGCATTGAGTATCTACCCAACAATTGGGTACTGATCCAACACTTGAATACTGGTCAAAAAAAGACCAACATTGAGTGTCTTTCAAACAATTGGTTACTGATCAAACGAATGGGTTATGGTCCAACATAGACTCACATTGAGTATCTCACCAACAATTGCTTACCGATCCAACTCGTCGGTAGTGGTCGAACATTGACTCACATTGTGTATCTCCCCTTCAATTGGGTACTGATCTAGCACGTGAGCACTGGACAAATATAGACTCACAATGAGTATCTCCCCATCAATTAACTACTGATCCAGCACTTTGGTAGTGGTCCAACATAGACTAATATTGAGTATCCCCCCATCAATTGGGTACTGATCCAAGCCGTGGCTACTGGTCCAACACAGACCCACATTGAGTATCTTCCCAACAATTAAGTAATGATCAAAGACGTGGGTACTGGTCCAATATAGCCTCACTATGAGTTTCTCCACATCAACTGGGTACTGATCCAACACGTCGGTACTGGTCCAACATAGATTCACATTGAGTATCTTCCCAACAATTCAGTACTGATCAAAGACGTGGGTACTGGTCCAACATAGATTCACATTGAGTGTCTTCCCATCAATTGGATACTTATCCAACACATGGGTTCTCGTCCAACATAGACTCACATTGAGTTTCTCCCCATCAACTGGGTACTGATCCAACACGTGGGTGCTGGTCCAACATAGACTCACATTGCGTATCTCACCAACAATCTTGTACCAATACAACACGTGGGTACTGGTCCAACATAGACTCACATTCAGTATCTCCCCAACAATTGGGTACTGATCCAACACGCTGGTACTGGTCCCACATACACTCATATTAAGTATCTCCCCAATAGGTGGGTTCTGATCCAGCAAGTGGGTACTGGTCTAACATAGACTCGCATTGAGTATCTACCCAACAACTGGGTACTGGTCCATAATAGACTCACATTGAGTGTCTTTCAAACAATTGGGTACTGATCAAACGAATGGGATATGGTCCAACATAGACTCACATTGAGTATCTCCCCAACAGTTGGGTACCGATCTAACTCGTGGGTAGTGGTCGAACATTGACTCACATTGTGTATCTACCCAACAATTGGGTACTGATCTAGCACTTTGGTAGTGGTCCAACATAGACTAATATTGAGTATCTCCATAACAATTGGGTACTGATCAAACACGATAGCACTGGTCTCACATACACTCATATTGAGTATCTCTACAATAGGTGGCTTCTGATCCAACAAGTGGGTACTGGTCTAAGATAGACTCGCATTGAGTATCTCCCCAACAATTGGGAACTGATCAAACACGATAGCACTAGTCTCACATACTCTCATATTGAGTATCTCTACAATAGGTGGCTTCTGATCCAACAAGTGGGTACTGGTCTAAGATGGACTCGCATTGAGTATCTCCCCAACAATTGGGAACTGATCCAACACCGGAGTAATAGTCCAACATAGACTCACATTCAGTATCTCCACAACAATTGGGTACTGATCCAACACGCTGGTACTGGTCCCACATACACTCATATTGAGTATCTCACCAATAGGTGGGCACTGGTCAAGCACGTGCATACTGGTCCAACATAGACTCACATTGAGTATCTCACCAATAATTTGGTACTGATACAACATGTGGGTACTAGTCTAACAAAGACTCACATTGAATATCTTCCCAACAACAAAGTACTGATCAAACACGTGGGTACTGGTCCAACATAGACTCACATTGAGTTTCTCCCCATGAACTGGGTACTGATCCAACACGTGGGTGCTTGTCCAACATAGACTCACATTGAGTATCTCACCAACAATTGGGTACTGATCCAGCAAGTGGATACTGGTCCAACATAGACTCGCTTTTAGTATCTCAACAACAATTGGGAACTGATCCAACACGCTGGTACTGGTCCCACATACCCTCATATTGAGTATCTCCCCAACAGGTGTGTTCTGATCCAGCAAGTGGGTACTGGTCCAACACAGACTCACATGGAGTATCTCCCCAACAATTAGGTACTGATCCAACACTTGAGTACTGGTCCAAAATAGACACACATTGAGTGTTTTACAAACAATTGGGTACTGATCCAACACGTGGGTTATGGTCAAAATATAGACTCACATTGAGTTTATCCCCAACAATTTGGTACTGATCCAACACGCTGGTACTGGTCCCACATACACTCATATTGAGTATCTCCCAAATAGGTGGGTTCTGATCCAGCAAGTGGGTGCTGGTCCATCATAGCCTCACATTAAGTATCTCCACAACAATTGGGTACTGATCCAACACAAGGGTTCTGATCCAGCAAGTGGGTGCTGGTCCAACATAGACTCGCATTGAGTATCTCCCAAACAATTAGGTACTGATCCAACACTTGAGTACTGGTCAAAAATAGACTCACATTGAGTATCTCCAACAATTGGCTACCGATCCAACTCGTGGGTTGTGTCGAACATTGACTCACATTGTGTATCTCCCCATCAATTGGGTACTGATCTAGCACGTGAGCACTGGACAAATATAGACTCACAATGAGTATCTCCACAACAATTGGGTACTAATCCAACACGCTGGTACTGGTCCCACATACACTCATATTGAGTATCTCACCAATAGGTGGCTTCTGATCCAGCAAGTGGCTACTGGACCAACATAGCCTCACATTAAGTATCTCCACAACAATTGGAAACTGATCCAACACGTGGGTTATGGTCCAACATAGACTCATATTGAGTATCTCCCCAACAATTGGGTACTGATCCAACACGCTTATACTGGTCCCACATACACTCATATTGAGTATCTCCCCAATAGGTGGGTTCTGATCCAGCAAGTGGGTATTGGTCCAACATAGACTCAAATTGAGTGTCTTCCAAACAATTGGGTACTGATCCAACGCATGGGTTATGGTCCAACATAGACTCACATTGAGTATCTCCCCAACAATTGGGGACTAATCCAACGCATGGGTTATGGTCCAACATAGACTCACATTGAGTATCTCCACAACAATTGCGTACTGATCCAACACGCTGGTACTGGTCCCACATACACTCATATTGAATATCTACCCAATAAGTGGGTTCTGATTCAGCAAGTGGGTACTGGTCCAACATAGTCTCGCATTGAGTATCTCCACAACAATTGGGTACTGATCAAACGCATGGGTTATGGGCCAACATAGACTCACATTGAGTATCTCCCCAACAATTGGGGACTAATCCAACGCATGGGTTATGGTCCAACATAGACTCACATTGAGTATCTCCACAACAATTGCGTACTGATCCAACACGCTGGTACTGGTCCCACATACACTCATATTGAATATCTACCCAATAAGTGGGTTCTGATTCAGCAAGTGGGTACTGGTCCAACATAGTCTCGCATTGAGTATCTCCACAACAATTGGGTACTGATCAAACGCATGGGTTATGGCCCAACATAGACTCACATTGAGTATCTCCCCAACAATTGGGGACTAATCCAACGCATGGGTTATGGTCCAACATAGACTCACATTGAGTATCTCCACAACAATTGCGTACTGATCCAACGCATGGCTTATGGACCAACATAGACTCACATTGAGTATCTCCCCAACAATTGGGGACTAATCCAACGCATGGGTTATGGTCCAACATAGACTCACATTGAGTATCTCCACAACAATTGCGTACTGATCCAACGCATGGGTTATGGTCCAACATAGACTCATATTGAGTATCTCCCCAACAATTGGGGACTAATCCAACGCATGGGTTATGGTCCCACACAGACTCACATTGAGTATCTCCACAACAATTGCGTACTGATCCAACGCATGGGTTATGGTCCAACATAGACTCACATTGAGTATCTCCACAACAATTGCGTACTGATCCAACGCATGGGTTATGGTCCAACATAGACTCATATTGAGTATCTCCCCAACAATTGGGTACTGATCCAACACGCTGGTACTGGTCCAACATAGACTCACATTGAGTGTCTTCCAAACAATTGGGTACTGATCAAAAACGTGGGTACTGGTCTACATAGACTCACATTGAGTATCTCCCCATCAATTTGGTACAGATCCAACAAGTAGGTTCTGGTCCAACGTAGACTCACATTGAGTATCTAAAACAAAATGGGTACTGATCCAGGACGCTGGTACTGGTCCAATATAGACTCCCATGGGATTTCTCCCATCAATTAGGTACTGATCAAACGCGTGGCTACTCGTCCAACGTAGACTCACAATAAGTATCTCCCCAACAATTGGGTACTGATCCAACACGCTGGTACTTGTCCAACATAGACTAACATTGCATATCTAGATACTCCAACAGTTGGATACTGATCTAACACTTGGGTACTGGTCCAACGCTGACTTACCTTGAGTATCTGGCCATCATCTTGTCACTGGTCCAACGCTGACTTACCTTGAGTATCTGTCCATCATCTTGTCACTGGTCCAACGCTGACTTACCTTGAGTATCTGTCAATCATCAGGGTACTGGTCCAACGCTGACCTACCTTGAGTATCTGGCCATCATCAGGGTACTGGTCCAGAACGACCTGCAATTGCTTGACAAGGGTAGGCAGCTCCATACATGTGTAGCCATCATCGTCTGATTCTTTGTAAAAGAACGTCTTCTTAATAAAATACATATGTTACCCTTCCCCGTTTCGATCATTCGAGTGTTCGTATATATACTGAACCATAAAAGAAACGTCACCATGGATAGATATATGAGAAGCCCAATTTGTCCAAACACTGAAAACATACTTGGAGACATATTAAAAAGATTAAACCTGACAAAACTGATCATCAAGGTTGAAATTAAAGTGTCAAATGTTCTTAAAGTGAAACACAACACTAGTCTCTCAGAAAATGGCATCACAAGTCAGTATCTCGTGTGTCCGCCATGTGCATTGATGACTGCCGTGCAACGTCGATACATGGAATGGATGAGGCGGCCACTGCATGGTTCTGATGCCATTCTGCTGGGGGAAGTCTCTTGTTGCTCTCACACTATGGACATGGGCGTTATCATGCTGAATCTCGTGGCTGCGGCGACGTGCCAAATGAGGTATGGCGTGTGGTCTCAAGACTTTGTCCAGCTTGCAATCGGCCAAGAGCTTGGTGTCACTGATTTTTTGTCAATCTTGGCATGTGGTAGAAATTCAATAACGAACGAATGTTAACCGATCTGGGTGCATTTTTATAGGGCAAGAAATGGGGGAACGCATGTGCATTTCAATTTGCACAGAACTCACGTGTATCGGCTTACCATGGCCATTGCCGTGATGCGTTTAGGCGATTGGTTTTATTGTCATCTGCTTTGTTTTTTATCATCAAATTTCATTTTTCCGGACATGGTAATGTTAAATTTTAGAAACTTTGACAAAAAGTACCCACATATTTAAATGACAACTTTTCATGCAAATTTACTTGGGGTGACGTTTCTTTTGCAGTTCAGTATACATGCTACTGAGTACTTTCTTTTTCTTTTCTTTAGCCAAGTTGAATTATGTATATTGATGGTTGATGGTTATTATGCATACTTTATATTTTAAACAAGTAGACGATTTGAATACATTGATGTTTTTGAATCTTTTAATTTGCTTCAACTGATTGTAACTCACCAGCTGACTGTGTATCTTGGTCCATCTTGAGCTGAGTGTCACCAAAGTTTTATGCCGAACAATGTCCAGTGGCAACCTGAAACAGTAACAGAAATCGATTAGGTTCAGATGACAAAGGATCAGATAATTCATCTTGACCTGGGCTAAGCATACCCTCCAAAGTATGCAGTCTATACTCGGGTGCAACTCCTGATGACTCCTCAGTAGGAAACACAACTCTTAAAACAAGTTGATCCACACAAGTAACAGTCTGCATACGGTAGCGCTCAAGCTTAACCTAGGATTAATCTACTGTATTGGGTTACTGTTTTAAATTTGTCACTGTTATCTAAAAGAGATTACTCAACCCTGAGTCCTTCCTGCACTTTGCCAGCTTGATCAAAGTCCATATTACAGGATGGTAACGCCACACCACATCGTGTTATAGTGGTGACCGAGTTCCTGATTCGGCTGCGATTGAACATGCATGGGACGAGGTAGGGAGAAACAGCCATGGACCACCAGCAAATATACGGGAATTAGGACAGCACCTTCCAAGCAAGTGGCAGGCTATTCCCCATGGGTTTTGAAACGTCTAATTAACAACACGGACGGACGTATATACGTCTCTGGTTTACTGCAGTATAAATATCACTTTTCTCAACTTCAGAAAATGTTTTGACGCTGAAGTATGTAATATATCAGAAATCTTATAATTGCAATTTCTAGGCCTGTGGTTATCGATGTTGTTGAAATATGTAAGCCTAAGGAGAAGGACTAGCTAGTTGTCAACTTGTGCCGAATCTGTATTAGACGATACCTTAAAATTGTGTATGCAAAACATATTGTCAACGGTACCTGACAATGAGCCAACTTGACGTTGCTACATCAATGTCAGTTTGACACGCCTGGTGCTGCGTATATATTGCGTCACCATAGCAACATGCTTGGGACTTGCACTTCCAGCTGAACATGATATTTTTATCATGGTGTCGGTTTAGACAGACATATTTCTTGTTCTGCAAAGCCTAATAACACCACATCTAATCTGGTAAACAAGTTAATATCTAAAGATCTCCATACTCACATGTGCTCCCTACAGCTATTGACTGAACTGTGTACGTGACAGGGTATCTGTAGTCAAGTAATAAGGCCTTAGCGATGCCATATAGGGACAACAATGGATTCCAGGAAAAATGAGTCAGGGCGTTCATGGGTCATATATATATACCCGTTGATACATTGTAAACCATATTGTAGAGGACACAAATCTACAAATGGTGGATTTGTACATGTATGGTACAGAGGGTCAAATACAGTCAGTATTTGTTTTAGTTTGGAAACAAAAGGTTCTGTCATGATAGAACGTCGTTTTACAGAAAAAAAGTATAATTGCAAATGTTTAAAATATTGCTGTAAAACAATGTTACCATCATTCATTTACCAAGATAGACATACTCACGTTCACGTCCCAGCAAGATGTCTGCACTGCCTACAGAATATGGGGACCACACAAGGTATGCCTTTTCCATGAAGTAATAACTACGTCATATGCTAGCATGATAACAGTTGATAATGTTCCGTGAGTCACCTACTGATAAGATAACGAGTCTGTATAGTCACAGGCTATATGTCCTTATAGGGTAGTTATCGACATTTCGTGTTTGGAGGTGCATGACTAGGGTATGATGTAATCTGGACACATTCGTGACAAACTCGTGTTATTCAGGAACAAGCCGAATAGCGACTCGTGCCCCTGTTTGCGACTGAGTGAGTGAGTGAGTGAGTGAGTGAGTATGTGTTTACGCCGCTTTTAGCAATATTCCAGCAATATCACGGCGGGGGACACCAGAAATGGGCTTCACACATTGTACTCATGTCAGGAATCGAACCCGGGTTTTCGGCATGACGAACTAACGCTTTAACCACTAGGCTACCCGACCGCCCTGTTTGCGACTGGGCTCCGTGTAAAAACAAACGGGCATAGCTTAAAGAATTGTCAACTCGTTGCGTAATGATTCACGTATATTTGATATAATGATAAAAAGTTGGGAAGTGTAACCTTCGTTTCAACGAATGCAGAGTAAATGATATCACATGATTAATTCTAAAGTGTGTGTGTGTGTGCGTGCGTGCGTGCGTGCGTGCGTGTGTGTGAAGGCAATAGATGAGGCATTGTTCCATGTTTGGCTTTTGGTCAGCTGGACAGGTGTGAAGGGTAAACAAAGAAACACCCATGCTGCGGTTTTCATTCAGCAGTTCGAGCTCCAACACAGGAGAATGTGATCGTTTACTGAAGAACAGATAGAGAATGGCGATGGACAGAAGTTAACAGTACTGAGATCAGGAAGACGATTTCGAATGTCAGCTGTAGTTGTGCATATGAGCTGATAGATCACAGTTCTGGGTAATAGAATGTGACACTGTGTCTATTAGTGTATAGTTGTCAAACAATCAATATCAGTATTAAACGAGACATGAACGAAGTATTAACAACTCATGTATGTCTTAAATATGAACAATTATCAACCATATGGGATGTGCATTCTTCACAACAATGAACACTATTCACGTTACAGTCAACCCCGCGTATAACAAACTCCTGTAGACAATCATTTCATTAAATCCGATCCCGTAATTCACAGAATAATAAGATCACTACTTGGATGCGGTATAGTCGAGGTTTCGTGATATTTCTCATTAGCCTTTCCTTCTTTCTCAAATATATATAAATAAAAAACTATCGATTATCCGCCGAAACAGGTTCAATTGGGCGAACAAAGCAAACTAGTGGTCAACATTACATGAATGGATCACTAAAAACCAGTGATGACACCGGGTGTCAGCATGTCCTGCCCTACCGGACATTCGTTTGTCCAAGTTAATTGAGCTGGGTCCCATCAAACCGTCGCAAATTGTAAAATATATTGTGAAGATGCCAGATGTTTTTGTTGTTTGTTTGTTGTTTAACACCACATTCAGCAATATGCTAGCTATATGACGGCGGTCTGTAAATAATCGAGTCTGGAGCAGACAATTCAGTGATTGGCATCATGAGCATCGATACACGCAATTGGGATATGATGAAATGTGCATCAACCAAGTCAGCGAACCTGACCATCCGACCCCGTTAGTCGCCTTTTACGACAATCATAGTCGTATTTTACGGCAAGCACCCGGATCTTCACGGATCAGAAGCGTGATGACAACAAAGAGGAGGCAGCTAGCAGAAGATGAATTGAGGCAAAACGGACACAACCCTTTCCATAATGGTAAAAGAAAACTCTGCTAAAAAACAGTGTATGATTCCGACTATATCATTAGTATGTGTGATGATACCAGGTGTTTTCGAAAAGGTAAGGGTTAAACCCTATGTTAAAGTATGGGACTTACAATCACCTCGTACAGTCTGCTACCTCCCTATCTGTAGCTCAACACTGTGATCCACGCTGTCTTCCAGCGTATGAACTGAAACCGGTCGGCTTCCCTTACAATTTAGCTGAACGCCATACTGGGGATAAACCTATCGCGTGATTGCTGTCTATGTCATGCAACTAATGACTGGTACCGTAGTTACGTGTAAGCGTATTCCTCCACGCTAGCGGGGGCCTGACTGATCAATGTTGTGCACTGAACAGAACTGCGACGCGTGTAACTTAAACCAAGCATTCTTTCTGAGTTGAAAAAATGTGGTTTGCGCCGCTCTTATCAATATATAATGACGGGGACACCAAAGGCTTCATACAGTGTACACCCGTGAAGATCCGGGGTAGAATAGGTATTCAGCAACCCATGCTTGCCGTAAAAGGCGACTATGATTGTCGTAAAAGGCGACAAACGGGATCGGGTGGTCAGGCTCGCTGACTTGGTTGATGCATATCATCGTGTTGCGTGGATCGATGGTCATGATGCTGGATTGTCTGATCCAGACTCGATTATTTACGGACCGCCGTCATAAAGCTGGAATATTGCTGAGTGCGGCGTTAAACAACAAACAAACAAAAACTGACCAGCCTCCATCGCGCATCACGGTGTGAGGAATGTGACTTAGGTCGTATGTGGCTGCCGTGATACCACAACACTGATTTTATTAAGTCGGATACGAATTCTATGTATTGACTTTTAAATGGTCACTTGTTAAGAAAATGAACGTCCACATTAACATATTGCAAATATACATAAGGCATTCAACAAGAAAGCATGAGGTTCAGACCAAGTTGTATTCATTTACACTTGTGGCACACAACCTTCAGTCCACAGAGTACATGAGAAACATGATGCGACATTTTACAATCGTGGATCTGGTTGTCAATGACGTCATTGGTGCCTTTGCCTCATGACGTGGGTGTCCATCATGGGCCCTGGTGCATGTCTGCAACCATCTCGGCATAACAACAGAAAATTATAAATTATAAATCCAGTATGGAAACCGTTTTGTAAATGCAAAAGATCGATTGTGATGTTGACGTAACGCCATCACCCGTTTGGAGGATCATGGCATATGTTTGACAACTGACCAACGATGTGTCCCATTTATAGGCCCTGGGTGCATTTAATTCACGCGCAACATCTGGTAGTCATGAATTTTTGTCTTTTATAATATTTTAAACACAATTGACCTCTTTCTGAAAAACACTTCATGTGATCACCATCCCCAGGTACAGCGGGTATGCTCATAAATGTCATATTCAGTTTCTTCAGCAACATAGAATTAGCTTTTCCACAGAAACAAACCAGTTCGTTGTACGACAGTCAACACATGTGAGAGATATAAACCAGGTTTGCCTCAATTCTGTATTTATTCAAAACAAACGCTGTCATACTTGGTACAGACTTAACATGGCCTGCATCACGACTGGGACTTAGTTTAGTGTTGTCAGCAGTTTCCCATACGGTGCAGACATAGTATGCCTCTGTGTGTGCGTGCGAGCGTGTGTGTGTCACTGTCATACATGTCTGTGTGTCTCGGTGTGAGTGTGTTGCTGAATGTCTGTGTGGGTGGAAGTACGTGTGTGTGCGTGCGTGTGTGTGTGTGTGTGCGTGCGTGCGTGCGTGCGCGCGTGTCATTGTCTGTGTGTGTGAGTTGAATGTCTGTCTTCGAATCTGTTTTCGTGACAGTGACATCTCAGTTAAAATGAAACACTTTTAAAGATATGTAATATATAGACATACAACTTTTATTTTCTATAAAGGTTAAAAAATAAGTAAATAAGCAATCTTCGGTGTTAAAGGTTATTTCAAGTCATTTAAAATAATCAGTTTAAAAGCAATGTAACATACATGTATATATGTAGATTTATGGACAACAGGTCACTTGTGAGTGAGTGAGTGAGTGAGTGAGTGAGTGAGTTAAAATGTATGTCGCATCGGCATCATTTCAGCCAGGTCACTCATGTAATATATACATTTTTTTGCATTTCTGCTTTTCATTTCATTATAAACTACATACAATATACAATATAGTACACACAGATGACACAATTACAGGCTCTCCTTCCAGGAAAAGAATTTAAATAAACTTCATTTGTAGCATTATTCATTCAAAATTAAGTATTGAGTTTTTAAAAATTGATTTATTTTTTTTTAACAAATAGACAGTATAGGACTCAACAAATCATTCTGTGTGCTCAGAGCACGAGTACTTTATATGATCTTCCTTCAGAAAGTGTGTATCATGCACTATTAAACACCATACAGATATAAGAAAGACTTCTTACTTGTGCATTTCACCTACTCAACACAAGTAAATACAAACATGAACACGTGATCACGGCAATAACAATAACACGAGCACTGGAAAACAGAAATTGCAAGAATGTTGCAGATCATAACATTTCAAATCCATCACAGTTTGCTTTATAAAATATACATAAAAATGGTTGACGACAACATGAAAAACATATTTCATACATCGGGTTGCCCTTTGGCATCATATTCCTGTGGAGCTTGGCTACACTGAAGGGCGATGGGGTTTTATTATTGGTGTTAAGCGGATGAGATAAATGTGATCGGGAAATTATCCTTAAAAACAATGGTATCCAGCACATACAGATCTCAATGAGCAAACAACTCCTCTACGATACTGCCGACTGCACAGTTTCCCTAACACGTCACCATCTGGCACAGCCCTCGCCAGCAGCAAATAACGACTGTGTTCCTCTGTCTCTTCATCCTAATGAGTCCTGGAACATTACGCTACCACATTGTCAAAAGCAGTTATCATGAGCACTAAATATTTTCGACCAATAGATCAATCAATCAGATCGGTGAGGCAGTTCTTCACCAAGCTCAGCCAAGATGCTTATTCCAAGCCATCATAGGTTGGGGTCAACCCTCACAAGAACCAAAAGAGAAATGAACATAAATATATAAGTTCTACCTATATGAAAGTGGTAAACGATGACGATTGTGTCAACATTTAAGGCCATCAGTACATCTCACCAGCAGTAAGACCCGCGTGATTGTCACAGTCCTTGGGAACGGTAGGGACACTTCTATACAGTCTTTCACACTATATTACGAAGGCTAAAATCAAATTGCGATTATACATCTGACATTGTCATTCATCCAATATTTTCCCTTACATAATAGTTCAGCGTTTGATAGTCCAGTGTGTCTTTGAATGTCTTTCTCATGTGCAGAGGTAAATGGTTTGATCACTCGTTTAAAGCACGTAACCCAGGTGCATTTAAATAACATAGATGCTTTTAAAGTATCCCTACAAATTAAATTGTCAAGATCATCATACAAAAAAGCCAGAACATTAACATCAGCCAACCAAAAATAACGCCAGTGTAAAACAGTTACCATTAGCCTTCAGTTATCATTTCATACTAAATCTGAGACAATACACAGAACATTGCATGACATATCCTACACAGCATAGGTGTGGAAATCTACTCTGAAATATATAAAATTATCCTTACAAATAAGTCCAAGGCAAAATCATTACCATCACAGTATCACAGTTGCTTCGCATGAGTGTAGTAGATTCTACAAAATTATACAGGACGAACTTTTTTGAGGTTGATTGTATTGGGGGTATCGTTGAGGTTGTACTTGCTGGTGCTGATAGGGTTGTTGATATGGTTGCTGCTGTTGAGGTTGTTGCTGATGCCTTTGTGGTTGTGGCGGTTGAGATATCGATTGGGAACCAGTATTTTCCTTTCCCAATATTATAATATTCGGCACATATTGATCTATTGAGGTCAACAATTCATCAAACTTTTCTCCATCCCATCTTTCCTGAACAGCTTCATCCTTCCCAAAGTTGATGTACAAAAGCTGAGTGAAGACCATGCTCATCGGACCAGATGGCGGCCATGTCATCTTCTCCAGCAACAGAGGCACTATTGGTTTCTTGAGGGCATCAGCGAGACTGACTTCCCTCCTGCAGTTGGCCGACAGGGAATATTTTGAGGTGACACACGTGAGCACGATCTTTGCCCCTCGCACACCCTTGTCAATTTTGTCATAGAGGGAGTCCCCACCTCCCATTTGGTAGATGTCCATCCAGACGGTGAAGCCCATCTCAGTAAGACGCTTGTACATGAGTTGAATCTGCTTCTGTTTTCCCCACTGGTAGGAGATGAATATATCAGGAGAGGCTGATCCCCGCTGTAACAAACATATTTTTGTTTATAAATGTTCACACATCGCAGGTAGATTTATCTCATCAATTGTCACTTTAATTATGAGTACATCTTTCATGTCTGGTTTTTCTGGGTTGGTGCAGATAACCTACCTCAACCTCAGCCTGCTTCTGCTGACTGGCGGCCGTCATCGCCTTCACGTCCTTCTTCTCTATCTTGATGACTTCAGCCACAGGACACCACCAGTTCTTGTATTCTATGTACACGAAAGTATGTGATACCAAGTCTATTGGATTAGGATAAACATAATCAATTAAGTTTTAAAATAACATACGAAACTGTTCTGAAACATATCAACCACTTTGGAAATATACGACAGATAATAACCAGTCTCGATTAACCTCCGAATCAGATTCCATTGCGCCTCAAAGGCAAAACAGATGTGAAAATTATATGAATGGATCACTGAAAATCAGTGATGACACCAGACGTACGCTATTATAATAAACATGACCTGCCCTTCTGGCATCACCATTTCTTGGCAAGTGGCATATTACTCATGATTTCTCTACACTTGGAAATTGCATATTTGAGTTATATACCTTTTTCCACCTTCTGTTCCTCCGGCTTGACGTTGTTGTAGTTGACCTGCATCAGAAGTTCCTGGAACTTGGCTGCTGACCAGTACCTTATGTCACCAGTCTCCTCCCCAGGCCGGGTGAAGAAGCGGATGAACAGATACTCACTGAAGATTGGCCCCATTGAGCCTTGTGGTGGCCAAGACAGTTTCTCCATCAACAGAGGGATGATGGGCTTACCCAGGCTTACTGAGAGGTTCACCTGAAATCGTAAACATATACAAGTCCCCAACTAAACATGACTCATTATTTGCAATTCTTGTGTTCAGACAAATATATTTGCAATGTGAAACATTACGCAACTCTGAGTATGTTCTAAAGTAAGTTTCATTTGAACCATTTCTCCCTGGCGATACAGTTGAAACCGTATTCAGAACGGATATGTCAATTTTTGTCTCAATATCACCATTGCTCCTTCTCAGTCCTACTCAGTCCTATTGCATCTTAGGAAGGGTCAATACAGGTATTGCAGGGTATTAGTTTACATTACTTACTTTCAATATCGAAACCCATACACTTGGAACCTGTACACACAGGAATGACATAGTTATTGTCCTCATAGAAACGTTGACACTTGTACAAGGTTAAACTGTTTCAGTGTTTACCTCTCTATTGCAGTTTGGAGACTTGGCATATTTGCCAGTGACACAACAGATGACGATCTTTGCTGCTCTGATTCCCTTGTCAATCTTCTCGAACAGCTTGTCTCCACCTCCCATCTGACCAATGTCCATCCAGCACGTGAAGCCCGCCTTCTCCAGGTGCTGCTTCAGAAGCTTCACCTCGTTCTGGATTCCCCACTGGTAGCTGATGAACACCTCTGGAGGCTCCGGGTACTCAAACTCTTCATCCTCGACTACAGCTTCTGAAAAAAAACAGACAATACCTTTATCAGACTATGGAAAATTATTTTTTCGTAACATTAACGTTAATAATCAGATAATGTGTTATACACATGTATACAAATAATGTCTTTCCTGAAAATATTTAAATAAGCAAAGGAACAACTCCTTCCATAAACTAGAGCCATTTGAGAGATCTCTTCATAAATCAAGTTGTCAATATTAAAAGAATCAATCATAATTAATTACGCTTGTCAGATGATAAATATATATGTACATGTGGTGACATATATACATGTATGTACCTGTCCTTTTCATCGCATTCTCCACAATGACAGCAGCATCCATTCTGTCAATCTCTTGCAGTGCTGTCAGCACAGCATATGTGGCTTCCCTCGTCTTCCGAGTGGCGTACCATTCATTCAGCATGGCCATACATGGGTCGTGCATCTGAGCCCAGCTCCTGATGTCATCATTGGTGTAGCCAAGTCGACTAGAGAGAAGCGTCCAGTCCAGAAGGTCTTCAGGGTTGAGTAGTTTGGCCACGTCTCTTGCCCAGAAGGGAGCATGACTCAATGTCTGTGCGAATGATGAGTATGAATAAAAGTTAAGAAATTAATGATATTGAATATATTATTTGCATTTATGTCAAGATATAATCAAAATCCAGATTAATAATCTAAACAAATCATATTCAGTAACGTCATGTAAGACATGACCCATTATTTCTTGTCAATCAGGATTGATTTATTGCTCAACCTCTCGCCCAGTACCACCACCCTTTGTTTCCCAGAGACAAGCAAAACAACAGACTACCTTTCCGTCAAGTTCCTCCACTTTAGCCTTGGTCTTTTTCACCGTCTTCTCCAGGTTGACCATCTTATTCCCCTGTTTCTTCACATCAACCTTGACGCCATCCAGCTCCATCCTCTGTTCATCCACATCTTGGTGCAGCAGCACCAGGCCCACCTCGGTTCTGGTCACTCGTGTGTCCAGTTTGGCTATGTCCCCCTTCATCTCCTTAATATCGTCGATCAGGGATTTCATGCTGGTGAGACATGTATTGGTAACATAAATAACCTTATCGTTATTATGGTAGTAGAATTCATAGTGGTGCTTAAATCTCACCACGACAACAGCTTAAACTCTCAAATCATCGAATCAAGTCATACAACTACGAGGGTGAATAGGAAGTTTGTGGTTTCATGGATATTGTTTTGTGCAATATGAGATTTTAACACACGTATGAAGAATATATTTTGGTAGACAGTAAGTTTAAGCACTAACACAAGGGTTCTGGACAATGAATTTAATCATTAACGTAAGGGGTTTCGACACTACCTTAACGCACATAGGCATGGTCAGTGCCATAATATTCTCACCTTCTGCCTTCTAGCACATCCACAATAAAGATACAATGATCCTTTGTTGTCTGGACAGTAGATCGTTTCCTCAAGTCCTCTATGGCGGGCTTACGACGCTCCAACACTGGTCGGTATACACCTCCTATAGCACGCATGGCGCCAAGACAGAATGGAGTCACAAGCTCATCTTCAGGACCTCGAAGGACCTTTTCTAGGTATGCCATCACTTCCTCTGCGGCAGCCTGTGTTACAAGCATGATGATCGTGATTTGATTTATCCCACTAGATGTACACTACGCTGATATAAATATCGAACTATTTCAATTTGCCTTGCCTACACATTACATAACAATAAGCCATTTTGTGTTTTAAAACTTCCGTCCAGTTTTGTCAGCGAGAATGCATATTTTACGCATTAACATGAATATTGATATGTTGTTTCAAGTATGTGACAATAACAGTATGAAAAGAGTATTCACTGACGCCTCAGAGTTTAGTTATAAAGTGAATTGCAATGTTCAAAGGTAAGAACAACGGTACCTGATCTTCGCTCCTGGTGGCTACGTTCTTCAGGAGTGTGAACAGCTGGATCTTGGCATGAGGCTGAGTTTCCATGTCATCTTGCATCATGGTTTGCAGGTGAGGTATAAACGACTTGGGCATCGTCTTGGAGAGTTGGTCCATGATCGTCAGATACATAATGTAAAGTTTGTCATCGCCTTCGAACATCTCTGCAATCAGCTTCTTAAGGTTTCTCTCAGTGAACAGCTGAAAGTGATAAACAGTTCTCAGTGTATTTTGATAAGACAGTTTAACAGGTCAATTGTTTCTATGCATTGGTGAATAATTGCCCATATCATCAAGGTATGTATGACTATAGAACCACCTTTATCTTCAATGTACCTGTCAAAATTGTTTTTCAATCGGCTAAACCATGAAGCACTAACTTCCCTGTTGGGAACATAATACAGTAAACTACGGTTATAACGAACTCAAAGGGATCACTAATTGTAGTTCGTAATAACCGTAGTTCGTTATAAGCATATATACAGCATATACACCACCAATGGCTTGGACTAGAAAGTAAGTTCGTTATATCGATCAGTTCGTTATAAGCGTGTTCGTTATAAGCGTAGTTTACTGTAAACAAAAACAAAAGATGTTCACTCTTGCATCCTGAACTCCTGGGAAAAAGCAACTGCATCTTAATCTGATAAGTATTTCTCGTAAACTTTACGATTAATATTACATGCGTCTAACAGTAATTAATGATCCACGATTCATGAGTGCAAGGGTGTAACTTACAGATGGTTGATTCTTGGCAATCTGTGTAAACCATGGTAAAACATACGATCGATCGTGTGTTTCTATCAACTCAAAGAGAGCCTGGAACTGTTTCTCCTCAAGCTCTGGGTAGTATGGGTAGATTGCACTGACGATGGCTGTAGAAAAGAGCATGGGTCGTCTCAGAGTCAAGGTTCCAGACAGACATGGAACCACTGAACAGGCAAATATAAAACGTCAACGCCAGGAAATAACTAGTCTCGATTATCAGACGAAACATATCAAGTTGGGTTTAAACGGCAAAGTAGCGTTGAAAATTATGCGAATGGATCACTGAAAATCAATGATGACACCAGGTGTTCTCGAAAGGGGTAGCACTCAAAAAAGATTTATCCTCCATACCATGAAGGCTGTTTGCCAGGGCTTGTCGTGTGAAAACTAATCTGTGCCGATATCCTCCCATGAAGTGAGTTAGTGAGTGAGTCAATGTTAATGCCTCTTTTAGTATTACTGCCATCATATCCTAGCGGAAGACACCGATAATATACTTTATAGACTGTACCAATGTGGGGAATCGAACCCGGAACTTGACTTGACTTTCTAACGCTTTAACCACTAAACTACCTAACCGCCCCTACTTCAGTATGCATTGTAATACCTGACGGTTATAGCATATCCACTGAAGACCACTATGTGAATACGCAATGATGCATTATTTTGTCTAGACATTGTTTATAATCCAGCTTATCCTTGAGACGTTGTGGTGGTAGCCTAGTGGCTGAAGTGTTCGCTTGACACATCAGAGATTCGATTCCCAAAGTGATTACATTGCGTGAAGCCTAGTTCTGATGTTCCTCATCGTAAAATGCCCGGAATTATGACATTAACTTAAGCCCAATATTACTGAACGACGCGCGAACTCATTCACTCACTACTGGAGAAGTTGTTGCCTTTAGAGTTTATTGTTTTGTTGGCATAACAAGTTTATATTATGGTTAAGACTTACGCAGTAATCTTGGGCTTTCTGTGTACATGTACAAATCCATGATTTGGGGGAAGAATGGTGTCATGACCCTTGCTCCATTCAGGATCAGTGTTGAAACTTGTGACAGTGCGAGCTCTGAGACCCCTGTATGCTGGCTGGACAGTAGGTTGACACTTTCCCTCACCACCAGGATAACTCTCTGTGTCTTTTCCTGGTCGTCCAGCTGGAGAAAGTAAAGGAATAATTAATGTTATTCTAGTTTCTACAACACATGTAACGATGAGTTACAAACTGACAGCTAAGTGTTAAGAAGGCAAATGAATATATAAATATACAGACATCAGCATTGTGCACATTGTATCCCTGAAGTAGGAACGAATTAGGAAGCATTGAATACCTAAGGACCAAAAGGGTTGGTCCCGTGACGATGAGAACTGATCTTCAGCAACCTATGCTTGTCGTAAGAGTCGACCGCCGGGATCAGGTGGTCAGGTTCGCTGACTTGGTCGATGCATGTCATCGTATCCCAGATCAGTGATCGTAACATCAATCGCTGAATTGTCTTGTCCAGACTCGGTTATGTACAGACCTTCTACATACAGCTGGAATTTACTGCTCGAAACCACAACAGACAAACGGTTGGGTTTTACGTTACTTTTTGCAACAATCCAGCTCCATCAGCGTGGACACCATTCGTGGTCTTCTATACCTCAACTGTCCCGAGGGAACCCTACAGAGAAGAGTTACAGCTGCAGGTTGACTAGAGGTTCATCCTCCAACAGGGCGTCCCCCCAATAACAATAACGCCTCGAACTACTTACAAGTCGGAGAAACCTTGTCCCCAAGCTTCCGTACAGTGCAAAGAAGACCGTGTCAGGCTTGTTAGATTCCTCCTCGTCCAGGACAAAGTCTCCCTTCATCACTGTCTTCATGAAGTAGGACAGAGCGCTTAGGTCCTTTTCGGTAATAGTCTTGGCGTCCCTGCAGCAGCGGCATTTATCAGTTATACCCCCCATCACACCAAACCAGTTCTCAATATGTTCGTGAAATGTTGCAGAGCTCCAGATAAGCTGCGAATCTGCGTAAAATACGCATCAGAAATGCAGAAATACGCAGTAAAATAATATCCCAGCGTATTAAATACGCAACGAACATTACAGATACGCTACAAAAATAAAACTTGTGCGTATCATCAAAATATTGTCAAGTAACCCTGCGTATTCGATTGGCAAATCAGCAACTTATTTTGAAATTATAAACGGGCATTCCGTCAACCTTGCCAAACTCCACGGTGACAGTTACATCATGATCATTTGCCATCACACTTTCTTGTGGAAATATCGTGGTATTTTTGAGTCCTATAAAGCTCTCGAACCCACACAACACCAGTTTGCAGGGACTAGATGAATAGTGTTTTTAAATATTTAACTTAAATACCCACAATTGTGTAAAAACTAGTGGGTAATAGAAACTTGAATACCCAGATAGAATTACTGATACCCAGTGATTTTAAAATGCATGGGTAAAATACCCACAACACCAAAAGCTTATCTGGAGCTCTGAATGCTGTGTATGAACGTAGTGGACGTAGTAGCAACTATTGACAGTCTTTTTACGAACTTCATGGACGGGCTCGGACGGGGAGGGTGCTCAAGAACTATGAGTCTGCTCACAATTTTATGCCGTTCTGCAATTAGTCGGATTGACAACATACTTAAAACGAGAAAGACGTATTACGAACGGAATTGCAGTACGTCGAACCTACTAGGGACGTGTTTCGACGTGGTGCAGTCGGACATAAGTTTCAGTATGTGTTTGCACACCGACCGAGTCGACTTCTCTTTGGAGTCATGATGTATACAGCTCGGAGCCCTGAACTTAAATGAAGACTGACCACAACGCGCTCGGTATCCATAGGACAGGACGGGTCAGGACGCGAATACACACGCACTATTGACAAGATGAAGACGTAGTGCGAACGAGTTGGTCGGGTTAAGAATTAGTTATAACTGGCTTGGACGTATTGTGAACGAGGTAGAACGAAGTTGAACTGGTTAAGAACGGGTGGAGAACGGCTATGGACGTGCTCGAACTGCTTCGAAACGTTGTCGGCATTAGGTGAACGGGCACTTTTACACGATCTGAACTGGACACAAACGGACTGCAGACTGGCCAAGAACGAGAAAAGGACGCGATAGACGTATTGAGGACTGCTTATAAACGAACTAGCATCGTATTTTACGCCAATTACGTGTTCCACCGTGATCACAGCCCGTTCTAGTATTTCTTTTAGAACCGGGTAGAACGGGATAGAACTACTTTGGCGTGATGGTATCAGTTAACAGTTATCTGTTTATTAAAATATGTCCATATCTTATAAATCATGTGTGGAAGAGCGTCTGTCCGTAGAGGGGTGCTGACCACTGGAGGCATGGTGATTTGTTGTTACCCTGCCTGGCCCTCGCCATTAAGGCGATAATGCAATGACTGGTCGGCTCGGAGTCAGTATACCGTGTCTGAGTGGTAGGCTATCCATCCACTGGGGCATGGTATCTCAGTAGGCTGGCACCAGTGCAAGCAGTCTAACATGCATGAATGCCCGTCGCTGAGAGGAATAATCTTGAATGCGACGTTAAACTAGTGCTGGGACGAGTCCATCTTTACTACCCGGGTACCTGTCCCCCTATTACCCGACCCTACCCGGGTACCCACTGCAGGTCTGAAGAGTTGGGAACAAAATGTCAGCCGCCCTGGCCCTGGCCAAAACTATTAAAATACCTGTATCAAACGTTCAGATCATGATCAAAACTGTTGGTTGTCTGTCAGTGTTTTTATCTGTGTTGCTCGTCTGTTCATGTCTTTAATCCGTTGGTTGTCCTTCAGTGTTTTTTATCTGTGTTGGTTGTCTGTCAGTGTGTTTTATCTGTGTTGGTTGTCTGTCAGTGTTTTTTTATCTGTGTTGGTTGTCTGTCAGTGTGTTTTATCTGTGTTGGTTGTCTGTCAGTGTGTTTTATCTGTGTAGGTTGTCTGTCAGTGTGTTTTATCTGTGTTGGTTGTCTGTCAGTGTGTTTTATCTGTGTTGGTTGTCTGTCAGTGTTTTTTATCTGTGTTGGTTGTCTGTCAGTGTGTTTTATCTGTGTTGGTTGTCTGTCAGTGTGTTTTATCTGTGTTGGTTGTCTGTCAGTGTTTTTTTTATCTGTGTTGGTTGTCCGTCAGTGTGTTTTATCTGTGTTGGTTGTCTGTCAGTGTTTTATCTGTGTTGGTTGTCTGTTAGTGTGTCTTATCTATGTTGGTTGCCTGTCAGTGTCTTTACTCTATGCTGGTCCTCCAACATTGTCTTTAATCTGGGTGTCTCTCAGTGGATACCAGATTTGTGTGAGGAAGGAAAATACATTTATACGAGGAACAGTCCAAGGTATTGAGCCAGAATGGTATGAGATCTCCTGACCATGGAAGAGACGAGTATGCAAATCACTTCCTGGGGAATGGTAGCCCACGCTGCAACGCAAAAGCCAACTGCTGCAACGTCTGATAGTGTAGTTGACGTCGGCGCAGCCGTCTATCCAATTCATCCTAACGTTGTTGTTGTGTATACAGGTTCTGGGGATCCGTGTTGTGAGCGGTCGAGCGCTGTCCTGGTGGAATACAGCGTTGCCGTTGTCTGCAATTGGGAGGAAGTGTGGTAGGAGAATTTCGTTGATGTAAACTGAGCCGTAAGATTGCCCGGGATATGGACCAAACCTGTCCTGCCATGTTGAGAGATATCCGCCCACATCATAACGCTACCCCTACCAAAACTGTCCACTTCCTGTACGCAATTTCCGGCATAATGTTCTCCCCGACGTCTGTGGACCCGTGCTCTTCCATCCCCTCGACGGAGGTGAAGTCTTGATTCGTCGCTGAATCAGACATCTCTCCATCGCAGTTGATGCCATTCCCTGTGTTGACGACGCCAATGTAGCCGTTGTTGACGATGTTGTCGATTCAATATGACGCGTCGAACAGGACGTCTTGCTCGTAGACCTGTTGCTCTTAAACGGTTTCGTACGGTCTGGTCGGAGATTGTGCACAGTCTGGGTATTTGGGATGCGGTTGATATGGTTGTGGTCGTCTTTTCAGGCAGGTGGCACAATCGGATGTAGCGATCTTGGGCGGGGTCGTTTACTCTTGGTCGCCCCGATCTTGGCCGATCATTGACCCATGCTGTTGAAACCGATCCCATAGCTTTGTGATTGTGCTGGGCTCTACATTGAAAACCCTGGCTACAGCTGATTCCCCTGCCTGCAACCGGCCTATGACGTTGTTTCTTTGCACTTCTGTTAATCTTGGCTTATTGTTGAACTGTCACTGTTTGATTGACGTAGATGCCAGGCACTCAGATGCCTGTACTGTTATACCTTTCATAGTGCTGCTGCACGTGCAGTGCGTGTAGCTCAATGATCCCTTTGTTAATGCACGGGGTTTAGGTTTTTTTCCGAATCGTACGTGTTTCGCGACTGATGGATTGCATGTCCATGTTGTGATCATTTTGATCCGGGAAATTTGCCATTGACACCATAAAACCTCTTGGTCCGCTAATTTTGCTTTTATGGCTAAAAATATCCGTATTGCGTTTCTTTTTTTCTAGAGTATGTTTAATTTATGGTGGTTGTCCGTCAGTGTCTTGAATCTGTGTTGGTTGTCTGCCAGTCTATTTTATCTGTGTTGGGTGTTGTCGGGGTCTTTGACTGTGTCTACCTGCGTGCAAGTCCGAGTTACATGTGTATTTGAATGTGTATGTCTCTGCATGTCTTGTATACAGATACCTACAACGTCTGTTGTAATTGTCTTTGTGTGTCTGTGAATCTGTCAGTCTACTCACAAAGCATCCATTCCCAGCTCTGCCAGTCTGCAAACGGCCACGTTCGAGCTCCCGGAAGTGCCCTTGTCCCAGGGAAATGCGGAATCCTTGAGGAACATCAGTATGGTGGACAATGTCGACATGATCAGCCCCTTGTGTTTCTGGTAACATACAATTCTAGAGGTAAATACCAGATACATATACGGTCATGGTAAACAAAAAGCTGATGTGGTTCCGGTTATTGCTTCAGTATAGTACGCTGATTGGTAAGATACTTTAAATACTTTAGTCTAATGTATAACATCCGACCAATAACACATTTTGTAATTTCACAATACATTATTTTGGTACACTCAATCTATATTTCATGATGATATTATCTTTATGACCTTATATTACATTATTGACACTGACAATGATTTATGTTTGTTGTAGTTGAACTACAAGGAACTTAAGGAACAATTCTTTCAGGCTCGAACACTTACTTTTCCATTAAAGCATACAAACGTCGCCATTGCATACGAGACCCGAAACAGCGCTGTTTCTCTTCTCTCGAGAATTGTCAAGGAACATTCTACCATTTTTTCAACCATATCAGGAAGAATGCGGTCCCGTCTTGAAAAGAAGGGGAATTCATTACGATAATACTAGACAGGTACACGATTTTGTTACTGATTCTCATAACATTACAGGTGTTTTTGCATTGATGAACTCCCATTTTGTTTGGGTGTTTATGTGTGAAGTTATTTAACACCGCACTCAGCAATATTCCAGCTGTATGACGGCGGTCTGTAAATAAACCAGTCTGAACCAGACAATCCAGTTTATGATATGAGCATGAGCATCGATCTACGCAATCGGGAAACGATGATATTCATAAACCCAGTCAGTGAGCCTGACCACCAGATCCCGTTGGTCGCCTCTGACGACAAGCATAGTCGCTTCTTATGACAAGTATGGGTTGCTGAAGACCTATTCTAACCCGGATCTTCACTGGTCGTGTGTTCTTGAGAGACTGCTGACAGTCCCCTAGAAGCAATATGGGCCTTACTGCATTTGATTAGCGAAATCCGAGGCGAAGTTGATGTAAAAAGCAGCCGGTTGTCTGGTCTGTTCTTTACTCCCAAATAATCGCACTTTCATCAAGAGGTCTAGTATCTCACGTGCATCTTTCACGTGCTCCTGACAAAAAGATAAAATAGGATTAAACATCCACATATGGTGAAAGCTTGTTAACATAAGCCTGTGTGTAGCATTGTCATACCAAACTTCATTAAAATAATGTTTCCTCTTTAGCGCAACGTCTTTGGAAAATCGAAAATCTGTCGTTTTGTGCAAACGGGAATCATAGTGCAATAAAGACGTTCCGGGGTCATAAAGTTATATTGTCGAAAGCGAATATCGGACGAGGTTTCCCTGTTCATTCAATTACTGTTCGGTGGTTTTATCGTTCAGATAAACGATAATCGTCAACATATGAGTATAAGTCCAATCATTGCCGCAGAAAAAACAACTTCTGATTTTGTCATGGTTAAGGGTGTACCTTCCACTTTAGCAGCTTCCCTATCCCCTTGGCGGCACTGTAGATCGCCCTGGCCGTCTCGAGCTGGTGGATCCTCAGACAGGCTTTGATCAGGTCCATCATCAGCTGGCAGTGTTCAGGGCTTCTGGAACAAGGTCAGGTCGAGGTTAGGAGCAGCCGTGCCATTAACAGACTTTGCAAAACCGGTCCACGGAGTTGATTATCAGGGTGACATTGAACAATACAACCTGAGCGCTACGACTGTCCTCAGTCTGTTTTTAAGATATGGTTACGATCACCTTATCGCTAAGATCGCTTTGTACATCGGCAACCTGGACTGTAACAGAGACAGGTGCATCTCACCTACCCCACCGGCTCCACCTACCGTAACCCATCTGAACCATAGCCACATCAAGCACTCACCTCCCAATTCTACCTCAACCCTACTCAACACCACTAGCCACACCAACTAATCACCTCCCAAATCTAGCACTCACCTTCCCAATCTCCCCCAACCCAACTGAACATCTCAGGCCTCACCAAGCACTCAACTCCCAATCTCCCCCAACCCAACTGAACATCTCAGGCCACACCAAGCACTCAACTCCCCAATCTCCCCCAACCCAACTAAACATCTCAGGCCTCACCAAGCACTCAACTCCCAATCTCCCCCAACCCAACTAAACATCTCAGGCCACACCAAGCACTCAACTCCCCAATCTCCCCCAACCCAACTGAACATCTCAGGCCACACCAAGCACTCAACTCCCCAATCTCCCCCAACCCAACTTAACATCTCAGGCCTCACCAAGCACTCAACTCCCCAATCTCCCCCAACCCAACTGAACATCTCAGGCCACACCAAGCACTCAACTCCCCAATCTCCCCCAACCCAACTGAACATCTCAGGCCACACCAAGCACTCAACTCCCAATCTCCCCCAACCCAACTAAACATCTCAGGCCACACCAAGCACTCAACTCCCCAATCTCCCCCAACCCAACTGAACATCTCAGGCCACACCAAGCACTCAACTCCCCAATCTCCCCCAACCCAACTAAACATCTCAGGCCACATCAAGCACTCACCTTCCCAATCTCCCCCAACCCAACTGAACATCTCAGGCCACACCAAGCACTCAACTCCCCAATCTCCCCCAACCCAACTGAACATCTCAGGCCACACCAAGCACTCACCTTCCCAATCTCCCCAAACCCAACTGAACATCTCAGGCCTCACCAAGCACTCAACTCCCAATCTCCCCCAACCCAACTGAACATCTCAGGCCTCACCAAGCACTCAACTCCCCAATCTCCCCCAACCCAACTGAACATCTCAGGCCTCACCAAGCACTCACCTTCCCAATCTCCCCCAACCCAACTGAACATCTCAGGCCTCACCAAGCACTCAACTCCCAATCTCCCCCAACCCAACTGAACATCTCAGGCCACACCAAGCACTCACCTCCCAAATCTACCCCACTCTAACCCAATCCGTCTTCCACGTCAACCACACATAGCAACCAATCACTTCACATACCCCACTTACCCCATCTTCCATCCAAACCAACCTTACCACACCTAAAACCAAACCGCTCCCTTTCTTCACTGTTTACTGAAGACGTTCACAAAATCGCATCTACACCTATGACTCGGCTTTCAAGAATCGTCAAGAATCGTCTTCCCAAACCTGTGAATGGCATCCACTAAATATGATGGTACATGGTGGTACAAGATGGTGAAAGATGGTACATGATGGTACAAGATGGTACATGAGGGTACGTGGTGGTACAAGATGGTACATGATGGTACAAGATGGTACATGAGGGTACGTGGTGGTACAATATGGTATAAGATAGTACATGATGGTACATGACGAGACATGGTGGTACAAGATGGTACACGATTGTACAAGATAGTACATGATGGTACAAGATGGTACATGATGGTACAAGTTCACGGAGTGTAGTCACCTACTTGTTCATGCTCTTCGTGAGCACATTGCCTACAGCTGCATCAACAAATGTAACCCTCATCAGGGTGTGGTCCTCCAGGTTGTTCAAAAAGGCAATCAACTTCTTCGTCATCCCAGTGAACAGCTCGGAGTTGCCCTTTAAGAGTATGACATTTTGTTAAGTATATTGAATTACTCAGAAAAATTGTTAAAAATTTAATGTTAAAATATCGGTTATTTCAATAAACCGTTATAGCGGGGCCAACAGATGATGCTTTTCGGCCAAAGCAGGGTTTTATTGGAGAAACCTTGTCTCGCTGTACAGGCATGTACTACAGAACATGATTCTTTTTTCTTACAGTATCGAGATACATAACAAATAACCGGTTGTATCATTACCGTGATGGTCTGAGTCCCCTCCTTCTCTTCGACGTGATAGAGGAAATCGCCTACAGCCTTTACAATAGGATGGATAGGGCTGCCTGCCTTCTTGTAGCAGATCACAGTCACGAAGTCCATGATCTCCACGTACACCTTGTGAAACAGGAACGCATTGCTGGAAGGAGAATGGTCAGAGGATTAGGTGGGGTTGAAGACACTGATGGCAGAGGGGATAACACTCTTTATAGCTAAAACGGATAGAATTATCATTAAAACGCCCGAATGTTATCAGAAATGAGCGGGCCACTGTAACTTGATAATGCCCTCGTATTGCTTGACGACGGGCCATTATCAAGCCCGTTGTTAGGTGACGTCATAGGGTATAGAAAATGACGTCACGTATTATAGTGACGTCATCTGGTTTGTTCTATGGCGTTTCCATATTTGTAAAATGTGGTCAGTGACATTCATGCTGATTGCAGTAAATGTTTCAAAACCGATGTTGTTTCTTTTTATTTGATAACAAATTCCATCCATTTTAGCTATAATAACGGTAACGCTCTTTTTCAGGGCATTATCATTTGCAGAAGCCCTCGGTCTATTCAACTGCCCTCCTTCGTCGGGCAGTTAATGGAAGACCTCGGGCTTCTGCAAATGATAATGCCCTGAAAAATAGCGTTACCCTTATAGTATTGCGGCCCCTTTGGTTTTATAGTGCCAGCCCACGGAGATGTCATACCCAACGCAGACACATTATCTGGCAAGTCATCGTTATATACCCATAATGCCGAGCGTCAGGAAGGGTAATTACAGGTACATGTACTATATTCTAATGCATTCTGGTGGGACGCGGCGATGGGATCGAATTACCGGCGTTTCCTCCCCGGGAAGGCTCTTTCCACTACACCATGGAGCGGGTGTTTAGTTAGGAGGCGCTCACTAGATAGACAATCAGTACCTGAAGGGTAGGTGTATGAGTAGCTGGAGTATGTACATTACATAGATAAACAACTCATAGATAGCGAGGTTTCAGATATGAAACAGCATATCTGTCGAGCAGCCAGAATAAGAAAAAGGCCGACCCTCGTTAACAAGTACTCGTACAAACATTTGACAGTAAATGTATATTTTTGTATACATTATTTTCGTTAATGCCAAACTCCCGTGGAATGTAAACTGACTGTTTCTTGTTCAAAGTGAAGTAAATGCTTTATTTAATGGGATAACAACTATGAACAAGAAACAGCATGGAATAGGCATGAAGTCATTTTAGGTGATGAAGATTTTCTGTGGAGCTGTTGAGCTATAGAATTCATGAATAGTATTTGACGAGAGGTTCTTGGTCAATTGAGTACTGGTTTGACAAGTAACACTATAAAACTGGCTTCGCATGATGTGGTCAGTGGAAACCATGTGTCGGACGGACTGAAGAAACAGGGTCAACTCACTTGATACCATTCAACACCACATAGAGACCACTCGAAATTTTCTCCACGACCTTTTTGGAGTCCTTCGTGGTGAGACTGAGACGGAGGATGTCCCTTTCATGACGCTTCAGTGACTGTTTCATCATCTCAGAGTCATCCATGCCCTGAGGAAGAGTGAGTGAGTGAGTGAGTTGGGTTTAAACGCCGCTTTTAACAGTATTCCAGTTATATCGCGGCGTGTCAGCTTAATGTCGGAGGAAAGCCCGATGCAGGTCTCAGACGTTTAACACTTCGGTAAAACCCACGAGCACGGGTATGGTGCTGACAAACCTAGAAACATAATCGGGGCGAACCGGGATTCGAACCCACAATCATAGGTTTCTGGCGTGCCCAAGGGACGCAACTCTGCACAGTGAATCGCGGCGCCTTAGACGACTTGGCCGGCCGGTTTTCTGAGAAGTAATTCATATATGTCTTTAAATATGACTTTCATGCATCATCTGGTAAAAAGGTTTTCTTCTTTAATATATATTGTTGGTCTTTACAAAGGGAGTGAGCATAATATATTAGAAGAACAACTTCTTTACTCCACTTACTACAACTTCAAAATTCTTCTAAAAAGACGTTTTTCAAAGCCACCCGTCAGAGGAAGAATGGTAGGACCATCAACAATGCGTTGCCAGGTACGCTCAGATTCATATGTTTGTTGACACTCAGACATGCCGCTTTCAGTTTCTTTTATATATTCTTCAAACTTCGCTGTCTTATTATGATTAACATAAAAAAACAAAATGTCCCACCTTGAGTACATCACCGTCGTATATGTACGAAATTGCGTCTGAAATGTACTTGTGAACGTTCCGTATATGCTCGGGAAGGTTCAAGTTAGTCACGGTTGTATATGTGTACAGCTCTACGAACTCAGCCTGGGCCTCCTTGAAAGCCTGCTCTCTGCAAATAAGGACATATAATTCAAGTTTCACACATTTTCATAACTAATGAAGCTTTAACTGTTTGTCATCGTCCAGCCTATCGACCTCGTGTGGAGTTCAGGGCAGAATAAGTGCCCAGTCAACAGAATCGACTGAACGTGTCACATCATAATTATAAGCGAATGTAACATAAATAAAGTTACAATTTAGTGGTTGCCACATCCTTCCGATGTCATTTGATGCCAGACAACACTAAACGGTCTGGCAATAAAAGCGACAAATCCTTTACATGAGCACGAGGAATCTCCAAATCTATAGTACGGTTCGGAGTGTATCAAGCATGTGTTAACGAATCACTATCAATTATCGTCTTTATATCCGGTTCAAGCAAACGTTGCACCAGGCTGCATGAACGATATGGGTTGGTTCATAACACCACGGGGCGGTCGGGTAGCCTAGTGGTTAAAGCGTTCGCTCGTCAAGCCGAATACCCGGGTTCGAATCCCGACATGGGTACAATGTGTGAAGCCCATTTCTGGTGTCGCCGTGATATTGCTGGAATATTGCTAAAAGCGGCGTTAAACCAAACTCACTCACTCATAACAACACTCATTGTCGACTAACTAGTTATAATATTCACGAGCAAAAGAACTGCATGTGCAAGTTTAGTCCAAGACAGATATACGAAATAACATGTAACCTGTAACCTGTCCATTTCTCAATTTCGATAAATGTCCTCCAAGAATGTTTTATTTCTTCAAATTAATCGCAGTCCAGTAGCCGTATCATTGAGAGGCACGACAAACATCAGCAACTAGTATGATAACCAATTCAGTAATATCTGAATATAGCTGAATTTCACGTTTGCACCTCGAAAGAATTATATGAACTTATTCATTTGATGAAAGGGTAGACAAGAAGGTTTGAGTACACATCCTTGCCGTACTCCCACCGGAAAACCAAACATATGCGTGTTGAATAATTGTCACCACTTCGTATCTTTTTCGTAGATTGATTTTAATACCTTTTCCATTTTTTACTAAGCATATCTTGTAAGCATCAGCCAGTGTTGTGTCTTTGAACGATTATTTACAGACCGCTGTCATATAGCTGGAATACTGCTGAATGCGACGTTAAACAACAATTATAGCTAAAACGGATAGAATTATCATTAAAACGCCCGAATGTTATCAGAAATGAGCGGGCCACTGTAACTTGATAATGCCCTCGTATTGCTTGACGACGGGCCATTATCAAGCCCGTTGTTAGGTGACGTCATAGGGTATAGAAAATGACGTCACGTATTATAGTGACGTCATCTGGTTTGTTCTATGGCGTTTCCATATTTGTAAAATGTGGTCAGTGACATTCGTGCTGATTGCAGTAAATGTTTCAAAACCGATGTTGTTTCTTTTTATTTGATAACAAATTCCATCCATTTTAGCTATAATAACGGTAACGCTCTTTTTCAGGGCATTATCATTTGCAGAAGCCCTCGGTCTTTTCAACTGCCCTCCTTCGTTGGGCAGTTAATGGAAGACCTCGGGCTTCTGCAAATGATAATGCCCTGAAAAATAGCGTTACCCTTATAACAAACATCACGGCACGTCAGCTGAGTACGGGATGAATCTGTGAGTTGTTATATTGAAGACGTTTACCATTCTGATGAAACACACCAACACAGGGATGGTGCTGCCAAAGCACCAATCACACAGAGGACGAATCTGGGACCGAACAGCTTTGAATGCTGACCAGGGAAACAGAGACTTAACAGAGATCAACGGTTATTTGTGTTAGAATGGCTCGGAGTAAAGTAGTTGAGTCGTGGAGTATGATGTGATGTACACTCTTCCGAAGCTACCCGTGAAGATCCGGGTATAGGTCTTCAGCAACCCATACTTGCCGTAAAAGGGGACTATGCTTGTCGTAAAAGGCGACTAACAGGATCGGGTGGTCAGGCTCACTGATTTGGTTGATGCATGTCATCGATCCCAATTGCGTTGATCGATGCTCATGATATTAATCACTGGATTGTCTGGTCCAGACTCGATTATTTACAGACCGCCGTCATATAGCTGTAATATTGCTGAGTACGGCGCTAAACAACAAACCAACCAACCAACAAACTTACCTGAAGCACTCTTTGCTGATCAGACATCTGATAGCTGATATAAACGTTGTCTCAAAATTGGATTCCGAGTTCCAGAATTCTCTCATGAACATTCGTATGTGACTCTTGAGTTTGTCTCCCGTCAAGTTCTGCAACAGGAACCCAAATCTACATGTTTTGCATCCATGTAGTTCATGCTTATCTCGACCACCGAGAACACCCAATCGGATAATCATTATTATTAAGGAAAAATTGAAAAGTCGAAGAGGAGTACCATCTTCGCGCCTACTAAGATCCTGTAGGGATTGTGGGCTTAAGGGACCGACCATTTGATTTCTAGGGATGGTTAGGTGATAAAAATAATATGACAAGGAAAATAATTGTATGTGTATGTCTTTACATAGTCTAAAAGAATATGTTGAAGAAAACGGATTCTAGCTAACGAAGTTTCAAATTGTATATAAAAAAAAATATACTGTATATTAACTGATTCATAATCTCACGACAATTCACGCCAAAGTCTAGACCTAGGCTGTATGTGGATATGAACTGGCGGAACAAATACTCTCTTCAAATAACGCACAGTCACAGGTTAAGGTGAACGTACATAATAGTAATCACTAAATCCGAATGTGGTGATGTTCATCAACCGGGTCCACAGTTCCATGTGTGTCGTCCCCGGCCCCTGCTGGAGCATGTCATGGAGGAAGTCGAGGATGAAGTCGTGGATTTTGGTCATTGACGTCGTCATTCCCGCCCCAGCAAAATTCCTGAAAAGTTGTTTGGTTTATAAAAATCAATTGTTTGAAAGGCATTACTTTGAAGTTGATGGATGACAAAGTAGACACGTGTTATGGATACAGTATGAAAGAAGTTTCCATAAATTGTGTCTACTTTATAAATATCAATAATTACATTGTGTTCAGCCCCCGTTATTTGTGTGAACTTAAACCCATGTTATACTGCGACTATATCCAACATCACTTTTAAAGCTCACCTAGGAATTATTCATCTAAACAAACTAAAAGGTGCAAGACACAATTAAGGTTAAGTCGGTTTCGGAGAACTTATTTATTTAAACGACCCTCTTGGAACTGGCGTTTAGTGTCATGCCCAATAAAATATCATGTGGTATTTTGAAATAGAATTACACACAAAACGTGACTCGGATAAAAAGAAAAAAGAGTGAATAAAAAGGCTGGCAATCTGATTATGCACAATTGCATTTGCGGTAAAGAAATTGGAAATACATATTTTGATATTTGGTACTCATCATGAACGTTAATTTTTTCAAATGACACTTCTAACTTGATGTGGGGCGGTCGGGTAGCCTAGTGGTTAAAGTGTTCGCTCGTCACGCCGAAGACCCGGGTTCGAATCCCGACATGGGTACAATGTGTGAACGGGATCGGGTGGTCAGTCTCGCTGACTTAGTTGATGCAAGTCATTGTATCCCAAATGCGTGTATCGATGCTCATGATATCAATCACTGGGTTATCTGGTCCCGATTATTTAATGACCGTCGTCATATAGCTAGAATATTGATGAGTGTGGAGTTAAACAACAAACAAACAAACAAACGTTTAAAAACAAAATTCAAAATGCAAAAGTTTGCGACTTACTGTGACCACGTCATCAGGGAGTGCAAGACAAGTTTTGCGAAATCACACTGCTCAGTGAACTGCCCGGGAAAGTCTGGCCGACACACCCCTGCCCTCAGCACCCTGAACGCACCCAGCATATCCTGCTCGTTTGGCATAGCCTGGAAGTCACGGGAGATCTCCTCCAGGCGTTTGCCGAAATCGCAGCGGGCGTTGTAGTCCGCCGTCATGAAGTCGTACCTCCTCACCAGGGCTTCCATGATCACTGTGGATGCATAGAGGGGTGGATGGGTGAACGGCCGTGGGTGGGTGTGTTGATGGTCACTGATCACTGGGTGCAGAGAGGGGGTGAGTGGTTGAACGGGTGGGTGTGTTCATGGTCACTGATCACTGGATGCAGAGAGGGGTTGAGTGGGTGAACGGGTGGGTGTGTTGATGGTCACTGATCACTGGATGCAGAGAGGGAGTGAGTGGGTGAACGATTGGGTGTGTTGGTGGTCACTGATCACTGGATGCAGAGAGGGGGTGAGTGAGGGGAACGGGTGGGTGTGTTGATGGTTACTGATCACTGGATGAAGAGAGGGGGTGAGTGGGTGAACGGGTGGGTGTGTTCATGGTCACTGATCACTGGATGCAGAGAGGGGGTGAGTGAGGGGAACGGGTTGGTGTGTTGTTGGTCACTGATCACTGGATGCAGAGAGGGGTTGAGTGGGTGAACGGGTGGGTGTGTTGGTGGTCACTGATCACTGGATGCAGAGAGGGGGTGAGGGGAACGGGTGGGTGTGTTGATGGTTACTGATCACTGGATGAAGAGAGGGGGTGAGTGGGTGAACGGGTTGGTGTGTTCATGGTCACTGATCACTGGATGCAGAGAGGGGGTGAGTGAGGGGAACGGGTTGGTGTGTTGTTGGTCACTGATCACTAGATGCAGAGAGGGGGTGAGTGGGTGAACGATTGGGTGTGTTGATGGTCACTGATCACTGGATGCAGAGAGGGGGTGAGTGAGGGGAACGGGTTGGTGTGTTGATGGTTACTGATCACTGGATGCAGAGAGGGGGTGAGTGGGTGAACGGGTGGGTGTGTTCATTGTCACTGATCACTGGATGCAGAGGGGGGGGGGGGAGGGGGGGGGAGGGTGAACGGGTGGGTGTGTTGATGGTCACTGATCACTGGATGCAGAGGGGGGGGAGGGGGTAAGTGGGTGAACGGGTGGGTGTGTTGATGGTCACTGATCACTGGATGCAGAGAGGGGGTGAGTGAGGGGAACGGGTGGGTGTGTTCATGGTCACTGATCACTGGATGCAGAGGGGGGGGGGGGGGAGGGGGTAAGTGGGTGAACGGATGGGTGTGTTGATAGCCACTGATCACTGGATGCAGAGAGGGGGTGAGTGGGTGAACGGGTGGGTGTGTTGATGGTCACTGATCACTGGATGCAGAGAGGGGGTGAGTGAGGGGAACGGGTGGGTGTGTTGATGGTTACTGATCACTGGATGCAGAGAGGGGGTGAGTGAGGGGAACGGATGGGTGTGTTGATGGTCACTGATCACTGGATGCAGAGAGGGGTTAGTGGGTGAACGGGTTGGTGTATTGATGGTTACTGCTTGGGAGGAGTTGGTTGTGGATGTGGTGGGTGTGGTTTGAGGGTGGTTGAAGTGGGGTTTGTTGATGATCAAAATGGTATTGTTAGTCGATGAAGTGGGATTTATTAATAGCTGAGGTTGGGTTTGAAGACGTTCAGATAAAATGAATGCTCAAGCGTAAAGATACCATATTAGTCGTTCAGATAAACAAGGTTCGCAATTTAGGCAATTATTCTGTACAGGTATTGTTAAATATCGTGTCCTGAGCACACGTGACTTGTCGTTGCATGGCGTCTAAGAAGTTTTAGAGAGAGGCATACTGCGTGACAATAATGAACTTACATTCCAATATTCATAACTCACTATGTCTGCATAAATAGTATGATCAAACATGCACATTTTATCATATTTAACCTACCCTGGTGCCACAGTGTACCGACTATTTGGATATTATTTTTGTTCACTTCACATGCTGCTCATGATGCGTGGTGCTCTATACAAACTATGTGGCAACATTTCTAGTAACTGGAGTTTACAATAACCATAGCGGATGCACGGCAGGTTCACGGAGGGGTACTATAGAGACACGAGGTTGGGTTATTGTGCGATGTGGCATCGACAATTCTTTCAGACTATCGATTTATTTAGTTCTGATATAGCGCTTTTCATGTTGCCTCAGGTTCAATGCGTGCAGGGATTGTACAGATGTCACACCTACCGTGAAATGTGTCTATTAACACGATATCCATGAGCAAATTATTTACCTTTGAGGGTCCGATATCGTTGCGTAAAACAGTTAAAACTTGATCGCATACACCATTATCCGATTAGCCGCGTTTCCAATCTATGTCCTGGTGCGTGAATACTTTGCTGTTTGGCGTACAGCTCGTGTGCGCGATGTCGTATGTCGCCTGTGTATGTACCTCACAGCGACTGTCGCTGTACAGAACTACCCCGACTTGCGTGTCGGCTAGTCCCTGTCGTGGTCGCCATATTGGCTATGGAAACACGTGATTTCCTCCTACAGATACCTATGTATTATTATAGCAGGAGTTCGGTGATGCGTTCAAGCTGTTTGCTACCAAGGCAACATGTAAACACTTCACGCCACACACGCGTCTGTTAATAGAGTATTGGATTACTGAATAGAGCGGCGTTGTATGGTGCGCTTCATTGACACAGAATGTGTACTACGATACCTACAAATACCCGACCTTGACTCGGCTCCTGTCGCTGCTGAATGATTTCAGTCGCAGCCTTTGTAGAACTGCCAATGCATTATACTCTGGCGGGTTCTATAAAAACGGCACTATTGAGTAATGTTTGATTTTCATAACCTGGTTCGTGTTTATCCTATGTTTGCAATCATTAACAAGCCTACCTAACAGTACATGTCTTCAATAAGTCGATGGGGGGTTGTTTATTCCCGTCTCTTAGCTGCTTGAAGTAAACATCATCTGCCCTGTATGCATGACTTGGGAGTAACAATGCTGATCGAGCTATGTTCAAAGTGACGCTGTATTGTTAGGATCCTTTTGGGCTTATTGAAGTGCCAAATTAAGGGGTCAGTGAGAGCCTTTATGTTCACACTGCTGACTTCACCTATTTTTGTTAAGTGTATTTACATACATCTATATGTGTCTCTTTTCATCATATTGTGTTTTGGTGCATCTGTATGTGAGTGTCTTCACATCATACTGTTTAGATGCATCTTTATATATATATATATGTGTGTGTGTGTGTGTGTGTGTGTGTGTGTGTCTTTACATCATACTGTTTAGATGCATCTTTATATATATATATATATATGTGTGTGTGTGTGTGTGTGTGTGTCTTTACATCATACTGTTTAGATGCATCTTTATATGTGTGTGTGTGTGTGTGTGTGTGTGTGTGCCTTTACATCGTACTGTATTAAGATACATCTTTATATATGTGTGTGTCTTCACATCATACTGTTTAGATGCATCTTTATATGTGTGTGTATGTGTGTGTGTGTGCCTTTACATCGTACTGTATTAAGATACATCTTTATATATGTGTGTGTCTTCACATCATACTGTTAAGATGCATCTTTATGTGTGTGTGCGTGTGTGTGTGTGAATGTCTTCACATCATACTGTTTAGATGCATCTTTACACATTCACACACATATATAAAGATGCATCTAAACAGTATGATGTGAAGACACACACATATATAAAGATGTATCTTAATACAGTACGATGTAAAGACACACACACACACACACACACACACACACACACACACACACACACATATAAAGATGCATCTAAACAGTATGATGTGAAGACATTCACACACATATATATATATATAAAGATGTATCTTAATACAGTATGATGTGAAGACACACACATATATAAAGATGTATCTTAATACAGTACGATGTAAACACACACACACACACACACACACACACACACACACACACACACACACACACACACACACACACATATAAAGATGCATCTAAACAGTATGATGTGAAGACATTCACACACATATATATATATATAAAGATGTATCTTAATACAGTACGATGTAAAGACACACACACACATATATATATGTGTGTGTGTGTGTGTGTGTGTCTTTACATCGTACTGTATTAAGATACATCTTTATATATGTGTGTGTCTGCACATCATACTGTATTAAGATACATCTTTATATATATATATATATATATATGTGTGAATGTCTTCACATCATACTGTTTAGATGCATCTTAATATGTGTGTGTGTGTGTGTGTGTGTGTGTCTTTACATCGTACTGTATTAAGATACATCTTTATATATGTGTGTGTCTTCACATCATACTGTTTAGATGCATCTTTATATATGTGTGTGAATGTCTTCACATCATACTGTTTAGATGCATCTTTATATGTGTGTGTGTGTGTGTGCCTTTACATCGTAATGTATTAAGATACATCTTTATATATGTGTGTGTCTTCACATCATACTGTTTAGATGCATCTTTATATGTGTGTGTGTGTGTGTGTGTGTGCCTTTACATCGTACTGTATTAAGATACATCTTTATATATGTGTGTGTCTTCACATCATACTGTTAAGATGCATCTTTATGTGTGTGTGTGTGTGTGAATGTCTTCACATCATACTGTTTAGATGCATCTTTATATGTGTGTGTGTGTGTTTGTGTGTGTGTGTCTTTACATCGTACTGTATTAAGATACATCTTTATATATGTGTGTGTCTTCACATCATACTGTTTAGATGCATCTTTATATATGTGTGTGTGTGTCTTTACATCGTACTGTATTAAGATACATCTTTATATATATATATGTGTGTGTGTGTGTGTGTGTGTGTGTGTGTGTGTGTGTGTGTGTGTGTGTGTGTGTGTGTGTGTGTGTGTGTGTGTCTTTACATCGTAATGTATATTGATGCATCTATGTATTCACTGATGTTTTTAAGTATGTGTTTTGTCAGTTGCCTCATAGTTGCCACGGAGACAATAATATAAGCCATTTATAACAATGTACAGGCAAAAACCAGTTTCTTATCACTTAAACCAACTCATCACTTTCAGTATAGTATTCCATAGTATTGTCATGTATGTGTTCCTATAACCGACACTCTATGTGCCACGCTACTGAACGTGGATTGACATGCTGAACGTGGATTGATTGATATGCTCCTAAACGTGGATTTATTGACATACTGCTGAACGTAGATTGATTGACATGCTCCGGAGGTGGATTGACATGCTCCTTGACGTGCATTGACATGCTCATGAACGTGGATTGGCATGCTCATGAACGTGGATTGACATGTTCATGAACGTGGATTGACATGCTCCTGAAGGTGGATTGACATCCTCCTGAAGGTGGATTGACATGCTCCTGGACGTGGATTGACATGCTCCTGGACGTGGATTGATTGACATGCTTCTAAATATTGATTGACATGCTTCTAAATATTGATTGACATGCTTCTAAATATTGATTGACATGCTTCTAAATATTGATAGACATGCCCTTGTGTTCTTTCTGTCTACGATTTACACCATCTACAACATAGAGCCCTTTCTAAATGGATGTCTATCTGCTTCGGGTTCAAACCCAACACAATCTCAAGTAATGTTAAAAAAAATGATAAACCATTGTATACATCGTTGGCAAGTATAAGGTAATATGAACATTCTGTGTGGTCCTCGTTCATAGTTTTATGATAAGACACACACGCTTACTCACGGGATGCAACAGGTAAACAAACCATATAGGATTTCTTTTCATGTTTCATCTTTTGTGAACCATGAAGTATTTTCGTGAATTTTAAGACAATATAATCTACTAGTTTAGATTTCCTGTATCAATGATATGTATCCACGATGACCACACGTGGCTGGTAGAGGAGTAAGATAGGTCTCAGTGTGGTAGTTCATGGAATAATGTATAAGGAACACAATGTACGCGAGTATTGAAGCAGTAAGGTCCTATTTTGAAACATGTTGTCTCATCTAGTATGAAGTATGACGTGATGGTGTCGAGTATTGAAGTATGATATCGAGTATAGAAGCATAATATGACGAGTATCGAAGTATGAAGCGATGGTGTCGAGTATTGAAGTATAAAGGAGACTGTGTTGACAATAGAAATGCATAGCTTCCGAGTTCCATAGCTCACAGGATTACTAAATCGATACACCCCAACACTGTTGCAGAGCAGTTAGTAGACAGTGGTCGGCGTGTCCCTCTCTACGTCAATGAATTCTCCCTTCATCGCCGGCTTTAGGAAATAGCAAATGGCATTGAATTCATTCTCATTAAGGACAGTAGACGCCCTGCAAGATAAGTAAAACCGCACTGAAGTAAAAAGACATTAACTATAGTAATATGAACGAATCGGGTAGTGGTACGAGTATATGTTTATGTAATGAGCTTGGGTTCGAATCCCAGATTCGTACTGATTATGAGACATAGTGAGACGGTCAGAAGTCAACATATCAGTTTAAACATTCACCTGGAAAAACATAGCTTACCCTGACGTTTCAAACAAAATAGCAATATTTGAAATCCTACCCTGGGTCAATGTTAACAGGGTGACAAACTTATTTCGAAATACAGAAGCCAACCTCGTGTATGAAAGGATATTTGCGACTTGTTTTGTTTGTTTGGTGTTTAACGTCGCCTACAGCAATATTCCGTTATCACGGTGGTCTGAAAATAATCCAGTCTGGACCAGACAATCCAGTGATTGATATCATGATAATCGATCTGTGCAATTAGGATCTTGGTCATTGGTGATAAAAAGTAGTTCCCAATTTCCAGCATGTGTATAACGGAAGGTACGTATACACTGCAATAGCTGACATTGCTTTTATGCAGTGTACATATATAAAATGTAATGCCGATTTTTGTTGAAAGTGATTGGCCATTTTTGAGTAAGGGTGTCATTTTACACGTGTTAGTTCAGAGTTTAGAATCTATAAAATGAACGCAGCAGGCAAATCATCGAATCAAAGAAAAAAGCCCACTACTGGTAGAAACAATGTGGGCAGTTACTGCATAGGTCTTCCAGATAGAAAGGTCACAACATATATGTGTGTGATTTGAAAATATCGCTTACATAATATTACCGTTATTTGTAACCCTTTCTCGATTATCATATTTTCATGTTAACAAGGAAACGGGAGTACAAAAAATGATTGTTTATTTATCTAACATATCAATTTTTCCAAATTCTATATGAATTGAAAATATACTACTCCATTTGTTTATAGGAATATTGTTTTATCATTCTATGATACACAAACATATATTCATAATATGTCAAGAATATATTTAAATATATCTGGCATATTTGATTATCCCTATCAAAAGTTGAGTAGTATAACATAGAGAAAACACCTGAGCAAGGAAAAACAAACAGAACAATACATTCAATGTAAACAAACCGATGCTATCAGCAGTTTAAACAATAATAATAATAATATCACAGATGAGCTTAAAATGTGTTGGGTACAATGATAATCATACACTGCAAACCTCAGTGATTGGACCAGAATGTGTTTCCTGATGCATGGTCACTCAATTGCTTCAACAAGACAACCATACGAGAAAATAACGAGGGTTGATTGTCATTTACACTAATACACATGCATCCTGCCTGTACGCTGATATCCATCTAATCATTGATACCTCGACATTTACAGAATCTTCAATAGATTTTCAAAGGCAAATAATATCAACTTTATGAAGTTCTATACAGCATGGGTAACTTAGCCTGTCCACATCACGAAGGTCACGTGTTTTATTCATATCAGGAATAGAACCCGTGTCGTTGGCAGCACGAGTGAAAGCTTGCCCCACGAGGCTAAACCACTGTCCTACTGACTTCCTGGTCACAACTTGAATGAGGGCTAACGGGAGCCGATGAGGGATGTAGGAAATCGTTGGTCATGTCTCACTTCACTCGCCACTGAAGAGGACAACAAACATTGGATAGATATATCACAAGAATAAAAATATCACAGGCCTGCAATGAACAACTTATAATAAACTACAAAATTATATATGAAAACGACTGATCGGGCTCCTGTCTCCCTTGAGCAATTGTTTAATGTCCTTGAGAAGGTTGACTATGTTTGGGGTTCTGCAGAGGTTAATGCTGTTATGGCGGTGGTTGTCGAGGAGGTTCAATCAGAGACATCAGGCATCTGTTCAGCCATGGTCGTGGTGTTGTCTTGTGACTGGGGTGTTGTGTCCAGTGTGTCGCCGACTGCTGGAGTTTCTTCTGGATTTGGAGAAGCATTCACTTCTGTCTCTTCGTCCTCCTTACCAAAAAGTATAATATCAGGCACGTATTGATTCAATTTAATTAATAATTCATTAAACTTCTTTCCACTCCAAAGGTCCTGAACGGATTTATCCTTTGTAAAGTTGATATACAAAAGTTGAGTGAACACCATGCTCATTGGGCCAGATGGTGGCCATGTCATCTTCTCCAGCAACAGAGGCACTATTGGTTTCTTGAGGGCATCAGCGAGACTGATTTCCCTCCTGCAGTTGGCCGACAAAGAATACTTCGAAGTGACACATGAGAGAACGACCTTTGCCCCTCGCACGCCCTTGTCAATTTTGTCATAGAGGGAGTCCCCACCTCCCATTTGGTAGATGTCCATCCAGACGGTGAAGCCCATCTCAGTCAGGCGCTTGTACAAGAGTTGAATCTGCTTCTGTTTTCCCCACTGGTAGGAGATGAATACATCAGGAGAGGCTGCTCCAGACTGTAAGAGAAAATATTTCTGTGTAATAATGTAACAAGATGCACAATAAAACTGTCATTTACATATATGAACGAATCATACATATTGGGTATTGCTGTTTCATGTCAGCCAGCTCCACCTACCTCCACGTTCTGCTGTGTCTTCTGACTGGCAGCCGTCATCGCCTTCACGTCCTTCTTTTCTATCTTGATGACTTCAGCCACAGGACACCACCAGTTCTTGTATTCTATGTACAGGAAGGTAAACTTGGACTCAATAAACATTCACTTCCCATGTAATATCTTCCCAGTTCAATACCTGTTAAACGCACAACTCATGACCTTTGTTTGTGTTATAATCCATTAATGAGATCCAGGAGTACTTATGAAAACAGGTTAAAGAACGACCACAGTTAGAAGGCTGTGTGTGGCAATACCCACAAGCAATGAACTTTAGTCATATGAAATATAAAATTGGGTGTTCTGTACCTTCTTCAGAGTTGTATATATTCATTTCATTACTTTGTGAATTTTGTTCCACATTTCTGAGCAAAACATCCCACAACAAAACCCCAATAATAATTAAGTCTTAACATAATTGTTTTGGTGGGTATTATTTACCCCTCAGTGTCATTAAACGTTCAACACTCACAGTTCACACTGTCACCTTCCACCATATCACAATCGACACCAAAGCACAACAAACTTACCTTTTCCCACCTTCTTTTCATCCTGCTTGACGTTGTTGTAGTTGACCTGCATCAGGAGTTCCTGGAACTTAGCTGCTGACCAGTACCTGACGTCACCAGTCTCCTCCCCAGGCCGGGTGAAGAATCGGATGAACAGATACTCACTGAAGATTGGCCCCATTGAGCCTGGTGGTGGCCATGATAGTTTCTCCATCAACAGAGGAATGATGGGCTTACCCAGGCTTACTGAGAGGTTCACCTGAATCCATATTGAATATATATATTCGTAAAGGTGTGGAAATGGAGAAAGTTAAACAAAAGTGTAATTGTAGTACCCAGTGTAGGTAACCAATTACAATTCTGTCATTGGTTTCAAACCACAACAAGGAACTATATCAATTTTTAAGAAGTTGTGCCACTGCATATAGTGAGGAAATATCAAGATACAGAACGTGTTTATCATTTCTCATTGGTAGGAAGCTGTACTGATATAAGTAAATGTGTGTTACAAAATGGAAATTCTTGTTTCCCAGAACGGATGTGAGCATTACATTTAGGACAGGGACGCATTTATGTAACATCTTCATGATGCTTAGGCTGCAAAGCTTATCATAATGGCTGTTGACACTTCTTCCTTCCTGATATCGATGACCCATTAGTTATAATCCACAACCAACCACAAACATTAGACTCCATCCACAAATCACCAGAAATTATCTGTGCATTTGCTTTAATTGCAGAAAGGGGGTCAACCATACCCATTTTATATGCACGATGAATGTTATGTTTCCCACCCTTACAAACTTGAAATCTCAAGCTGCCACTTCAATTATACAAAGATGAGTGGTGGGACAGATTAAGATTATGTCTTATCATATTTTTGACTTGTGCAACCACATCCTTGCCTCTCTAATGCCATTGGGAGACTTTGTGTATTTCTCAGTGACACAACAGATGATGATCTTGGCTGCCCTGATTCCCTTGTCAATCTTCTCGAACAGCTTGTCTCCGCCTCCCATCTGACCAATGTCCATCCAGCAGGTGAAGCCCGCCTTCTCCAGGTGCAGCTTCAGAAGCTTCACCTCGTTCTGGATTCCCCACTGGTAGCTGAGGAACACCTCTGGAGGCTCCGGGTACTCAAACTCTTCGTCCTCGACTACAGCTTCTGGGGAGAGAAGTTAATATTTTTATAACAGCAAAGAATGCAAAACAATTACCAAAAAATAAGGTAACATTTATCATCATAAATAATACATCTTAATAGAGGTTTCAATGATATATGAAACGAGACTGATTGTTTCAGTTACTGTTGCTGTAACCCTTTTCAAATCATATCAAATCTTCCATTCTAAAAGGCCATATGCAGGTCACTGTGTTGTAACATTGGACAAGGTTACTGACCCACTTTGATATGACTGAAACAGCTGTTGACTGCAAGGTGTAATGATAATACAACATATATATAAAAATAGTTAATTGCAATAACCTAAACTAAGCAAAAGAAACGTTCCTAAAAACAGAATGTCAAGAAAGATACTTTGTCAAAAGACATGAATTAACAACATCATTAATAGTTATGTCATAAGAATCAAGTTGGCCTAAAATGTACCCTACTGCAGTTTGAGATGCATCAGTTGTGAGATAGAAGGGTTTGTTTTGGTTGGGATATGCAAGGACGGAGGCTGTTGAAAGCACTGCTTTAGCTTTTTCGACTGCCTGTTGGCAATTGTTAGACCATTCGAAAGACGCATCGTTTTTCAGAAGGTTGTATAAAGGGTCGATGCCAGAAGGTTTGCAACAAAATTGAGATAACACAAGGCCAAACCTAAGAAATGATGCATGTCATGGACATTGTTAGTGGGTGGGATCTATGTGACTGAATCTATGAATCTATTTTTGAAGGATCTACATGGATGCCATCTTTGATGAAGATATGCCCTAAAAAGGTGACTTGTTTTGTCACTAATTTGCATTTGCATTTGAGTGAGTCCTGCTTCTTTGATCTTTTGGAATACTGCCTTGAGGGGATTCAAATGTTCTGAAAACGTTTTAGAAAATATTTTGATGTCATCTACATATATTAATATGTAACCTCAATTCCTTTCTTTTAGTGTCTGAAATGGTTTGCTGAAATGCAACAGGAGAATATATTAGGTTGAAATTGAGGCGATTACATTCAAAAACACCATCGAGGGTAAAGAAGGTCGACTTGTGTTTTGTATCTGAATGGAGTGGTATTTGCAAAGCCACTAGTACAATCAAGGACACTAAAAATGTTGACATGGCTGTCACCTATATGTGGCATCAACGACATCTTCAATACGTGGTAGAGGGAATATATAGGCTTGGTAACTGCATTGAGGCATCTATAATCTACTGCAAAGCGGTGAGAACTACCCCTTTTAAACCATGACAACAGGAGAATGCCATTCAGAATAACTAAGCTGAATGATATTGGCTTCTAACATTTCTTGCTCCTGCCTGGTACATTCTTTCCTAATGGCCGCATTTTGCTTATAAAAAGGGAGTCTAATGGGTCTGGCGTCACCTGTTTCTATTATGTAAGTATGAGTGAGTATGTCCTGACCAATCTGGGTCAAAAAATTATCTTTGTGATTGGAGAAATGCATTTTACTGAATACTATCAATATTGTCACTATTTTAAAAACGCTTTTGGTGACAAAAGCTCCACTATGATGAGGGGTATTATGAATAGCAAACCACTCCTAAATCCCTAATTGTTTCAACATGATTCCAAAGTGCCCAGAAATTCTATCTCCTTTTTCTGTTTAATGTATACAGCAAACTTTCAGCATATCCCCTCTTATCAAAAGACCCCTCCTGGCAGGACCTTTAATCCCCAGTGCTATCTATAAATGTTAATTAACACTTCCTTACATCGCCTGATCTTACATATGGTATTTTATTATATAAAAATGCATTATTATACGGCTATTGTCATTGTTCTGTTTCAAAATCACCTACATCTGTAGTTATTATGTTTCAGTGAACAGTGAGAAAATGTTAACATTCCTTCCAATTTGAATTTGAAAAGTGCCATGAAAAAATATGAAATGGTCCGCCACTAAGAATCTAACACCTTCATCACTTCATCAGGGCAGTGGGGTAGCCTAGTGGGAGAGAGAGCTTTATTTCAGTAAAGGGGCCACCGGCCCATTATACAATACATGATATCAGAGTTAGACAATTTCAGCGCCAATGAGAAAGTTATTATGCTTTTTAAAAGCAAGAAATATAAATTTAGCTAAAGCATTTTATGCATGGGGTTTTAGATGTACAGAGTGTTACAAATTTATCAAAAGTTACATTTGTGTAAAACTGATGTGGTAGAACCTTACGTCTCAAACTGTCATAGTATGGACATTGTAAACTAAAATTATATTCAGATTCCACTTCAGGTCTTACACAAAATGGACATAGTCTATAAGCTCAAAGTATATTGTACTTCCTTCCATTTTCAATTAGCAAAGTATGACCAGAACATCTAAATTTACTCAAAGCAATAGGCACTTACTGGAATACAATCTAGATAATTTTCAAATACATTATATTGCTTAATACAAGAATAAAAAGAAAGTTTTGAGTAAGTTCTTAAACTGCTAGACCACTGTTGGTAATCTATATCAATACATCTTGTTTTAAAGTTATCAATAAAACCAATATGATTTACTCCTTGACTATTCCAAACATGGCCAAAACCAAATGAATAAAGAAGTTGTTTTACTTTCAGTGCCCAGCAATTTATTCCTTTTTCTCCCAGATTGTATTGATATGAATAGGCATGGCTAAGGATTATATTAGTTTTTTTAGATACAAGTCGGAGACAATATTTGACAATAGGAACATGTGGGGTAGCCTAGTGGTTAAAATGTTTGCTCGTCACACTGAAGACACGGGTTCGATTGCCCACATGGATACAATGTGTGAAGCTCATTTCTGGTGTCGCCATGATATTACTGGAATATTACTAAAAGCAACATAAACTCACTCACTCACCCATCACTGTCATCATATATAAAATGAAGCAGATTAACCTTGATCAACTTTAACAGATCACATACCTGACATCTTCATTGCATTCTCCACGATCACAGCAGCATCCATTCTGTCAATCTCTTGCAGTGCTGTCAGCACAGCAAATGTGGCTTCCCTCGTCTTCCGAGTGGCGTACCATTCATTCAGCATAGCCATACATGGGTCGTGCATCTGAGCCCAGCTCCTGATGTCATCATTGGTGTAGCCAAGACGACTTGATAGATTTGTCCAATCCAGAAAGCCTTCAGGATTGAGTAGTCTGGCCACGTCTCTTGACCAGATGGGAGCATGACTCAATGTCTGGGTATGGTTGTAAACGAGGTATGTGATAAAAGTTACAAATGTATAATGCCCCTTTGAGCATTATTTCATTTATATAATATTGCAAACAACAACAGCAGCAACAGCAACAATAATATTAATGATGACCCAAATGAGGATAAACAATGACTAGACAATGTACTACCAACAAAAACCTTAAAGGATTCAGTGACAAACAGAAAAGCAAAGGACTAAAAGAATCGCCCTGAAATATTCCTCTTTTAACAGAAATGGGTTCCAAAGTCACCACCTGACCTTGCGAATACATCTCAAGTACAGTTGGCCCACAATACATTAAAGACTTGAAAACAAGAAGTCGCTCACGGAGGTCAATGCATTCCGGTGACTTCAGAATCCATTCATGAGGTACAGAATTATAAGCTCTTCTGTAGTCAGTCTAACACATTGAGAGGTTTTCTGGTACGTTTTGGCTCTTCAAGGATAATTTTTTAACCAGCAGTTGATCCTTGCAACCCCAACTGTTATTATTACTATTATTATTATTTTTGCATGAGGATAAATGATGGCTAGACATGGTCCAACCAACATGACAGACCTTTTCGTCGAGTTCCTCCACTTTAGCCTTGGTGTCATCCACCGTCTCCTCCAGTTGACCCATCTTCTCCACCTGTTCTTTTACTTCATGTTTGACTTCGTCCAGTTCCCCCTTCTGTTGCCCCAGTTCCTGGTTGACCTGCACCAGACCCTCTTCAGTGTTCGTCACTCGTACATCCAGTTTTTCCACATCTTCCTTCACCTCCTTGATGTCCTCGGCCAGGCTTTCACTGAGAGAATTAGATAATCCGTCATAGCACTAAAATCGTAGTCAGAATGTTCTACAACAGCAATTCCATCATCTATCATAATCCGAAGGACTATAGATTTCAAAATGAGAGAAAAATCATTTACTTACATCACCACTGGATATTACTTGAAAAGGATAATTTGGAATACTGTAATTGTTTTCAATAAAATGAAAGTGAAAAAAACCTTTCCATAATTGTAAGAAATCCGTTCTAAATGTCCATGGTATGATTCCTACATCTTATCTCAGGGACGGAACACTTGGGATTTATATTATGGAAGGTCCAAGGGGTCAGCACATAAGACGACGTAGGTACAAGGCAGATCAAGTTGAACATATGGAATGTTGAGCAAATGAATGACAAAAAGATAAATGCTTGCATCGTTCAGGTGTAATTTAGCCGTTGTATGTGGTACATGACGTTAGAAAGTTGCAATGACACTCACGCTTTTCCCTCCAAGACATCAATTATATAAGTACAGTGATCCTTTGTTGTCACAACAGTAGATCTCTCCCTCAGGTCCTCTAAGGCAGGCTTGCGGCTCTCCAGGACATGTCGATGTACTTGGCCTACATTACGCATCCCCAAAAGATAACAAACTGTCACGCCATGTACTTCGGGGCCCCGGATCTTCTTCTCTAGAAATGCCATCATTCTCTCACACAGGGCCTGGTATTACCAAGAAAGGTTTGTACATTACAGTGAATGAATAGAGATTATTTGCTGAGTGTTATTCTGTATCATATATCAAATATTTTGAATATAAATTGTAAGTCACGAGGTCATGACTTCAACCAATGCCTCTTGATTCCAAAGGGTGCACGGGTGACCCGTGTTTAATAACAGTCTGCCTGTAATGAATGAGGAAGTACCTCATCTTTGCTGCTGACGGCCACATTCGTTAAGACCTGGAGGAGTGAGTACCAGGCTCCAGTTGCGCTGTCTGGTTCCATATCCATCAAGGTTTTCAAGTAGGGAATGAATCTGAGAGGCATCTCGGTAGACAGAGGATCCATGATATGCAAATACGAATTCTGATTGTCGTCGTCGGCTTGCAACAAATCATCAATCAGTCTTTCAAAGTGCCTCTCCTTGAACAGCTGTAAAGAGCAAATCCCCAAACAATATGTACAAGTGTTTCTGCATGTGACTATTTCCAACATAATGCTATATTAATATGTTTATTCTTTATACATTCATACTCTTCTTACAGCGTAGCCTCTGGTCAACTAACAGATGCAGTAAAAGGTACACGTGTTTCTCTTTCTTTTGCAAATCAGATAAAGGCTACGTTGTCTCCATATGTAAATAAGTGACACAACCCTTTCCATAACCTTATGAATTCTCTACTCAAAGCAGAGTCCATAGTACGATTCCGTCTGTACCAAAATCATGTGCTTATGAATCACTGTCAAACAGTACTGATACCGTATCCTGCTCCGCCAGTGGCAAACAAACACATGCCTAAGCAAAAGCAAGTGTTAACATGAGCAAAGACGGGAACACAAGTCAAAATAGGGAATAGCATCGGACACCATATTCAAATTTGGAAATGTTATCCACGTGTCTATCATAAAACCTATTGAAAGTTTTGCACGACCTAAAGGGGAAGTTGGCTCATGGTGGAGAGTTGTACAGTCAGGGTTTTAAAATTACTTTTTCCCTACAGATCAAGATCAGACTTGAGGTCCAAATATAATATGTCCTTTGGTTTTCATTAATAAGCAATATTTAGTTGTTAAATAAGATCAAGTTGGCTCATTTCATAATCATCCAAATGCTTTGCTTGGATGGCGTATAATACTTACAATTGACTGTTTCTTGGCGATTTTGTGCAACCACAGTAAAGCTTGGTGTCGATAGTTGGTGTCAATGAACGAGAACACGGCCTCAAACTGTGACTCCAGAAGGTTGGGACTGTGTGGATAGAGTGATGCGAGGGGATCTAGAAAAAGGAAACTAGCTTTGAAAAACGTCTTTGAGAAACATTTTGAAGTTGTAGTAAGTGGAGTAAAGAAGTTGTTCTTCCATACATCTTATGCTTACTCCCTTTGAAAAGACCAACAATATATATTAAAGAAGAAAACCTTTTTACCAGATGATGCCTGAAAGTCATATTTAAAGACAAATATATGAATTGCTTCTTAGAAAACTCACATACTACCGGGTGGCCCAGTCGTCTAAGGCGGCGCGATTCGCTGTGCAGAGTTGCGTCTCTTGGGCACGCCAGAAACCTATGATTGTGGGTTCGAATCCCGGTTCGCCCCGATTATGTTTCTAGGTTTGTCTGCACCATACCCATGCTCGTGGGTTTCACCAAAGCGGTTAACATCTGAGACCTGCATCAATTCGGTCTTTCCTCCCACATTAAGCTGACACGCCATGATATAACTGGAATACTGTTAAAAGCGGCGTTAAACCCAACTCACTCACTCACTCACTCACTCATATACTGCCACGAAAAGCTTAAACGTAAGACGCAACTTGGAACTTGCCTTGTGTATTGATAGTAAACAATCCCAAAAGCACTAAAGACTGTGTCCTGAGTTTGTTGTAGCACATGTGTTTAACTGTGGCCTCCAACATGTAAATGATAACATAGTTTCACCTACCAATTAAGGAATAATTGTCTGTGTTAATGCAGGCAGTAAGGATTTGTGGGAAGAATTGTGTCATGACCTTGGTCCCATGGTTCACTAGATTCTGGACCTGCCACATAGCCTGATCTGCGATGCTGGGGCTCTCGTGAGACATCAAGCTGATCAATTGTCTCACCACCGGCATAGCTCTCTGTATTTTCCGAGGATCGTCCAACTGGCAAAGTGACAGAACATGTTAGACTTGGTAGTAAGTAACTGCACCGAAGCGTCGTCGCAAGAAAGCTACAGAAAGAAGACATTCTTATTAATGATTTGCTATTATGAGCGTGGTTGAATAGGACTTTGTGTGCAATATAATCAGATGAACCATTTAGATGAAAAGCCAATGGATGTACATGCATGACAGAAGTTGAGCGTGATGCTATGATGAAGAGTTTATTTGAGGTACTTTTACATGTAACGTACAAGTCGGACGAACGTGGATCCCTGCTCGTAGAAAAGGTGATAGCGCATTGATTCTTTCTCTTTAGGGTTTTCACCCACCAAACCGTCTTTCAACACTGCTCGGAAGAACTTGATCAGAACAATGAACTCTTTCTCGTCCGGCGACTTGGACGCTCTATAATAAAAGCTTTACTCAGTAATGAAGACAACCACATTGCTATTATTCCATCTACTGTATGATTTTGTTTGTGTGCTTCTTATCGCTGCACACCGCAACATTACAGCTGCGTCACTGCTACATGGACCAAACTAATGATCGATATCATGGGCAACGTCCCACGCCGTCGGGGTACGATTACACACATCAACTAAGTCACAGAGCTTGGCCACCCTGTCCATTTGATGGCCTCTAAATGTAGCTGGGGACCTGCTCTTACCCAGATCCCACACAGAGCTCAGCAGCAGGAAGTGACAAATATCTTAACATGGCTGTCGATTAATGTCTCTTATTGCAAAAAAAACGTTGGTGGAAAGTTTACCTAAGTCGGCTATTAGTATTCGAAGCTGGCAAATAGGTACATTTATTCACTTGCTAATGACAACCCGCAAGTCAGTGTCTATTCAATCTAGTCTGGTACAACTGTCTTTGTGTCTGAATGGTCATGTCTGGTGCCACTGTCTTTGTGTCTGAATGGTCATGTCTGGTTCCACTGTCTTTGTCTCTGAATGGTCATGTCTGGTGCCACTGTCTTTGTCTCTGAATGGTCATGTCTGGTGCCACTGTCTTTGTCTCTGAATGGTCATGTCTGGTGCCACTGTCTTTGTGTCTGAATGGTCATGTCTGGTGCCACTGTCTTTGTCTCTGAATGGTCATGTCTGGTGCCACTGTCTTTGTCTCTGAATGGTCATGTCTGGTGCCACTGTCTTTGTCTCTGAATGGTCATGTCTGGTGCCACTGTCTTTGTCTCCGTGTGACATCTGTATATCGCCGCTGTGAGACGTGCAACCTTTGGGTGAAACATACGAGCACCAGTATGTGTCTGGCAATACGTTCATGTGATTGAGGTTACATTTTCCAATTACACATAATTGGGGGTCAGTGCGTGTTTCGTTACATGTGGTGACTCCTTGTGTCTGTCCAGTGGAACTCCGTTTGCCCGGAAACCCCACTATACAAATGATACTGTGTGGAATACCTAAACTATTCGCAGGACAATACTCTGTGTGCCTGATTGCTGAATACAGGCGATATCTTGGGGAACGAGGTACCACTCTATCTGTGTCTTTGTATCACACAGGGAGGGAGGGCCTAACGATCATCTAAGTGCTAAGATCGCTTTGTGAAACCGTACTTACAAGGTGTCCATCCCGACCCCTGCTAGGTCTTTCACGGTACTGGAGGCATCGTCATTCCAGTCGAACCTGGGGTCTTCAAGCAGTGGGAGTACCCGTGCCATAGTCGATATGATCACGCCTTTGTGATACTGGAAACATACGCAACGCAAATATAGGTTACATGGCATCAACACACGTTTGACATACAGTAAAGTACGTTTATAACGAACATGCTTATAACGAACTGACGTATATAACGAACTGATTTTTTTTGTCCCGACTATTTGCTATAGTTATACTGTATATATGCTTATAACGAACTACGGTTATAACAAACTAAATTAAGTGGTCCCTTCGAGTTCGTTATAACCGTAGTTTACTGTATAGGTTACATGGCATGACATGGATCAACACACGTTTGACATACACAGTGCAATCCGTTTATTCATAGCTCTGTGGGCCATGAACATGTAGTAGGGTAATTCAAAAAGACCACAGTGGTTCTGATGGAAAATGAACGCATATCAGCAAAACGATATCAAGTAACAACGAAGTGTCAGTGTATCTAAAAGTCGACTGGAAAGTTTTCATTGTCCTAAGGATAGTGTAGGCAATCAGGATGTTTCCGTGCTGACGTTTCTACGTTACGTGAAGTTGAGTGTCATCATGCTTCATGACGTACAAGGTATACACGTCGGATCCGTTCAATGTTTCCCATGTACCTTTTTCAGCTGTTCAGGGAGTGAGTATTCGGGAGTTTAACGCCGCTTTTAGCGACGTTCTAGTAACATCACAGGGGACACCAGTAATGGGCGTTTTGCAATGAACCACATTTCAACCATGTGGAGAACCTTATGGAGATTCGAACCGGGGCATTCGGATTGGCGAGCCAACGCTATAAGCACTAGGCCACCCCACCGCCCCTTGTTTAGCAAAGTTTAAGGGTTGGGCCTGAACTGTGTCCTATGGTTGACAGTGTGTGTACTTGAGCTGCTTTGTCTGACGTCATTAGATGAAGATAGCGTGCACCTCGTGAAGCACTGCCAACATACAATGCAACTATACAGCTGTATCAAAGCAGCTTGATCACGCATTGCCAAAGGAAACCGAGTTTAACATTCTTGTTTTAAACACGCACAAAACGTGTAGAGAGAGGGCGCAAGGGCGTACCTTTCTAATTGCCTGAGATCACATGACCCATTTACCTACCCTCCCTTTAAATTCGATTCGGTGTGCTGTGTCGCTTGCTGCTTTGAATAATTTCGGCTCCCTCTTTTCAAGTAGTGTCAAAGAAAAATCCGCCATTTTTGCAATCATTTTCGGCAGAACCTGCTCCCGTCTGAAACGAATTCGATGTCATTCATTGCATAGTCAATAAATATACTGGACAACAAAAGATTACAAAACAATGCCACGGCACAGAGTGAGTGAGTGAGTAGGTGAGGTGAGGTGAGGTGAGGTGAGATGAGATGAGGTGAGGTGAGGTGAGGTGAGGGAGGGAGGGAGCGTCGCAATCATCACTATGTCAGCTACAACACAACGGCCTGTAGACATTTCAGCCTTGGCCGTGTATGGCCGTGATATGAAAGCAAGGTGTACGTCGTGGCGGTAAGCTGAAACACCATCAACCAGGTCACACATTGTGGCCACCAGATCCTCATTTTAATCTGGTTTCACAGCCATTGGGCGCCGAGGTCCTTTTCGGACCCGGAATCTGTATGAATCATCATTGTTCGGAACATGCAGACAAAGTAACGGCTTCACCTCTCTAACACATGACGGCGACCTCTCACTCAGTCGTTACACATATTCGTCTATAAAATAAGACATCCAATCCATGAGTTCTAGGCTTTACAGAAGGATTAAAAGTCATATGTCACATAACAATAGACTGGTACCACATAGTGATGGAGTGTGTAAGGGAGTGAGTGTTTTATGCCGCGTTAAACAGTATTTCAGTTATGTCTCGGCGTGTCAGCTTTATGTGTCAGCTTTAGCCAGGTGTGTTGTCGATTTTTTCTCACTTTGGTGAAAACCACGGGCACGGACGTGGTGCTCACAAATTAAGAATATTAATCAGGGCGAAAATGTGATTCAAATTTTCGATCATAGAACCTGATGTTAGTTTATTATTTGGGCGGTCGGGTAGCCTAGTGGTGAAAACGTTCGCTCGTCACGCCGATGACCCGAGTTATATTCCCGACATGGGTACAATGTGTGAAGCACATTTCTGGTGTCCCCGCCGTGATATTGCTGGAATATTGCTAAAAGCGGCATAAAACCATACTCACTCACTTGTTTAACATTTTGAATTAATGATTGTGTACTCACTCCAACAAATACCCGAAATGGTCCGTGAGCTCGCTGAAGTTACTGCAATACTCCCTTGTCTGCTTATCATCCCCAATCACTTGGACTTGTGTCAGGAGGTCAAACAGGTCACACGCATCCTTCAAGTGATCCTAAATTACACGGAGGTGGCTTAAGTGGTAAAACACAAACTACTTTATGTATTATTTATTCAACACCTGACGTCTTCGTCGGCAAGTGAATTTGCACGAAATGTGCCTCTCTTCTCCCACACCGGATCGGAATCCGACAAGTCGGTTGTCTGCAGGCCAGTGAGGAATCGCTCCAAGGCTGCTGGATATCTAGATAACTGACTGTCCTGTACAGACTAACAACAACAAGGCCGATGTGATGTGTGGCACAACATCGTCAATGTCCTTCGACCTGGAGATGAATTCACTTGTCTGATTTTGCTCTGAATGCTACTGAAGGCAGGTTCAGTATCTGGTGAGGTGAGGTGAAATTGGGTTTTACGTCGCGTCCAAGATTATTGCACTTATATAGCGACGTGCATGCACGTGTATGTGTGTTTGTCGCTGCTTGTACTAGTCCGGACTGATGCCGATTTATAGTGCTAGCTCACTGAGATACCATGCCGCAGTTTAACATGAATACTCCACTCAGACACAGTATACTGACTCCGAGCCGACCAGTCCTTGTTTTAGCCCCTTAATGGCGAGCGCCAGACAGGGTAACAACAAGTACAATCTTTTAACGTCTTTTTGTATGACGCGGCCCGGGATCGAACCCTGGACCTTCCGCTCTCCGGGCGGACGCTCTACCACAAGACCACAGAGGCGGTCTTCAGTATCTGGAGAACACCTCATACTGTATATGACGCCACAGTAATGTTGTACAGGAAACGGTTTGATCGTGGTGAGGCTGAAACAGCCATGGATGTTTTTTTCCACTATTACAAACAGGATGTAATCACTGTGCAAGATCAGCTTCACAGGCGAAAAGTACAGCCCAGACATCCGATGTCTGCATCACGACCAGTTTCATGGACGAAAATGGCCATCGAGCAGGCTCTGGAGCATAAAGTGACGACTCCATTTTCTTGGCCTGAAAGTTACACCGTTTTAAAACATATTGATCATGGGTAGACGTTTCCGCGAAAAGACAAGGCGAAAGACAACGATCAAGACAATGATCTTGTGACTTCTAAAACATCTTACCTTCCATTGCATCTTGTCTTGCGATTCATACATCATCTTCTTAGCTGCTTCGATTGTTCTTGGTTGATATATTCGTATACACGCCTTGATCAGGTCTATAGTTAACCGGCAATGTGCAGGAGTCCTGAAAGATTTTTATGCCAACAGCCATTAGCTTTCACAGATTTAAACCAATACCATACCCGCATCGCAAAAGTGGATGATATTTATGGATAGACCTACGTCCAATAAGAGGAAAGTACCCTGTTCCGAATAGTTGATGCATGCTTCCATTTGTATATGCAACTAAACAGAAAATAATTGTTTGAATTTCAGTTACAATTTGTGTATATAAAACCTATCTACTGATTTATATCGTTCGTAAATAAAAGCGACAACACTGTTTCCGTTATCATAAGGATTTCATTTCACGATTCCGAGTGTATCATCCGTATGTTTTTGTTTTTATAATTGATCGAAGTTAGGTAATAGAGTCTAGCCCAAACCATGGATAGCGGCGATATGATTGCTCGAAGAAGGTTTACAATGTCTAGCCCAAACCATGGATAGAGGCGATATGATTGATCGAAGACGGTTTACAATGTCTCGCCCATGCCACGGATAGCGGTAGTATGATTGATCGAAGACAGTTTACGGTGTCTCGCCCATGCCACGGATAGCGGCGATGTTATTGATCGAAGACAGTTCACAGTGTCTCGCCCATGCCATGGCGGTATGATTGATCGAAGACAGTTTACAATGTCTCGCCAATGCCATGGCGGTATGATTGATCGAAGACAGTTCACAGTGTCTCGCCCATGCCATGGCTTACAGTGTTTCATCCATAGCATGGATTGGTCGAAGAAAGTGTCACGGCTTACAGTGTTTCATCCATAGCATGGAATGGTCGAAGAAAGTGTCAAGGCTTACAGTGTCTCGCCCATGGCATGGATTGGTCGAAGAAAGTGTCATGGCTTACAGTGTTTCATCCATAGCATGGATTGGTCGAAGAAAGTGTCACGGCTTACAGTGTTTCATCCATAGCATTAATTGGTCGAAGAAAGTGTCATGGCTTACAGTGTCTCGCCCATGGCATTGCTAAGGACTGGATGGATGGCATAATCCACATAATGGACCCTCATCAGGGTGTGGTCTTCCAGGTTGGTCAGAAAGTCGATCAGCTTCGTCGTCATCACGGTGAACATCTCAGAGTTGCCCTAGAAAAGGCAGATCACAAAACATGTGGCTTGCAAACTCTCTTTTCAAAATGATGTAATCTGGTGCTATATATCTGGTAAATTTATGACGTATGACCTCGTGTGGGGTGTATGCTGCGACTCATCAGTGAAACAAAGTGCAGGTGTGCCGTGCCACAGGTTTATGTATAACATTATAATAATGGACACAGCTCATGGCATTTCGAAGTTCAAGTTATTGATTGTGCTGCGTTAAAAACAAGCAGATTCGAAAAACCCTTCTGATTACCTGTAAGGGACGGACGCTGTAGTAGAACCTTCCCACTGCTTCTACGATGGAGTGGATTGGACTTCCTGCCTTGGTGTCACAGATCACAGCCACGAAATCCAGGATGTCCCGGTACACACTGAGGTCAATGTGGCCATGCCTGCAGTGGAATCATATCCAATCGTTTGGTGTTCTGTTCTGTTCGTTTGGTAGCATAGTTGTTAAAGCGTTCGATTCCCCATATAGGCAAATTGTGTGAAGCCCATTTCTGGTTTTCACCGCCGTGGAATATTGCTAAAGACTTGAAACCATGCTCACTCAATCAGTCCAATCGTTATCAGGGAGACGCTTGAAATCATAACAGCTGAACAATCATATTACTAGGAATGAATCATTTGTAACATTTTTAATATATATCTGCGTAGTAAACACTCTTCTTGTGAGAGGCAGATATATTTTGGTTACGATACATAAACTGTGTTAAAAACAAAATTTGAAAGACAAATTAGTTTACGTTTTAGTATATCCTATGGATTGGGACTTAGTGTTGCTTAACGTTATTTAATCATCCACGCAATCAAGGTACAATGACAAACAATCAGAGCACTGATCCACGCCGTCAAGGTACAATGACAAACAATCAGAGCACTGATCCACGCAATCAAGGTAAAATAACAAATTATCAGAGCACTGATCCACGCAATCAAGGTACAATGACAAACAATCAGAGCACTCACCCACGCCGTCAAGGTACAATGACAAACAATCAGAGCACTGATCCACGCAATCAAGGTACGATGACAAACAATCAGAGCACTGATACACACCTTCAAGGTACAATGACAAACAATCAGAGCACTGATCCACGCCTACAAGGTACAATGACAAACAATCAGAGCACTGATCCACGCAATCAAGGTACAATGACAAACAATCAAAGCACTGATCCACGCAATCAAGGTACAATGACAAATAATCAGAGCACTGATCCACACCTTCAAAGTACAATGACAAACAATCAGAGCACTGATCCACACCTTCAAGGTACAATGACAAACAATCAGAGCACTGATCCACGCAATCACGGTACAATGACAAATAATCAGAGCACTGACCCACACCTTCAAGGTACAATGGCAAACAATCAGAGCACTGATCCACGCAATCAAGGTAAAATAACAAATTATCAGAGCACTGATCCACGCAATCAAGGTACAATGACAAACAATCAGAGCACTGATCCACGCCTACAAGGTACAATGACAAACAATCAGAGCACTGATCCACGCCTACAAGGTACAATGACAAACAATCAGAGCACTGATCCACGCCTTTTAGGTACAATGACAAACAATTAGAGCACTGATCCACTGCAATAAGGTGCAATGACACTCAGTCTGCCAAGTCACATAGCCTGACCACCCGATTCCCATTTCAGTCGTTACATGGGGTGCTGCATATGGACTTCAGAGGGCCTCTACAGATGCAGGGTTAAATACAGATTCGTGTCAGTTATAAAAGTTTTACAGTTGTCACTTACTTTATAACTGTCAGCAACATCTTCACAACATCGTGCAGCCTCTTAACGACGGCTTCACAGTCTTCAGTTGTCAGATTCGTTTGACAAATGATGTCCTCAATCTGTTTTAAGAAGTGTTTCAGCTGTTCGGGATCCTTCAAGCCCTTTAGTAAGATACATACAGACTGATATTCATGGAGTCACATTCACCTACATAAGAGAGAAGGTCAAAAAGTTCTAAGTCTAACAAACAAAACCAACTATTTTGAAAGTGTTTTTAATTTTATTTTTCAACATAATCTCCCTGATTTTCGATACATTCCTCAAATCGATAGTGAAGCTTTTCAATTCCAGTCAGGAAGAAGTATTCTGAAGACAGCCTGTAAACCCATTCACGACAGTTTTGAGGTAATCGTTGTCGTTATAGCGCTTCCCACGAAGGTGTTCTTTAGGTTTGGGAAACAGGTGCAAATCACGTGATTGACTAGTTCACTTTGTTATGGCCCATATATAGTTGAAAGTTAATCAGGCTTAGAACTATTTTATCAGCCTTCGTACTGTATACACTGGGGACATTTATTTTGCATTTGACGACCAAGCATTAATATCTATGTGTATGGGCCAAGGGAGTTTAACTACTTTTAATAACATCGCCCCATTGTCATATAGCTGGGATATTGCCGAGTGCGGCGTTAAACAACAAACAAACAAACAAACGAATAGATTCAGCCGACATTGTATCTATACTGCTTGAATGTTAAATAGATTCAGCCTAATTACTTGAATGTTGAATAGACTCTGCATAAGTGTCTTAGCTACATGGCGTGTCTGAACAGAATCAGCCTGCATTGTAAGTGTCTATAGTATTAGGATGCTAAATAGATTCTGCCTCAGTAACTAGACTGCATGACGTGTCGGAACAGATTGAGCCTTAGAAATGTCCATACTGCCATATTGTGTTTTGGAAGACGATAGTCACCACATATACGTTCCTGTAGTCGTAGTTGTTACAGATGAGCAATGCCAGCTGATCATGGACCTCCCTGACTTCCTTCTCCCGGGAGGTAAACCCGAGATGGGCGTGGAGGTACAGCTCTATGAACTCAGCCTGGGCCTCCGCGAACGCTCTCCCGCTGAAGTGACACATACGTAGGCCATCATGTGTGTGAACATTTATACTTAAACAGATACACCGACTGTTCAAAATGCGTTTCCTATACATCAAACATAAGTTAAGAATTTTGACAAAATGCTTGTTTTATTACTCTTAGTTTGTCAACCGTGGTTTCTAACCAGACACTCCGTGGTACAGCCCACTGGTCTAAGAGGCGTTTGAACAAACTCGGTATGCTTGCACAAGCTGAACATACAAGTAATGAACACGGTATATTTAACACAGAACATAAAATCACCGCTGTGAATAAGGTACCTGGAGTTCACATACTGGATCAACACGTCCACAAATATGCGAGTTGAGATAAAAAGGCGTTCCAGAATCTTTCCCTTATGTAGCGAGGTGCACAAATGTGTCCACCAGTAAGGGCGTATTCTTCTCAGAGGACAGTAAGACAGCATGTCTCAAGTATATTATCATCCCACGGCTCACATAGGACGCTACTTCGAACCACAAGCGTGTAGGATTGTCTTCAGTACCCGATGTTACCCTAAATTAGTTTAACTTATCGGAACTGAAAAGATGGTTTACCTCAGATTCTGTTTGTCAATGAGTTGTTTCATACAAGCATCGAAAGTGGATTTAAAGCCGTCCCAGCCTGTCCCCTGTTCCTGACTTCTGTATTCCCTCTTCAGGAACAGGATGTGTTTCTTCAGCTTGGATCCCGTGAGGCTCTGAAGTATCATAAATCTATTGCGGATGTTTACCATAGTAAACACAGGAAACCCTGCTATGAAGATTTACTTAAAAGTAAAACCTCAGAGTAAAACCTTGCAAATGGAGAAATAATTTTAGAACATTATAGAACATTAATATGAAACGGGGTTGCGAATCATAATATCATTTGAAATAGAATGTCAGACGAGTTTGTGGATGAAAAGTGCTTTCTCCTGGAAATAAAACCTAGCGTAACATCCTACAGATTTTATCAGACCGTGGTAGTGGCATATCACCAATGCCACAGACAAATGAAAAACGATCAGCTCTGGGCCCTACACACATAATTATTTTTGAAGACACTACAGAAAAGACTATTCATGGGAGGCTGAAAACTTCGTTACGCCGTGTGGATTCATTTGATGGTTTACTGCGGTCACAAACTGTTTTTATTTGTTTTTTTGTTGTTTAACGCCGCACTCGGCAATATTCAAGTAAAAAAACTGCTCAGGTGAGCTGACACAGTCCTCCCTGGTTATAGTGCCACCCTGGTTATAGCGTCACCTTTGCCATAGCGCCATCCTGGTTATAGTACCATCCTGGTTATAATGCCACCTTAGTTATAGTGCCATCCTGGTTATAGTGCCACCCAGGTTAAAGTGCCACCCTGGTTATAGCGCCTCCTTGGTTATAGTGCCATCCTGGTTATAGTGCCACCCTGGTTATAGTGCCATCCTGGTTACAGTGCCACCCTGGTTACAGTGCCACCCTGGTTATAGTGCCATCCTGGTTATAATATCATGTTTTTTCTCAGAACTGTGTTCCGCAGTGGAAAAGTCCCTGGTTAAAATGCCAATGGGATTTTTTCGGAACAAACGTTCTAATTCCCTGGTTATATTTTTGTGTTCACAACTGATCCTCACACAGAGAATTATTCACTTTGTTAAAATAACAAACAAAATAGTTTGATAATGATATGCTTGTATTGCCCCCCATCTAACCTCTCAGCAGCTGTCACAAGTTAAGATTCATGTCAGGCACCTGCAACAAGCCTCCAGCCCCTTGATGCTGGTTGCACCCAATCATTGAAGTCCCAATACCGTAAACTCCAGCTTATTCATTCGATAGGCTGTATTGACAATAAAGTGCCACCAATTGTCGTCCACATGCCTCCTATATATCATGTCATGTCAGTAAGGTCTGGTTTTCACCACCCTGAGTATAATGCCCCATTTCCCGTTACACGAAAGGTGGCATTCTAACCTGGGAGGACTGTAATTGCTTCTCGAGATGCTTGATAAGATGCACTGTTGACACGCTGCCAACTTTAAATCTTTAAGTGTGTTGTAGTCCTTTCGTGTGGCACTTTCAAAACTGTGATTCATACTTTCTGAATCGTCGAGTTGAAATTTCGATTTGAACGGTAACGACACTATAGTTCTTATGGTGATAGAACCAGCAGTTCAGTAATATCACAGTGTGTGAGCCGTGGGAGAGTGAGTGAGTGAGTGATACATTTCGGGTAGGGGAACACGATTAAGACTTACCCAATAGTAGACCTTGAAACCGAAGTCTCTGTCACTAAGCATTTTTGTCCACAGCTGCATGTGTGTCGTCCCCGGCCCCTGCTGGATCAGGTCGTGGAGGAAGTCGAAGCAAAAGTCGTGGATGCGGGACAAAGAAGTTATCTTCCCGGAATCCCTCAAATTTCTGTAAAGGTAGACCTGACTTAGGACCATGGCATCCCAGGTGAGCGAGAACATCCACGTCCCAAGGTAATAATGCGGGGAAGCGGCGGTTGTCCTCAATATCAGCAGTCGTTCGGGTGAGTATTGATCAGAGTGAGTGAGTGAGTTTTGGCTTTACGCCGCTTTTAGCAATATTCCAGCAATATCACGGCGGGGGACACCAGAAATGGGCTTCACACATTGTACCCATGTCGAGTGAACGCTTCAACCACTAGGCTACCCGACCGCCCGTATTGATCAGACAGTTAGTGAGTGAGCGAGTGTATGGTATTTTACGCCACACTTAAGCCTGCCCCTGACCAACCGACCCTGACCACGAGATCCAACTAGTCGCCTTTAACGACAAGCCTATTACAACATGAATGTCTTCTCATATCATTACAGGGAAGATATTGCAGAGTGCGGCGTTAATCAACAAACAACAACAAATTACAGGGAAGTGTATCCTGTGCGTTATTGAGAGGGATTTAAGTAGTTTATGGAAGCTGTATACTTACTTGGACAAGGTCATAAGGTAGGCCAGGACGTCCTGTACGACGAAGAACTGTGTCGTGTACTGTCCAGGGAAGTCTGGTCGACACACCCCCTTCCTCAGCAAACTGAACGCCGCAAGCACATCCTCCTCGCCTGCCTCAGCCTCATACTTGCTTGTGTGTCGTTCCAACTCGCTTCTTAACTCTTGCCGCTCATCATTGCCAATTGCCAACATGTCGTATTTTTCTAATAGGAACTCCAGTGAAACTGTTCAACGATCAAAAGTTTTAGGTATACACACCAAGCTGCATTTTTGTTTTAACTAACTACAAATATGATTCTCGCTAAAACAAAACTGTTTGATCAGGGTTACGACATTCAAGGCCTCAGTAAAGCTCTCAAAACGTTTTACGGCAGACATGTGGTGGACATGATGTCATGATGCAGTTCCCTGTTTTCACTTGTACCAAATGTTCCCGTATTTTTAGATGAACAGTTGACTTCTCTTTGCATGTGTTTGTGACGGCTGCCACCGCCGGGGCAGGATGTGCTCACCTCTTCGCGTGCACCTGGTATCATCACTATTTGATTATCATTCTACGTGACTGAGTTTTGTCTTTCTGATGTATTTGTCTCTCACTCACTCACTCACTCACTCACTCCAGGGAGAAAATCATTTATCCTAAACCTAACATAACCTAAACAGATTTGTACTGAATATAGAGCTTGGAAATCATACCAGAGACACACTAGTGAGTGAGTCGTGTCAAAGGCCGCTTTAACAGTATGTCACTGATGACATGTTCATCGTATGTTCTTTTCCGTACACTGTACACTGACTATAAACGTGAATCACTGTGGGTGACAAGTACACTCCTGCTGATACTCCCAGGTACTAGGGGCGGTGGGATAGCCTAGTGGTTACAGCGTTCGCTCGTCACGCCGAAGGCTCGTGTTCGATTCCCCTCGTGGGAACAATATTGTGCAGCCTATTTCTGGTGTCGAGCTCCGTGTTTTGCTGTACGACCTCACTCACTCAGATACTGTGTTGTTGAGTGGGTTGGTCGTGTGCGGTGGTATCTCTTATGAGTTATGGTATGAGTTGATCCCATGTCATTGTATTGAGGGTAAAGTAACAAAAACAAACTGGTATTTGTCTTCAAATCCTTTTTGGGGACATATCAAGCATACCATGGGCGGATACAGGGGGGGGGGGGGGGGGCTCCCCCCCCCCCTTTTTATTTAGAAAAAGTCTTTATTTCTGTATAAATTACCACCAAATAGATTTTTATTTAGAAAAAATCTTTATTTCTGTATAAATTACAACTAAATAGATCTTAATTGTGCACACACACACACACACACACACACACACACACACACACACACACCTTTTCATAAAAGCTGTATCCGCCGATGCATTCCATTGTTGCTCTATTCAATGACATATTTTCTTCCTCAATGTACGATCTTGTAATTATTTACCTATTACGACATTGTGGGAACAAAGCAATAGAAATGGTATCATCTCTTAGATGGATCATTTTCCGTATATCTTAGCATATTTTAGCTGGTCTTTCCGTTGCCATTTTTGTCCTTCATGCACCATACAATCTTTTAACCCTTGCCTAAATCTTATCAAACCATTTTAGAAGGCTTTCTGATAAAATATTCAATAAATGTTTTCGGCTGTAACCGACTTTTTAAGCAATCGTATCTATAATTTTTTAAACTGAACACCATTCCCGATGAAACATCCCGACTGATACTTCTCGAAAATGTCTAAGAAAGCATTTTCATCCTTATGGAAAACGTATTGTGTAAAAAGGAAATCTCAGTTTGTCGTAGACGCAAAGAAATGAGTGTTGGTGACATGATGTGATGTGTCAGATTGTGTTTCATTATACCCCAGACTAGACTGTCCCCGAGTACTATTGCTGACTGTGGAGTAGACCAACATACTCACTCACTCACTCACTCACGCACTCTCACTCACTCACTCACTCACTCACTCACTCACGCACGCACGCACGCACGCACGCACGCACGCACGCACGCACGCACGCACGCACGCACGCACTCTCACTCACTGACTCACTCATTCTCGCACTCACTCAATGGTGAAGTAGAAACGGGTGTGTAGATTTCAAAGACGTGTTGGCTCTTTGAAGATGAGTGTGAGAAAGTGAGTTGTGTTTTACGCCGCTTTGAGCAATACTCTGTGTTTCATATGCTTGTCCCAAGAGGCGACTAAAGGCATCAACCAACCAACCAACCAACTATTACCGTGTTTCAGGTAAACTGAGGGAGGACAGACGGGCGTGATCTAGGTCACTGATGGTTACCACTTTGGTGAAACCCGCCAGCACTGGTGTGGTAAATAATCAGGGAGAACCTGAGATTCGAACCCATTACCACAAGCGCGGATACAGCTTTTTACAATAGGAGGTGCAGGATGTGTGTTTGTTAGTCGTGATGAGCTTTGTTAAACTAGTAAGTTGTAGTGCTGTAATGCTTTTGCATCTTGTATACCAGATCACCTATAACAAGTCCAAATTTTTAATATGCTTTATAAGATGGTCGGGTGCACACAGTGTCGAGGTCACACAGACTACACGCTTCTCCCTCGGCCTGCGTAGAGAACGATATGTGGTACACTGACAGCTACCGTCACTATTGACCTATTTGCAATGGTTCATTCAATAATGTTTACGTCCATAGCAACGGACAAACAACCTCCTGCTCTCTCGCTTGTTCCCAGGTATAATACTGGTATTCAAAAGTATGTCGCAATACGGCCTCATTGAGAGGGGACATGTGACAAGGGCCTCATCGATGGGTCCGTATATGACAGTATGTGTACGGTATGTCAAACTGACTGTGTTTAGGGCATTCTATCCGCTCCGTCTGTTGTCGCCGTCTTTGGATGATGCCAGTTCCTATTACAGGGTCAACGACATATATTCTCCACTGTTAGAATTTTTTACACGCACATTCTGGTGAAGCGTGACAATCCTCCAGCTCAGTCACGTGTTTGAGCTCACCCAGGTCTATAGTCGCTGACCCATAAATGGACACTTGACCCTCCATTTCCGAGCAATAATAGGACCCTGCCTGTATCTTTGAAAAGGTATTGGGCAACTTAAAATTGACACAAAAGTGTTTAGTTAATATAATAAGTCACTGCATTGTCTACATGCAGACAATTACTTGCAAACAACTTGCCCCTTCACATATTGGAATGCATATCACCTCTTAATTGAGGCTTTAAAATGAATTGTTTGACATCGGACGAATGAATACAGATATCTCTGTTTTAAGTAGAAGTATGCAAGCCATTTCGTCATGCTTTGATTGACATGTAGGGTATTTCATACAGTACACCACATTCGGATTGGATGACACACAAATACCAAAACAAGTATACAAATAGTTATATATTCATTCATTAAGCTTAATAATGATTAACCGTTTATTTGTTATTAATATCATCAATATCAACACATTTTAATGCGTCTGCTATTAATATTAGTACCATTGTTGCTATGCCCGCGTACAAAATGACCGAAATGTATTACCGTATTCTTGATCGTCAAAACGGACTCGATCGCCGCTGCCACAACAACACATAGCACACGCCATCTTGAGACCCTTCATGTTCTTTGCCGTACAACGATTTACTAGAGACTACATATGGAACACTACTATCTTCCGTTGAGTGAAAAGTCAGTCAATTAAAGCACTGATTTAATACAGACGTTTTTCGTGGGTAAACGCCGATGTCACTGTTTGAGTGTACATAAGACACAACGTAGCGTGTTCTTAATGCGCCTGTTAACATCTGATGATGTAATGGACTTACATGTCCAGGCGAGATGCATTGTTCGGCATAAATCACTGAAATTAGTTGTCAGGTAAATATCATTAATTCAACAACAACAACATTAACTGGAAGCTCTGCCCCAGCGCGTGATATCTCCAAATGGGCTCTCTGTCGATGCGAGGAGCTTAAGCTGAATGCCAATGTATTTACACCATATTCATGATGGTGTCCTGCTGGAAGCGCCTTTAAAATCAGACAGGCTTCAAATAGTAAGCCCCAGTATCCGTGGTAAAACAGGAATATACAGGCCCTTCGGTGCTTTTCTTTTCTCAGAGTCGGGGTCCGTAACATCATACAGTATTTGCTATATCTATGTGTGTGTGTGTGTGTGTGTGTGCGTGCGTGCGTGTGTGCGTGCGTGCGCGCGCGCGCGTCTTTACATCATACTGTTTCGATACATATTATTGGGTGTGTGTCTTTACATATATATATTTTCAGATTATTTGTCCCCTTATCAAGTTGAGTGGCTTAAGTGGCTGTATGTATGAAAAGGGACAGTTAATGACGTTTTGTATATTGAGTGTTCGGTGTGTGTTGATCTTGGTCATTGACTCGCTCAAGCATATGAACAAATGACATAATTTTTCAGAGTTGTGTTGATCTATCCTGACCAGCCTGACCATGTCACTCCAACCCGATCACACACAACCCAACCACCCCCATGACACTCCAACCCGTTCACACACAACCAACCACCCCATGTCACTCCAACCTGTTCACACACAACCCAACCACCCCATGTCACTCCAACCTGTTCACACACAACCAACAACCCCCATATCACTCCAACCCGTTCACACACAACCAACCACCCCCCATGTCACTCCAACCCGTTCACACACAACCAACCACCCCATGTCACTCCAACCCGATCACACACAACCAACCACCCCATGTCACTCCAACCCGTTCACACACAACCAACAACCCCCATATCACTCCAACCCGTTCACACACAACCAACCACCCCCCATGTCACTCCAACCCGTTCACACACAACCAACCACCCCATGTCACTCCAACCCGATCACACACAACCAACCACCCCCATATCACTCCAACCCGTTCACACACAACCAACAACCCCATGTCACTCAAACCCGTTCACACACAACCAACCACCCCATGTCACTCCAACCCGATCACACACAACCAACCACCCCATGTCACTCCAACCCGTTCACACACAACCAACCACCCCATGTCACTCCAACCCGTTCACACACAACCAACAACCCCATGTCACTCCAACCCGTTCACACTCAACCAACCACCCCATGTCACTCCAACCCGTTCACACACAACCAACCACCCCCATGTCACTCCAACCCGTTCACACACAACCAACAACCCCATGTCACTCTAACCACACAACCAACCACCCCACATCACTCCAACCACACATCCAACCACCCCACATCACTCCAACCACACAACCAACCACCCCCATGTCACTCTAACCCGTTCACACTCAACCAACAACCCCCATGTCACTCCAACCCGTTCACACACAACCAACCACCCCATGCCACTCCAACCCGTTCACACACAACCAACCACCCCCATGTCACTCCAACCCGTTCACACTCAACCACCCCCATGTCACTCCAACCCGTTCACACACAACCAACCATCCCATGTCACTCCAACCTCACAACCAACCACCCCATGTCACTCTAACCCGTTCACACTCAACCAACCACCCCATGTCACTCCAACCCGTTCACACTCAACCACCCCCATGTCACTCCAACCCGTTCACACACAACCAACCACCCCATATCACTCCAACCTCACAACCAACCACCCCATGTCACTCTAACCCGTTCACGCACAACCAACCACCCCCATGTCACTCCAACCCGTTAACACACAACCAACCACCCCCATGTCACTCCAACCCGTTCACACACAACCACCCCCATGTCACTCCAACCCGTTCACACACAACCAACCACCCCCATGTCACTCCAACCCGTTCACACACAACCAACAACCCCATATCACTCCAACCCGTTGACACACAACCAACAACCCCCATGTCACTCTAACCCGATCACACACAACCAACAACCCCATGTCACTCTAACCACACAACCAACCACCCCACATTACTCCAACCATACATCCAACCACCCCACATCACTCCAACCACACAACCAACCACCCCCATGTCACTCTAACCCGATAATACACAACCAACAACCCCATGTCACTCCAACCACACATCCAACCACCCTGTGTCACTCCCACTCCGTCCCTGCACAATCAACCACCCCATAGCACTCCAACCACACAACCAACCACCCATATCACTCCAACCACACAGTCAACCACCCCCATGTCATTTCCCACTCCGCCCCTACACACCCACCCTGTGTCACTGCAACCTACCCCCACCAAACAACCATACCATGCCACCCCAAACCGTCCCACCCACCAAGGTCACTTTATCAGGACGAAGTCTGATATTTTATGTGTGCATAGTATAAGCAGATGAATAATTTAATAAGAGATGGGTTTCACTTGTGAGGGGAGTTAATTCTATTTCAGTACAGGTGCATTGGCACCTGGTCCGCATAGGTATACCTGTAGTTAAGGTGTTAGCTCCATACGTCAGAGGTCGGGGTTCAATTCCCTATGAGTCCACCGCGATACTGATGCAATTTTGCTAAGTACGGTTTACCGTAGTAGTAGTAGTAGTAGTAGTAGTAGTAGGAGTAGTAGTAGTAGTAGTAGTAGTAGTATTTGCAGCAGCAGCAGTAGCAGTAGTAGTAGTAGTAGTAGTAGTAGTATTTGCAGCAGCAGCAGCAGCAGCAGCAGTAGCAGTAGTAGTAGTAGTAGTAGTAGTAGTAGTGGTAGTAGTAGTAGTAGTAGTGGTAGTGTGAGATAATATATAGATGTATAAAGATCAACAGTTGTCCATCCCCGACACAGGTGCTCTCATGGTGGACCAGATTGATGATAAGCAATGATAGACATCTATACGTCACTGGTTTGTTACAGTATTATTATAGTTCCAAATGTACCACATACGGACCCTGAGAGGGTGCAAAGGTGTGCACTTCACCTTTATGAAGCTAACTAACAACATTTAATACATCCGCAAGTGTTTAGGTGGTATGGTCAACTATGTTACGTTTTTCAAAATTAGAACTTTCTCGTTTGGTGATATTGTTACAAACCAATTACAAGATTACCCAACACGAACTGCCAAAATTGCACTCTGCCTTTTTCCATACATACATACTGCTCAACTTGTCATGGGGATATTTGTTATCTTTTACATGATACACAGAACGGTTTCTACACAAGTCAAGTGTATATTTAAGTAGAATGACAATATTTGATTATCCCTTTCACAGGTTGAGTAGTGTACAGTAAAGGTGCGGTGGAAATCAAGATACATGTTTTATAGATGTATGTATTTTGTCATATTTCACGAGCCTTTTAAACCTAACTCGGTGTTTTGGCACGTGTACTGCATCGACTTATAAGCAAGTCATTTGACAAATTGTAACCAAACGGGGAGTTTCAGAACTGAATGTGGCCGAGTGAGACTTGTGCATGTTTGGTGTTTAACGCCGGACTATTGCAGCTATATGACGGCGGTCTGTAAATAATCGAGTCTGGACCAAACAGTCCAGTGATTGCTATCATCAGCGTCGATCCACGCAATTAGGATGCATCAAGCTAATCATTGAGCCTGACCACCCGATCCCGCTAGTTGCCTCTTAGACAAGCATAGGTTGCTGAAGACCAGTTCTAACCTGGATCTTCACGGGTCAGGGAGAACGGTCAGCCAGGTCCCACTGAGTAGCTACCGGAGCCGGTGACCAAATGATACCAAGTGAGTGAGTGAATTGGGTTTAAGGCCGCTTTTAACAGTATTCCAGTCATATCACGGCGTGTTAGTTGATGTGGGAGGAAAGCCCGAAGTGAGGCAGATATCAGACGTTTACCACTTCGGTGAAACCCATGAGCATGGTATGGTGCTGACATACCTAGAAACATAATCGGGGCGAACCGGGATTCGAACCCACAATCATAGGCTTCTGGCGTGCCCAAGGGACGCAACTCTGCTCCGCGAATCGCGGCACCTTAGTCACCAAGGCACCAACCTGGATTGAGATATTACACCTTATTTCTGCAGTTTCCCGGATTGAGGTATTATACCTTGATTTAGGTATTATACCTCATTTCTGCAATTTCACGGATTGAGGTATTATACCTTGATTGAGGTAATATACCTCGTTTCTGCAGTTTCCCGGATTGAGGTATTAAATCTTGATTGAGGTAATATAACTCATTTCTGCAGTTTCCCGGATTGAGGTATTAAATCTTGATTGAGGTAATTTACCTCATTTCTGCAGTTCCCCGGATTGAGGTATTATACCTTGATTTAGGTATTATACCTCATTTCTGCAATTTCACGGATTGAGGTATTATACCTTGATTGAGGTAATATACCTCATTTCTGCAGTTTCCCGGATTGAGGTATTAAATCTTGATTGAGGTAATATAACTCATTTCTGCAGTTTCCCGGATTGAGGTATTAAATCTTGATTGAGGTAATTTACCTCATTTCTGCAGTTTCCCGGATTGAGGTATTATACCTTGATTGAGGTAATTTACCTCATTTCTGCAGTTCCCCGGATTGAGGTATTATACCTTGATTGAGGTAATTTACCTCATTTCTGCAGTTTCCCGGATTGAGGTATTAAATCGTGATTGAGGTAATTTACCTCATTTCTGCAGTTTCCCGGATTGAGGTATTAAATCGTGATTGAGGTAATTTACCTCATTTCTGCAGTTTCCCGGATTGAGGTATTATACCTTGATTGAGGTAATTTACCTCATTTCTGCAGTTTCCCGGTCTCACCTCGGTGGTGCTTGCCCTCCACCTGCCGTCGGGATAGAACTGTAGGATTGTTGAAAGCTACGTTCAAGTCCATTCACCCGCCCCACCAGTAACTTGAGCAGTTTAATACCATATTATACAGACATAGAAAATAAAGTGTAGTTCATCAAGTATCAGTTGTGAAAGTGATCTTACAGACACACGCATTATCTATTTCATTTCATAACTTAATTTCTAATATTCGTTCAGGTTACTTTGTTACTACCTTATTAAACGAGAAAGTTGATAAGCAACTAATGATGGAGAGATCTGGAGACAGAAGCAGTGCTGAGCGTGCGACGTACTTCAGAAAGAGATTTCTGATATATTGAAGCCACCCCTGGGCAACGAAAAGAAACAGACTGAGTTTAAAAAGTGCGAAGTGAAACGGCCAGAGGATAAAGAATTCACATTTGAAGCCTGTAAGTTTACAAAACAGGATTCTTTGCCTGAAGCTGGTTCTTTCATGACCATTAAATATGATAAACCTTTAATTGAACTCTTGTAACTGTTGTGCATAACAATTTTTTAAATAAAGACTGTGTTGCTTAATTACGAATCCCTTTTTGAATGAATTCGGAAAGAGTACTGATAACTGTTTATCAGGACAGTTATCAAGTACTCTCTTTTGAAGTGTCCCAATTTCCAAAATAAACAGGACACTGAATGAATGGTAATCCATGGCAATGAGGTAGATGTGGAAGTTCGACAAGAGTGCAGATATCGACGTGGGAGATGGTAAAGGCGTTACCCCTCTCCGTGATGCATAGTATGGTGGACACTGACTTCATTTTCATAATGTCAAGGTATTATACAATGGTCAGCAATATTCAAGCCATAGTACAGTGGCACGTAAAACGATGGCCCTAGGGCGAGATCGGGTTCAGTGAGTTATCCCGGTTTTTCAATTAAAGTGAAAGTTTGCAAGTCAAAGCCCGAAGTAAAACTTGTTCTAAATCTGAGAATGTGAAACTAAATACCTCATGGCTTTGCAAAGATGAGATATTGCACACTTCATCTTGCTGATAGGGATTTCAAAGATGGGAAATTGCACACATAATGTTGATTCTACTTTCAGGGCCTTTGGTTAGCCCTGATACATATTCTTCCCCCCCAAAAAAATAGAAACGCATAAGTGATTTAGATGTATAATTTATATATCATATAAATAATCAACAGATGGTGATCGATTGTTCAAAATAGGCACACACCATTGTCATTGACCCAGTTTCCATATGGCACACATGGATCAGTAGATTTTCAAGGTGAAGGTCATCTGTTCTCAATATCATGTATGGTCACCACTAGAGTCCAAAACTGACTGGCATCGTGGTCCCTTGGAAGCAATCAGATCCTGAATTGTTGGCCTGGGGAATGTTCACCCACTCTGCGTGCAGAGCTTGTGCCAACTGTCGGGGGTTCTGTGGTTCTTGCTGAGGTGCTGGTTGTCGTCCATCCAGTGCATCCAATAAATTGGGTTTAAATCTGGAGACTAAGAGGGCCATGGCAGGACCTGGATGTTGTGATTCCTGAAAAAGCCTGTTGTTAGTCTTGCTGTGTGAGGTCGGGCATTGTCTAGTTGGAAAATGACGTCTCATCGGTGTTGCCGACAAAGTCCCCGTGAAGATCTGGGTTATAATTGGTCTTCAGCAATACATGTTTGTTGTAAGAGGCGACTAACGGGATCGGGTGGTCAGGCTCGCTGACTTGGTTGGTGCATGTCATCGTACCCTAATTGCATAGATCGATGCTAATGATGTCAATCACTGGATTGTCCTGTCAAGATTTGATTATTTGTACACCGCCGTCATATGGCTGCTGAGGGAGGTGTTAAAAAACAAACAAACAAACGTTAAATTCCCCAGAACTTGCTTCAAGTCTGTTCTACTGGTGTAGGAGATGGCCGCCCACATCATCACACTACCGGGGGCACGGGTGGCCCAGTCGTCTAAGACGCCGCGATTCGCTGTGCAGAGTTGCGTCCCTTGGGCACGCCAGAAACCTATGATTGTGTGTTCGAATCCCGGATCGTCCCGATTATGTTTCTAGGTTTGTCAGCACCATACCCGTGCTCGTGGGTTTTATCGAAGTGGTAAACGTCTCAGACCTGCATCCCTTCAGGCTTTCCTCCCACATTAAGCTGACACGCCGTGATATAACTGGAATACTGTTAAAAGCGGCGTTAAACCCAACTCACTTACTCACTCATCACACTGCCACCACCAAATCTGTCCACTTCCTTTATGCAGTTTCGTGCATAACGTTCCCCGCGACGCCTGGATGTTGGCAACACGATTTTACTATTTTTGCGTTGTTTTTTTGCAGAGTACATAAATTATTAGACTTACATCCCTTTTCCTCAATAACCGACTACCCACCTCACGTCTTGTCCCCTGGTACCTTCACGTGAAGGAAATCGCTATATGTGTTCTTCCTTCTTTACTTAGGTAATACATCATATACAAACATTCATACTTTATGTGATTGATTGATTGTTGTTCTCAGAAATATTTCAGCTGTATGACAAAGGTTGGTGAAGACCAATTTAATCCTGAGCCATGCTTTATGTGAATCGCATTCATCCACAGTTGACGTACAGAGATACTTTTAACATTTTGTTTTGGAATTCTACCATTTTGGTAAACCCAAGAGCATAGCATCGTGCAAACAAGGAATCGTAATTTGCAGGGTGAAGTTGGAATTCAAACCAGGTATGTTTACATGTATTAAATGATGAGATCATGCCTACACTGAAGTTGACTGATGTTTTATCTTCACTCAAACATATACAAGTCAAAACGAATGAGTGCATCATCAGAAAGAAATGTGACCATTAGCCACTTGTAGTGTACGTAACCACTCAATCTCATTAAAATCAGATCTAAGTTCTCGCTGCCACTAAACAAAGATCTGAGGACATCTCATTTTGGGTTATGTCAGAACGACCTTTCGCGAACTTTGACCGACCACTGAAATGACTAACAAGAAGTCGACATCAGCCAAATAGAAATCAGCTTTCTGGGGCACTCGTTTCAACCTGGCGACTTCCATTTCAGACTTTGCTTGAAATATATGTTGGAACAGTTCTCGATTAAAATTTTGAAAACTGAACAAACGAACAGTCCGGAATGTCTAATATATGGTTGAGATTGTATGGCAACGCCTCCTCCGTTCCAATGTTTATCCCTCGGAAGCGAGAGAAAGAGCAGTCGTACCGGTGTTAACGTTTTCGAGGTTGCATAATTAGAAAACACATTCCGACTGTCACTTTCATGATCTGTTAAGTGACGCTTTGATTGGTCGGATGAAATGTCGTTCTGACGTGACCCGTAATGGGATGTCCTCAGATCTTTGTTTAGCGATAGCGAGAACTAAGATCTGCTTTTAATTAGATTGTGTAACCACTGACCTGTAGTGAGTTCTTGTCATTAAACAATATATCATGTGACTAACCATGGGTCCGGGTAGTACTCAGAACCTATCCCAGACCTTGTCGGCTTGAATACTGCTAGCATCTACGTTATACAAAGGGGCTGTATAGAATCCGCACAACAAAGAACAGCAATACTTGGATATAGATCACAGACTTATTTTATTTCAAGTCATGAAACACTAGCTGTGATAATACAGATGTCAGCTGCCAGCTTATTTGAAGCAAGTCCTTCTCCAACAATGGTCTTTCAGATCTAAATTTGCTGGCAATATCTTTTTACAAAGTTAGCTCTGTAAATGTATCCCTGAATTCCTTATTGTCACCATGGCAGAACACAGACACTGATCTCAGAGTGTTGTTTCAAAATGTAGTCCTGGATGTTGAGTCTTCGAAACACAAATAGATCCCCTCTCACACTAACAACACCGCATTGATGCAGCCATCATTCTCAGGGTTGTTGGTAACTTGTGCATATTTCCCTGGAAGAAGACACAAGAAAAGATTAATATCTATTCTTGTTGGCAATGAACATGTTACCATGGTGATGATTAGGTGATCAGCAACATACACAGACACATCATGTCACAGGCAGCTATCCTGAAATACATCCCACACTATTGTTGAGGTCAGGGGCTGTTTCATGAAATGATCTTAATGATGAGATTGTATAAACCTTGATGACCATTTTCTGCCTCCACTCCCTTGGCATGTGAGTGAGTTGGGCTTAACATCACTTTGAACAGTATCTAAGTTATACAACGGTGAGTCAGCTTTATGTGTCAGGAGGTGAGATTGGGTTTAATGTCGCATCCAAGTGTGTGTGTGTGTGCGTGTGCGTGTGCGTGTGCGTGTGCGTGTGCGTGTGTACTTGTACTAGTCCGGACTGATGCCAATTTATAGTGCTAGCCCACTGAGATACCATGCCGCAATTTAACATGAATACCCCTCTCAGACACAGTATACTGACTCCGAGCCGACCAGTCCTTGTTTTAGCCCCTTAATGACAGGAAAACAACAAGTACCATCTTTTATCGTCTTTTGGTATGACGCAGCCTGGAATCCCGGACCTTCCGCTCTCTGAGCTGATGCTCTACCACTAGACCACGGAGGCGGTCTTAGGTGGCATGAAAGACCCAAGTGATGCAATCCTGACATGTAGAGCACCAACAAGAAAATTTATAAAACATGAATTAAACTGGTCTTGGCAAAACCAATCTATTCCAAATAGCCTGCACACTATATCTATGAAGGCTATGCTGTACATACCCCATACCACCTTTCCTCCCTGCGTCACTAGACCAAGCTCACTGATGTTAACCTGCAAGGATAGGATAATGTCAGTATTTGTGTTAAATACATAAAAAACAGTAAACAACCATGTCAAACACTGTCTGAAATTTGAGTACTCTTATCGTGTTCATGCTTCTTGATATTTAAGGCGTTACTTTACACATATGTAACATGTAAGGGTAAAGTCAATGTCCTGTGTACAGATGTTATTTTAATAGTCTGTAATCTGGTCTGTTTGTTTGTTGTTTAACGGCTTAACTCAGAAATATACCAGCTATATGACGGCGATCTGTAAATAATCAAGTCTGGACAGACAATCCAGTGATTGACATGAGCATCGATCCACGCAATTTGGATATGATGACATTCATCAACCAAGTCAGCGAGTCTGACCATCCGATCCTGTTAGTCGCCTTCCTGTTAGTTTGTTTGTTTGTTGTTTAACGGCTTAACTCAGAAATATTCCAGTTACATGACGGCGGTCTGTAAATAATAAAGCCTGGACCAGACAATCCAGTGATTAACATCATGAGCATCGATCCACGCAATTGGGATATGCTGACAAGCATCAACCACGTCAGCAAGCCTGACCACCCGATCCTGTTAGTCGCCTCTTACGACAAGCATAGTCACCATTTACGGGAAGCATGGGTTGCTGAAGACCTACTGGTATTCTACCCCCGATCTTCACGGGTCTATTCTGGTCTCTGAGATCTCATGCAGTCCTGTTACTAATAACATGACACAATGAATGCTATCCTTACAAAATTGCAACCTGTTTGCACACTGTTCGACTGCCATTCTGTCAGTGACCAGCTGGCAATTTGGGCATGCAGACTCGGTACACTTATCTAGATGTCACCATAATTTACTTGAGGAGTTTGACAGTAGCCATTTTGTCCTTCAAGTATGCTTACTGTGTCCTGTGTCATGTCATCAATGGAGCAGAAAATCCAGTATTTGTTTAATTGTTATTTAGTGCCTCGCTCAGCAATATTCCAACTATACGACGACAGTCTCTAATAATTGAGTAAGGACCAGACAATGCACCAACCAGATCAGCGAGCCTGACTACAAGCATTGATTGCTGAAGACTCGGACTGTCTAATTGAGTAAGGACCAGACAATGCACCAACCAGATCAGCGAGCCTGACTACAAGCATTGATTGCTGAAGACTCGGACTGTCTAATTGAGTAAGGACCAGACAATGCACCAACCAGATCAGCGAGCCTGACTACAAGCATTGATTGCTGAAGACTCGGACTGTCTAATTGAGTAAGGACCAGACAATGCACCAACCAGATCACCAAGCCTGACCCACTGACCTGGTTAGATGCACCTTTCGTCAAGCATTGATTGCTGAAGACTCGTACTGTCACATGGGTAAATCCAGTATTTAGATACAGACATTATAAGAAGAAATGAATCCTGCTTTAATACCTCTACAATTGTTCCCTTTGTAATAACGCCTAGTGATGTGTACATTGTAGAACTTGGGTTCTTCTTAACACCAATTATGGGAAGACAGAATGTGGCTTTCAGCTCAGGATGTGTGACATGTGCCTTTCGGAATCGGAGACCCTGAAACAAAAAAACTTGATGTCACTCCTGATACAGCAATTATGATGTAAATGTATAGTCACTCACTCACTCAGTCGCATGTGTAAATGTACAGTCACTCACTCACTCAGTCGCATGTGTAAACGTATAGTCACTCACTCACTCAGTCGCATGTGTAAATGTATAGTCACTCACTCACTCAGTCGCATGTGTAAACGTATAGTCACTCACTCAGTCGCATGTGTAAACGTATAGTCACTCACTCACTCAGTTGCATGTGTAAATGTATAGACACTCAGTCGCATGTGTAAATTTATAGTCACTCACTCACTCAGTCGCATGTGTAAACGTATAGTCACTCACTCACTCAGTCGCATGTGTAAACGTATAGTCACTCACTCACTCAGTCGCATGTGTAAATGTATAGTCACTCACTCACTCAGTCGCATGTGTAAACGTATAGTCACTCACTCACTCACTCACTCAGTCGCATGTGTAAACGTATAGTCACTCACTCACTCAGTCGCATGTGTAAATGTATAGTCACTCACTCAGTCGCGTGTAAATGTATAGTCACTCACTCACTCAGTTGCATGTGTAAATGTATAGACACTCAGTCGCATGTGTAAATGTATAGTCACTCACTCACTCAGTCGCATGTGTAAACGTATAGTCACTCACTCACTCAGTCGCATGTGTAAATGTATAGTCACTCACTCACTCAGTCACATGTGTAAACGTATAGTCACTCACTCACTTGCATGTGTAAATGTATAGACACTCAGTCGCATGTGTAAATGTATAGTCACTCACTCACTCAGTCGCATGTGTAAACGTATAGTCACTCACTCACTCAGTCGCATGTGTAAACGTATAGTCACTCACTCACTCACTCAGTCGCATGTGTAAACGTATAGTCACTCACTCACTCAGTCGCATGTGTAAACGTATAGTCACTCACTCACTCACTCACTCGCATGTGTAAATGTAAAGTCACTCACTCACTCAGTTGCATGTGTAAATGTTCCTGATAACCTTCTGATAATCAGTTGGGAAGGCCTCTATAAACATGTCCGTGTTTTATCTCCTAATGCCAGCAGACTATCTTCTTTTAACATTGTTTAGTATGACACAGCCAGAGATTGAACAACCGACCTTCCACACACTAGGCAGACGCTCTGTCCACAGTCATGTGTCTAATAGACTAAAGGTTCATCATGGTAAAAGTACACATATTTAATACCTGTCAGCGTCAAGAACAAAACAATTCCCTCCACATACAGTAGGTGCAGAATTATGTCATAAAGACAAGTCATTATTTTCAACTGCCATTGCAAAGCCCGCAAAAGGACATGGATTGAACGAGTAAAAGTATGCACACCATAGGTCGAATGAATCTTTCAAACTTGGGAGGTTTTCTTGTGAAGCCTTCTCCCACAAATGTAACCTTGGTGACCATTCTCTTCCATGCTTTCCCTGGAAGAAGATAACAGTATGAAGACATAATGGGCATTTTACATGCATTTTAGGCATATAAGGCATAATGGTCATTTTACATGCATTTTAGGCATATAAGGACAGCAGACTGAGATGAGCAGCAAAAGCATTCAAAACAAAAACGCTTCCCCAGGATAAATCGCTTCGGCTTGATATCTCCTGGAAGATATTGTGATGACATCAGTTACCAATCAAAGGACATCACTGATCTCTCAGCCACTGAAGCTGGTTAGCTCCACTTTCTACATGCAAGACACTGGTTATTAAAGTTGTATGATTGACTTTGGATGATAAATACCATCTCACCCTACTGTCTTTTGATATCAACACTCGTTGATAAAAGTTTGAAACTCTTTGGTATGGCGAGTGTTGATGTATTTTAAGATGCTGAAAACCTAACATAACCGTAGAGATCCAGGATTCAAACCAACAGACATAAGGTTTCTGGTGTGCACAAGGGACGCAACTTTGCACAGTGAATTGTGGCACCTTAGATGACTGGCCCACCCACGTCCCCAAAAAGCATTCAGACCAGCATATATGATTTCTGTAACTCTAAACATACAACTGGAGAGTTTCAAGTGCAGATGAAGATTCATCATCCAGAGAAAGGTTCTTACAAATAAATATACGCTGCTTCAACAATGTCCACAACACTTATCATGCTTATGCTTCAATTAGTTTATACTTACGTTTAGTTTTTCCAGTCTTGATTACTTTGAAAACTTCTGATTCACTCATTCCTTTAACTTTAGGAAGAGGAACATCCCACTTGCCCTGAGAGAAAATGTTACATTAATATCACATCATGATAAATGATCCTAAACTAATCCGCTTATTAGTTTTCACTGAAAATTAAATACGAATATCATAAAATAGTTCTTAATGGTATCAAAAACTAAAATGATCATTGGAACAATCAATTAGATATTGATATAATAGCCAATACAAGCATCAGAAAGATTCAAAAGACAATACTGAAGGACCCATAGTTGAAACAAAAGAAAAATTACAGGACAAAAAAGTGCCTATTAAAATACTTACAGCTTTTTCCTTCCTCTTCTGTTTAATCATGTTAGACAGGACCTTGGCCCTGGACTGGCCTTCTCTGTCCAGCAAATAGGCCGGCACTGCTCCCTGAGGAACCTCATCACTCTTCTTCTGCTTCGTCTTTCTTTCCTCGTGCATCTTGATGCTAGAACAATGTCAATGGTTGGCTGAGTGAGGGAGTGAATTTGGTTTAACACTGCTTTCAACATTATTTCAGTTTTATGACACCGTGTCATGTGTTGGCTGAAGTCTAGTGCCATCGATATAGCCATAATGAAATGTCCTGTTATTGACATTGTCATATTACTCTTTCAAAGTGGCATCTATGCTAGCAGTCTTTACTAGCAAGTGAGTGAGTAGGACAGCAGTTTAATTATATAGGTGGTGGACACTGCTCCATGTTCGTTGGTAGCTGGTGATAAGAATGCAAAAGGCTTTTCAGCCAATTTTTTGTTCTTCGGTAGGTTTTCTGAATATGATCAGAGCTCCAGATAAGCTGCGTATCTGCGCAAAATATGCATCAAAAATGCAGAAATACGTAGTAAAATAAAATCCAAGCGTATCAAATACGCAACGAACATTACAGATTCGCTACAAAAAAAAAACTTGTGCGTATCATCAAAATATTGTGAAGTAACCCTGCGTATTCGATTAGCAAATCAGCAACTTATTTTGAAATTATAAACGGACATTCCGTCAACCTTGCCAAACTCCACGATGACAGTTACATCATGATCATTTGCCATCACACTTTCTTGTGGAAGTATCGTGGTATTTTTTAGTCCTATAAAGCTCTCGAACCCACACGACACCAGTTTGCAGGGACTAGATGAATAGTGTTTTTAAATATTTAACTTAAATACCCACATGTGTAAAAACTAGTGGGTAACAGAAATTTGAATACCCAGATAGAACTACTGATACCCAATGATTTTAAAATGCATGGGTAAAATACCCATAACACCAAAAGCTTATCTGGAGCTCTGTATGATGCCATTTGCGTTGTGATGGGATCGTTTAGCATGTACCTATTACCTACTGTATCCTATTGTCTTGCATTTTTTACACGTATTTGGCAAAACAGTTTTGTACTTGGGGGAACAAGTGGATAGTTAAACTGTCAACACGGTCAAGAGTTCAAATGGGACTTACGTCTTCTTCATCTGTATTTTTTCTGAGTGCCTCTTCTTGTTGTATAATTTGGCTCTGAAAGGAAAACAGAAATGTTCAAGTCAATCTAAACAAATGGTTATCTTAACTCAAGCTTAACACTTCTTGCATAATAAACAATAAGAAACCAGATTTTAAGGTTTGAACACAAACTTAAGTCTCCAAAAATCTTTGTAATTTTTCAGCATGTTCAGTCAATTCACATGTAGTCCGGGGTCACGGGTGGCCCAGTCGTCTAAGGCGCCGCGATTCGCTGTGCAGAGTTGCATCCCTTGGGCACGCCAGAAACCTATGATTGTGGGTTCGAATCCCTGTTCGCCCCGATTGTGTTTCTAGGTTTGTCAGCACCATACCCGTGCTCGTGGGTTTCACCGAAGTGGTAAACGTCTGAGACCTGCATCACTTCGGGCTTTCCTCCCACATTAAGCTGACACGCCGCGATATAACTGGAATACTGTTACAAGCGGTGTTAAACCCTACTCACTCATTTCTCTCACATGTAGTCCAAGCTGTACTCACTTTATACCCCTCAGCTTCTTCGCTTTCTCTGCCAACTCATGGGGTAGACGACCCTCCTTTTTCCTCCTGAAAGGTTTCAAATCATATTAGAATTTGAATTGTTACATTTGCTGGCAATTGACATGATTGATAGAGGATATTTGTGTATTTCAATATCTGACATCTAAAATTTGTTATTGAAATTATTGCCAAAAAATATCACATCAACTTACTTTCTTTCTTCATAGTTGAGTCTACGTCCATGTCTCTTTTGGTGAAGTTCTATATGCTCGTTCTGTGGCTGTAAACAAAACAAAAATCAAAAGCTGTCAGATAGTTGTCAAAGTTTTTAACTTCCAACCTCAAAAATAATTCATCATGATTACCAAGTTAAAAGAAAATTCTGACAACATGAAATAGTTCATGGTCATCTAAACAACAAGTTTGCACTTTACAGGGCTTTGAAGCTAAGCTAATGATTTAATGTAATTAGACAACACTCAGGAGTAATGCACTTTACAGGGCGCACTTTTTCAGATCCAACTAGTGCTGTGGGGGCTTGAAAGTGCTTCCCTGGCTCCCCGGTTGAACTAATTAATGTGTTAATTAGCTGACACTCTACCACGAGCGCTATCACATGTAATCAGTGCTTGTTTAACGGGTCATTTCACCTTGAAGCCACACCCGCCATGGTTTATATCAACATGACGAACCAATCAAACAACGCTATGGTGTATAATGATGTGTTTCGCATCACGTTTGATGCAATCACTCTCATGATTAGTCAAAGACTACCAGGATTAACGCATTGAAAAGGTAAGAATTTATGGCTCACCCTTGCTCTAAGCAGGCTAACCCTAAGAATCAATAAGGGCTGTTGGATTGTAAAGGTGTGTCAGTTACGGTATAGCGAGACATCGGTTGCACTATAGCGCGGTAATTGAGCGGATGGTAGTGCTTGGGATGCGCCTGGTAAACTGCATTATTGCCCAACACTCTACAAATTGCGCGATCATAAATAATTAGTGCTCCATTACCAACATGACCAAGTGATCAACAACCAATTGTTTACCTTCATCTTGATGAGCACTGCCAGTATCTATTATGTGTCCAGAGATCGGAACACGAGAAAACTTTTACAGCTTTTCCTCAAATTACATTTGATTATTTGATTATTGGTTAAAAGGTATAGCTAACCATTACCCTTCCTCACAACTAACCCTAGGATCCCTAAAGGGGTGCTTGACTCTGAAGATCTTTGTAAAGGGCGCGTTTGATTGTCACATCGTGCCCTAACCCCAAGGATCTTGCACTCTTTCCGACTTCTATCTTGGCTGGGGATACACACTAAGGCTTACAACTATGTACCATTCGGAATATTTGCTGTTTTTGAGCTGGGAGATGCTACCCGAGATGTAGGGGCATGTCTTGACTGTAGGACCTCATCGCAGCTCTCCCGGTCTCCGCTGGGGCCTTGCTACCCGAGATGTAGGGGCATGTCTTGACTGTAGGACCTCATCGCAGCTCTCCCGGTCTCCGCTGGGGCCTTGCTACCCGAGATGTAGGGGCATGTCTTGACTGTAGGACCTCATCGCAGCTCTCCCGGTCTCCGCTGGGGCCTTGCTACCCGAGATTTAGGGGCATGTCTTGACTGTAGGACCTCATCGCAGCTCTCCCTGTCTCCGCTGGGGCCTTGCTACCCGAGATGTAGGGGCATGTCTTGACTGTAGGACCTCATCGCAGCTCTCCCGGTCTCCGCTGGGGCCTTGCTACCCGAGATGTAGGGGCATGTCTTGACTGTAGGACCTCATCGCAGCTCTCCCGGTCTCCGCTGGGGCCTTGCTACCCGAGATGTAGGGGCATGTCTTGACTGTAGGACCTCATCGCAGCTCTCCCGGTCTCCGCTGGGGCCTTGCTACCCGAGATGTAGGGGCATGTCTTGACTGTAGGACCTCATCGCAGCTCTCCCGGTCTCCGCTGGGGCCTTGCTACCCGAGATGTAGGGGCATGTCTTGACTGTAGGACCTCATCGCAGCTCTCCCGGTCTCCGCTGGGGCCTTGCTACCCGAGATGTAGGGGCATGTCTTGACTGTAGGACCTCATCGCAGCTCTCCCGGTCTCCGCTGGGGCCTTGCTACCCGAGATGTAGGGGCATGTCTTGACTGTAGGACCTCATCGCAGCTCTCCCGGTCTCCGCTGGGGCCTTGCTACCCGAGATGTAGGGGCATGTCTTGACTGTAGGACCTCATCGCAGCTCTCCCGGTCTCCGCTGGGGCCTTGCTACCCGAGATGTAGGGGCATGTCTTGACTGTAGGACCTCATCGCAGCTCTCCCGGTCTCCGCTGGGGCCTTGCTACCCGAGATGTAGGGGCATGTCTTGACTGTAGGACCTCATCGCAGCTCTCCCGGTCTCCGCTGGGGCCTTGCTACCCGAGATGTAGGGGCATGTCTTGACTGTAGGACCTCATCGCAGCTCTCCCGGTCTCCGCTGGGGCCTTGCTACCCGAGATGTAGGGGCATGTCTTGACTGTAGGACCTCATCGCAGCTCTCCCGGTCTCCGCTGGGGCCTTGCTACCCGAGATGTAGGGGCATGTCTTGACTGTAGGACCTCATCGCAGCTCTCCCGGTCTCCGCTGGGGCCTTGCTACCCGAGATGTAGGGGCATGTCTTGACTGTAGGACCTCATCGCAGCTCTCCCGGTCTCCGCTGGGGCCTTGCTACCCGAGATGTAGGGGCATGTCTTGACTGTAGGACCTCATCGCAGCTCTCCCGGTCTCCGCTGGGGCCTTGCTACCCGAGATGTAGGGGCATGTCTTGACTGTAGGACCTCATCGCAGCTCTCCCGGTCTCCGCTGGGGCCTTGCTACCCGAGATGTAGGGGCATGTCTTGACTGTAGGACCTCATCGCAGCTCTCCCGGTCTCCGCTGGGGCCTTGCTACCCGAGATGTAGGGGCATGTCTTGACTGTAGGACCTCATCGCAGCTCTCCCGGTCTCCGCTGGGGCCTTGCTACCCGAGATGTAGGGGCATGTCTTGACTGTAGGACCTCATCGCAGCTCTCCCGGTCTCCGCTGGGGCCTTGCTACCCGAGATGTAGGGGCATGTCTTGACTGTAGGACCTCATCGCAGCTCTCCCGGTCTCCGCTGGGGCCTTGCTACCCGAGATGTAGGGGCATGTCTTGACTGTAGGACCTCATCGCAGCTCTCCCGGTCTCCGCTGGGGCCTTGCTACCCGAGATGTAGGGGCATGTCTTGACTGTAGGACCTCATCGCGCTCTCCCGGTCTCCGCTGGGGCCTTGCTACCCGAGATGTAGGGGCATGTCTTGACTGTAGGACCTCATCGCAGCTCTCCCGGTCTCCGCTGGGGCCTTGCTACCCGAGATGTAGGGGCATGTCTTGACTGTAGGACCTCATCGCAGCTCTCCCGGTCTCCGCTGGGGCCTTGCTACCCGAGATGTAGGGGCATGTCTTGACTGTAGGACCTCATCGCAGCTCTCCCGGTCTCCGCTGGGGCCTTGCTACCCGAGATGTAGGGGCATGTCTTGACTGTAGGACCTCATCGCAGCTCTCCCGGTCTCCGCTGGGGCCTTGCTACCCGAGATGTAGGGGCATGTCTTGACTGTAGGACCTCATCGCAGCTCTCCCGGTCTCCGCTGGGGCCTTGCTACCCGAGATGTAGGGGCATGTCTTGACTGTAGGACCTCATCGCAGCTCTCCCGGTCTCCGCTGGGGCCTTGCTACCCGAGATGTAGGGGCATGTCTTGACTGTAGGACCTCATCGCAGCTCTCCCGGTCTCCGCTGGGGCCTTGCTGGACATATTTCCATACCAACATAATTATATATCGACCATCTGCGGTCATGTATATCACGTGTAGGTTCTAAGTCTTACCATATTGACTGTGTGTTAGTTGCTTATGAATTCAACAAGTGTTGAATGTGTGGTGCAAGTTATTCACAACACAGTTGTGAAATACACCAAAAACAACACGCTGACACTGTAAAAAGGAAGTTGAACCATGCGCATGCGCTTGACTTTATAAACGTCTGAACAGTGATTTAGAGTTTATTTCGGCCCCTTTATGTGTGGGCGTCTTATATAGGCATGATAACGATTTTGTAATTATCCAAAAAGGTGAAACTAATGACAGAAATAGCAATCTACTTTGTGATGTTCTAAGTTTGAAAATCATTATTCGAAAATGTTTACACAATTTTTATGTTATAGGGGCAGGCAACTCTTACATATTTCCGGTTAGGAAGAGCGAGGTAGTCTCATTTTAGTCATTTATGTAAACATATTGCCCTTCCTGCTGATTGTCATGATTTATTGATTAAACAAATACTTTTGAAAAAGCGAAATTGCAGTCAAAGTACCGTAGCTCGCCTCCAGATGTGACTTATGCCCTCACGTGAAGTCTCAACCAATTCACTTTTATGGATGCATTCTTCCGACTACGCAAGATAGACAAACAAACAGTGTATGTGGTAATAAGGAACCCTTGAAATCGATAGAATTTGCAACTAAGCGAGTATGGCTCAACATCCTAGACTTCATCTGTCAACCTAATTTTTGTATAGACCTGCTTATCAGAAGGTCGAATGACTGCCTTAAAACTCAGTAATGGATTTTTCTTTTGAAGTGTCATGCTTGGATACCAGGTATATGTTGATTGCATTCTCAGATGGGCAAGACAGTTGTATACTGCATGTAGCTTTATGGTACTATTATTGGTTCCAGCTATATCATCACATTATATGTTTTTTTTACATCATATGTTTTTGGACAGCCATGTTTATTGCGATTATTCACCCTATTACAATGAGTGTGGCGTCACCCTTTCATTGTAAATATTCTACTCGCAAGAAAGATTGTTACCCTCTAGAACAGACTATGTAAGGCCAGATATCACCCTGATATTATTTGATTTTGGTTATACATTGTAATTACTAATATAGTCACATTAGTGCATTTTGTGAGGCTGAAATCATGATGGGAATCATTTTTATTCCAAGATTTACAAAAACTTTTTCTGATTATTTTTCTCTTAGTTCAAAAGAACATTTTGAGTATTTTTTATAGTAAATATGCCGCAGAACTAGACAGTGATTTTTCTTTAGAAAGAATTCAACTTTCAATAATGCTGAAAGTAGGAAAGGTTTGTCAATAAAGGTTATTGTCATGATCATTCGAAAACTTTGTTATTGATGATTGATATAACATGAGTGATCCAGATGTTAAAGCATGACACCCACCTCTGGTGCCTAGGAGGTTATTACACTAAATCATGATACTCACCTCTGGCGCCTAGGAGGTTATTACACTAAATCATGACACTCACCTCTGGCGCCTAGGAGGTTATTACACTAAATCATGACACTCACCTCTGGCGCCTAGGAGGTTATTACACTAAATCATGACACTCACCTCTGGCACCTAGGAGGTTATTACACAAAATCATGACACTCACCTCTGGCACCTAGGAGGTTATTACACAAAATCATGACACTCACCTCTGGCACCTAGGAGGTTATTACACAAAATCATGACACCCACCTCTGGCACCTAGGAGGTTATTTCAGGGAAACCAACTCAATTTTCTAAGCACTAGCCTGAATAGTGATGATATTCTGGCAGAATATCAATAATAAAAACGTTATCATGCCAGAATGATATTTTAACATTGTGAACATGGTGAAATAGTTTCAAACATGTTGATTCCATCAAAATAATATTTTAATACCTCATTTAAGCAATTGTTTTTCACCCAAGTGATTTTTTTCAGTTACAGCAATGGAAACCGATGCTCCATCTGATGACGGTGAAAGTGAAATACCTATGAGATTGTGTTCAATGGCCAGCATTCCAGATTCTCTCCTCCTCAGTATCTTCAGTAACCTGGTTGCGAAAGATGTCTTGAAAGCTTCTCAGGTGTGCAGTCGGTGGCGAGCAGTAGCATACGATGAGAGCCTGTGGCGACAGCTAGTGTACAGGAAGTGGAACATCAGTGGCAAGATCGCTCCTGGGTACTGCTCCTGGAGGAATGAGTACAAGCGGCTGTATTACTACGCGCCTCTCGTCTGGAGTGAAACACTCACTGAACACTCAGATGAAGTTCTACATGTTAGCTTTGCACACAATGGCTCTCTGTTTGCTACCACATCAAAGGATTGCTCGGTGAAGGTATGTATGTCATGGTGTGTAAAGACTATGTTATTTTTGTCATGTTACATCTACTGACTGGTGGTGGCACATGGTCCTATGCACAGTGCACAGGTCACAATCAGGTGAAGTTAAGCAACATCAATCGCGGAGAGTTCTTGGATGGGTGACCGCGTTCAGCAGCTAAAGCACATGCAGCACAGGTGGTGTCTCCTTGGGGAGGTGACTTTGTTTGAATTGTGCCTCTGTTCACCCAGCAGTGAATGGGTACCCGGTAGGAGGAGATGGCAATGTGTTTGTTAACCTTCGAGCGCCTGACAGGCAGCGTGGGTTGTGTACTCCCCAGGGAGCTGAGAATGATTGTTGAGTGCACACTGATCCATTGACTCGCTTACTGTACATGCCAAAACGTCTACCTTTTGTTCTTCATGCCAAAACGTCTACCATTTGTTCTTCATGCCAAAACTTCTACCATTTGTTCATCATGCCAAAACTTCTACCATTCGTTCTTCATGCCAAAACTTCTACCATTTACTATACATGCCAAAACTTCTACCATTTGTTCATCATGCCAAAACATCTACCATTTGTTCATCATTCCAAAACATCTACCATTTGTTCATCATGCCAAAACATCTACCATTTGTTCTACAAGCCAAAACGTCTACCATTTGTTCTACAAGCCAAAACGTCTACCATTTGTTCATCAAGCTAAAACATCTACCATTTGTTCTGTATGCCAAATCTTCTACCATTTGTTCTACATGCCAAATCTTCTACCATTTGTTCTACATGCCAAATCTTCTACCATTTGCTCTACATGCCAAAACTTCTACATTTTGTTCTACATGCCAAATCTTCTTCCTTTTGTTCTACATTCCAAATCTACCTTTTGTTCTACATGCCAAATCATCTACATGCAAACACAGCCCAAGAGACAGCCATGCTATATATAAACTGATAACTGCAACTGGAATGATTATCAGAGAGAGCTTAGTTTGTAATGTCAGAGTTAGGAACTACCCAACTAGTCTTGTGTATTTGTTCTGTAGATATTCAACTCAGTTGAAGTTAAAAGGATCCATTCATCTTCTTGTTGGTTGTCAGGTCTGGCAAGTTGGGTACCCTACAAGGCTGAAGTACAGCTATGACTTCCGTGCTGGGTACAAGTGGGACTTCACTCAGTTCTCCTGCTTCAACGAGGCAGACACCATGCTCCTAGTCTCCAGCGTCAAGAGCACAGAAATGGACAGAAGGGGATTTGTGGCAGTCTTGTCTGTCCAACACAGTCAGTCATAGTTCTCTCTTTGTCTTGAACAAACTCAGCTGTGTAAGATTCCAGTGGACATACTGCAGTGTATTCGAAATGATTGAGGTCTTGATATTTGCTGCATAAGGATTAATCAATTATGACAAGAAACCCTTGACCATTCATTATTTTGAAATACTTTCTGTCATATCGGCCATGCATTTTCTAATAATATGTTTATGGACACACAATACAACTGTATAGCATTTCAAATCAAGTTTTGTGAATGTTAAAGCTACATGGTTAGTGCCCACTTCAAGCGTGAACTTGAAGTCCATATCACTTGCAGAGGGGTGAGGGTGGGGAGCTTACTCACTCACTCTTCCACTTGTGCCACGAACATGATGCTCTTTACTTAAGAAATAAATCATGAGTGAAGTTGTTTGTTGTACAAGAAAACACTGCAAGGAGAATAAACCAGGAGATATCAAGATTTTGTACACCTTTCTTAATGTTGTTAATAAGTTGTACAAGCTTTAAAAACATTTACCCATATTTAAATAATGATGACTCCCCGAAACAACCCAAGCTTGGCAATGTCGGCAACTCCATTTTATGTACAGGGGGGTTAAGTTTGGTATTCTCACAATTTTTACGTCGATTATCTGCACCTTTTCTTCCAAAACCAATTGTCATATTTCTCCCACTTTTGGGTGTGACCGCTCGGCCATTGCCTTCATCTGCACTGTACAGATAGATCTACGAGGAACAACAAACTAGACATTTCCCTCTAAAAAATAACATTATCCAATTTATAATGTCATCAAGTTGCGAGCTCTTGTTCGAATTTGCAGAAATGACTTCATGATGGAACAATGTTTTGTTGTAAAATAAACTTTATTCTTAATTGTCCTGCAATTTATCAAGTAGCTGTCTTTTATATGACGATACAAAACCGCGAACCAAGGCTCACTCCTGTATGAATCAAATCGTCCAAGCTCGGGGTCAATACAAAGAATAATGACCCACCGAAACACTGGACATGACCCAAGTTGTATGAGTGTATGTAATTTGTTCTAGTTTCAGAGTGAGAACTACACATAAATAGCAATATATCATGTTTCATAATACTTTCAGATTTCCAGCTACTCCGAGTGGTATCCATGGACCCGTCCCAGTTGTTTGGAACATGGCTGAATGGCTGCACCTTCTTGGGAGGGTCCCTTGAGATTAGTCTAGACAGATTTGCTACTACTGTCCAGATACAAGCATTTGAGGTAAGAAGTAGTTTTAAGAAGACACTATTCTGATTGGTCAATACAGAGTATCAAATCACATAACCCTGATTTTGGTCAGGACGATCTCCGTGGTAGATGCCCGGAGAGCGGAAGGTTGTGGGTTCGATCCCCGGCCACTTCATACCAAAAGATGTTAAAAGATGGTACTTGTTGTAACCCTGCTTGGCATTAATGGGCTAAAGCAAGGACTGGTCGGCTCAGAGTCTGTATACTGTGTCCGAGTGGGGTATTCATGTTAAACTGCAGCATGGTATCTCAGTGGGCTAGCACTATAAAATCAGCATTAGTCCGGACTAGTACAAGTAGCCACACACACAGTTTACTTGCACCAATCTCTTTACCTCAGAAACAATTGGACATGACATATTTAAGACTGAGAAGCTTCCACAGATCTGTGAATTTCTGCGAGTTTTAGTGACCACAAATTTGTTAAAATCTGATGGCTTCAGGGGGCCAAGCTTCCCAACACCCCAAATTATGGATCATGCTCCATTGAAAAGAAGTTTCAGCTGAAAAGGAAAATATCCATTCTCATCCCTGTGTGTTTCAAGTAGCATATTTTATCTGTACTTGAATCATAATGTTTAGGAACTGCTATCAGAGTTAGTTGTGACAAGTAGCATATTTTATCTGTACTTGAATCATAATGTTTAGGAACTGATATTAGTTAGTTGTGACAAGTAGCATATTTTATCTGTACTTGAATCATAATGTTTAGGAACTGCCATCAGAGTTAGTTGTGACAAGTAGCATATTTTATCTGTACTTGAATCATAATGTTTAGTCACTGATACCAGAGTCAGTTGTGACAAGTAGCATATTTGTCATGTTCCAGGTTAAGGATGTCCCACAGCTGCTTCCAGCATCTGCATCGGTTGAGACCCACTCAGGCCTTGCTCTGTTTACATTCTGTAGTGAGACAGCCAGTCTCATCAAGTTTCTCACTGTCGTTAATGTGCCATGCAAAGGTATTTCTCCTATTCAGGAAACCGAACTTGAAAATATTGATGAATCTGGGTGTTCAGTGATTAACCATGAACATGATGAATGTACGAAAGAAGACGTGTATCCTTCTGTTGCCACCTCATCAGGAAACTCCAGCAAAGGGGAGCAGTTCTGTAGTAATATTGTGATACAAGAAAACGGACACCCACTGCATATGGATTATTTGGATGATTCAGAAATGGAGGAGGAACCGGAAGAAAAGTATGTTACAAAGCGAAACACGAACACTCACCCGAAGAGGACTGTAACATCAATGCATCACTTAAAACTGAGGAACTTGATATATGTGACAGGGGAATTTGCAGTGGCTCTGCACCAACTTGGGTTCAAAGATATTTCACCAAACACAATTTCTGACATTGTGGTTGAGCGGACGATGGAGTCAGTTGTGACTGACCTTGACAGTATTCAGAGCCACATGGTGGTGAACTATAGCAACCAGGACATCGAGATGAGGCGGATTCGCAAACCTGACATGTCCGATCACATGATTGATCTGAATGGTCATGTGACCGGTCTGTGTCTCTCTCAGGACAATCGGTAAGAATGGCATTCTTTATCTTCTAATTTCTATGCTTTCCTTGCTAACTACATCAATGCTACACCTTGCTAACTACAACCAGACATGACAGATTAACTACAGTCATATAAAAAACATTGTGTGTTCTTTGAGTTGTATATTTAATATCAAAGGGAATCTTGGTAACAATTGATTTCGGTCCCAGGCATTACGACCATTGTGCCAACAGCAAATAAAATACGTCTATGTGATCCTGTATCATACTGATACCAGTATAATATATGGGGATTTGTTTGACTGATGATGGTTATATCATAGACATTGGGACTGCCTCCATGGCCTAGTGGTAGAGCGTCCTCCCAGAGTGCGGAAGGTCTGGGTTCGATCCACTGGCGCGCCATACTAAAAGACGTTAAAAGATGGTACTCATTGTAACCCTGCTTTGTGCTCGGCATTAAGGGGCTAAAACAAGGACTGGTCGGCTCGGAGTCAGTATACATGTACTGTCTTTGAGTGGGGTATTCATGTTAAACTGCGGCATGGTATTTCAGTGGGCCAGTGGGCCTTTATATTGGCATTGGTCTGGACTATCACAAGCAGCTTCACACACATACATGCATGCACGTTGCTATATAAGTGCAATAATCTTGGACGTGACGTTAAAACCTCACCTCACCTCACCTCACCTCACCTCACCTCACCTCACCTCACCTCAGACCTTGATTAGTGTTATGACTGAAGTACTGTTGAAAGTGTCACAATAATAGTAATACATTTTTGTTAAAAAAACTTTGGCAAAATTGGGCATCAGACCAAAATTACATTTTCTGTATAAGGGCACAATAAGGCAATAAATCAAACATTTATAAAAAATGTAAGACAGGAGGCATTTTATTTTTAGATGTATTTTTTAAACACACAATTGAAGGCGTATAATCATGATAAGTTTATGGGTGTGATTCACATGACGTATGAATGTAACAGTTGTTTGGTGACACTTCTCAACATTTAATAGGGATAAGATATGTCTTTCTATTTAAATATACACTTGACATTTTATGAGAATCAGTTTTTGTGTATCGTGGAAAGATAAAAACATCCCTATCACAAGTGGAGTAGTATACTTAGGGATACTGACAGTGCTGGTGTTTTGCAGGTATCTCTTTGTAAACTGTCGACCGTGGGTGGGGAAGATCGATCGCAGTGACCCATGGGCAACACCAGAACTTTCCCCGGAGATAGAAGTGCGGGTGATTGACCTTCAGGACCTGAGTGACACAGGGGTCAGGTACAGAGGTCACAAGGGCTACTCCCAGTCCACGATGTGCTGCTTTGTGTTCCTGGACTCCAGTGAACACTACATCGGCAGGTGTGTAGACATATTAACTAGCTACATTTGAGAGAGACTCATATTGTATAAATAGTATTATCATACCTCCATATCAAAATGATGAGATCTGATTGGTCCACGTGATATTGATAAAATACTGTGTGTCATGCCTTGGAGGGGAATAAATTTCTGGGTTTCTGAGAGGCAGGATACATCCCCTATACCCTGCTTCAAAGCAAAAAGTCGAAGGTCTTTTCCCGAGTCAATGGAAGTTATGTGACACAGCACAAGCTGACCTAAGCTCCATCTTACAGCTGTTTTCTATCAATTTTGAATGTACCCCTCGTGATCCTGCTACAACTTATATTCTTGACTTCTCTCGCACATAAGTATTATTTCATTGGACAGTTATTATTCATGTTTTTGGTTCTTTAACATTTGAACTAGGCTCATTATGGTAGCTGATGAGTCCATGGGATTTAGAATAGGAAACACTGGATGATCAAAGATGGGTAAAAGAATTAGTTCTCAGGCAATGGTTTTTGAAAATGTGTGTGTGGGTGGTGTCTTTCTTCAGGGGGTTGTTCAAACTAGTATGTAACCAAATAAACAGTTGTGTAACCAAATAGACTACATAAATGGAATACAGTACTTGACTACGGTTGGACTTGGAACACGTGAGGATTTTTTTGGTTGTTTTTTTTAAATGGAAATAAAAACAAATCATGCGGCAAACTTTATTATGATGCAGGCGGTGCCTGAGAACCAAGAACATTTTTCTTTTAGCCTTATCTTGCCATTTATTCTGCTGCACAGTTGGCATGATAGCGTCCTTGCTGTAGTTTTATGTAATTACTGTAAAAGTGGTTTTGTATGACAACATTGGGTTGGTAAATTTCAGTTTTTTTTTATTGTTCACAGAGTTGGAGAGTTGGAGAGTTGGAGATTAATACAGTATTCCGCCAAAAACATATTTCGGATAGCATAGAATGGCACAATACACTCATTAAAAAATAAAATAAAAGGGTTGGAGTTTTCAGAGATTCTTTATCTTACAACTAATGTACCCAAATAAAAAAATGTAAAACATGTATACTGCTAAGTAATGCCTAGCAAACATGTATACTGCTTAGTAATGCCTATCAAACATGTATACTGCTAAGTAATGCCTATCAAACATGTATACTGCTTAGTAATGCCTATCAAACATGTATACTGCTAAGTAATGCCTATCAAACATGTATACTGCCAAGTAATGCCTATCAAACATGTATACTGCTTAGTAATGTCTATCAAAGATGTATACTGCCAAGTAATGCCTATCAAAGATGTATACTGCCAAGTAATGCCTATCAAACATGTATACTGCTTAGTAATGTCTATCAAAGATGTATACTGCCAAGTAATGCCTATCAAACATGTATACTGCTTAGTAATGCCTATCAAACATGTATACTGCCAAGTAATGCCTATCAAACATGTATACTGCTTAGTAATGCCTATCAAACATGTATACTGCCAAGTAATGCCTATCAAACATGTATACTGCTTAGTAATGTCTATCAAAGATGTATACTGCCAAGTAATGTCTATCAAAGATGTATACTGCTTAGTAATGCCTATCAAAGATGTATACTGCCAAGTAATGCCTATCAAACATGTATACTGCTTAGTAATGCCTATCAAACATGTATACTGCCAAGTAATGCCTATCAAACATGTATACTGCTAAGTAATGCCTATCAAAGATGTATACTGCCACATAATGCCTATCAAACATGTATACTGCTTAGTAATGCCTATCAAAGATGTATACTGCCAAGTAATGCCTATCAAACATGTATACTGCTTAGTAATGCCTATCAAACATGTATACTGCTAAGTAATGTCTATCAAAGATGTATACTGCCAAGTAATGCCTATCAAACATGTATACTGCTAAGTAATGCCTATCAAACTGCTGTATGTTAGGCGTGATAGGGAATTATTGTGGTATTATTTATTTACTGTAAATGTAGTATTGGATGTTTTGAAAATTTGATTGAGGCTAGTCATAGTGGATCAGTGAATATCCGGGGTAGAATAGGTCTTCAGCAACCCATGCTTGCCGTAAAAGGCGACTATGCTTGTCGAAAGAGGCCACTAACGGGATCGGGTGGTCAGGCTCGCTGACTTGGTTGATGCATGTCATCATATGTCTATTGCATAGATCGATGCTCATGATGGAAATCACTGGATTTTCTGGTCCAGACTCGATTATTTTCAAACCGCCATCATTTAGTTGGAATATTGCTGAGTGCTGTATTAAACAACAAACAAACAAACAAAGCAAAATTTAACATAGTTTAAGAAAGAGATGACATGGTATTTTTTGTTTCTGTCAACAGCGGGAGTGAGGACACACAAGCTTACCTCTGGGACCGCCATTATCAGTGTTGTCTTGGTGTGTTTGGACATGGGCCAGGTGTTGTCAACTCTGTTGGATTTAGTCCTCGAGATGAGGAATACTTTGTGACTGTGAGTGATGACCACACCATCAAGATTTGGCGATCAAGAAACAGATTAAAGCAAGTCATAGAAAATGCACAATCTTTGGATAGATGACGGAGTATGCAGATGATGAATGTCTTTCTCTTGTATGCTGTTTAATTTATTTTCCATGTATTTACTAAATTTTGCAATGTTGGAATTATTTCTACTCATATTTTTAATGTCGGTGATGTGTAGTCTGTAATCATCTATATTCTTTTGGGGCTTGAAAATGTCTCATAAAATATGCATCGGTATCTGCTTACATTCTAAATTTCATCAATAAATCAGGTTGAACATGATTGTTTTTTCAAGACCTAAATGTATGCATGTGATAGGAACATGAGAATATCAACATGTTATGTGTATGAAACAACATAATTATTTTATATCTATGATCTTTAAATTGTTATAGGACATCTTGCATATGATTTCAACATTGCTTCTCCTCTCATCCCCTTGATGTCTACATATAGCCGATATTGGTTTGCAACTAGTCAGACAGATTGAAGGTTGTGTGATGTTCGTGGACTGATAACCATTGAAAGACTTTCTAAATAAAAAATAATGAATTTGCAATTATTATGAGTAATAGCACATTGTAGCGTTGTCCTGGAAGCCTGTGGGTACCTGTGAGTCAGCAGCAGACTTATCAGTGGTCGATATTGTGAACATCCCTCTCCTGTTCATACTCTGTACCATTGTGACGGTATGTGACCATGTGACCTTATCTAGGTCGTGGGGACCCAGCCCCAGAACCCTCAGGACATATTGTTTCTTTGTGTTTCAAGCTTGTTGCTTGATCTTCTATACTTGTCTTGATACTCATGCTATGTGGTTCAAGGTCATTTTTTAGAGTTTGTATTTGAACATGTTATGATCCAAGTTCTGTTCAACATCATGAATGTGGGAAATAAATGTAAAATAGTGCTCATTCAGAACAGTGAGAAGATTATCTCACACTAATAAGAGGGATATCCCTTCTTGACTGGAATAAATTGTACACTTTGAGGTCGACTATGTAGGCAAAATATTTATCTATCAAAATATGTAAGGAAAAACAGGCCACAGGAACAGATCTTGTACTTTGATCAAAAAAATTAAGATTAGGAGATTACAACTTGTTGCTATGGTATTATGTACATACTCATACTGATGTGACGATACCATTTACAATGTATATGATAGTCAGAAAGTCTTTGTGCTTGACTGTGCAGAGTTGTGTCCCTTACCTGAGCTAGGATCTGTTGGCCATTGAATCAAATCCCAGATTAGCTGATCATGATCCTTGGTAAATGTCTACAACCAGGATCAAGTTTGTCTTACCTCTCGAATTGGCTGCTACACAGTGAGAGAAGTACTGTACTGTGTTAAACCCAACTCACTCACTCACTCTTGGAAGCTGTAATGGATATGCGTATGTCTTGCTCTGATTATCGAGTGAAGACAAGTTGCAGGTATCACATGATATCTCTCATTGTGTACAGATTGTAGAGCAACTGTAATAATGATGCTTGATCTTGTTTTGGGTTTTCGTGATTGTGATGAAAATCTTCATGTCTGCATGATGGATGTGGTTTTAATGCGAGTCAGGTTTTCTTTAGAGGTCAGTATATATTTATAATCAAAGTTATTACTGTGATTCTTTCATTGTTGAATTTTGTTGTTTAAGCTTGTTAAACAGCAATTCACCCTTTAGTGATGGCAAATGTGCTTCCCCCTGGCTGGCAGTGTGAGACTACTCACAGAAAGTAAGGGCATGCTTCTGGCTGTGAATGTTCTGGTTGGGTGATAATCCTCCATGTGTTATTGACACATGCATATTGATGCACATCATGAGTACACATGGAGTACATTTGTCATAATGTGATCACACAATTCGCTGAGTCGCATCTCTTGGCGCATACCAGAATCCTATTTGTTTGTTCAAATCCCAGATTGACCTGATTATTGTCCATGGTGTGAGCACCATGCCCATCAGTGTTAGAAATTGGCACTAGTCCTATGGTCCTTGCCAAACTGCCCAATAGTTAAGTTATCAAGGACAAGCAGCAATTTGCCCTTTTTAAGGGTTTTGCTTTATGTTATCATTATGAGGACTAGTGGGCTAAAACTGTTAGTTTCTATCGCTGCTCATGGGTTTCAGCCAAGTGATATAAATATCCAAGACCTGCATACTAGGTGCTTCCTTTCAACATCAAACTGACAGGGATGCCGTGATATTGGTGAGATACTGCTCAAGGCAATGTTAAACCCAACTCACTCACTCAGTGTGCTTGGGAACTGGTCCTTGTAAACACACTGCAAGGAGATGGGAACTTTATTATCATTTATGGAAGAGTTTGAATATCACTTCATCATGAAGATAAGACATGAGGGAAAGTGAAAGGGTAGGTAATGTCCTAACCACTGCATAATCCCTCACTATAAGACAGATGTAAGAAACAAATACTGTATTCAACGTAATAAGCGCCCAGGGCGCTCTCAAAATTAGAAATAGGGGGCGCTTATTAGAATATTATTTTGAGTTGAAAGATCGTAAATTTCGTGGTTTATGCTAACAGCCTGAAATGTTTACATACGACAGATATATTTTTCAAGAATTTAATTGCCCATATTGAAGGGTGATATAAAACACGAGTGCGTATTATACACGAATAAATAAGTCTTGTGTACATTGATCAATCGGAAGGGGTGCTGATTGGGATTGTTCACTTGCCAATATATTAGCAAATATCGCCGTGGGCGCTTATTAGAGCGGGGCGCTTATTACGTCGAATACGGTACATGGTATCGAGATAGGATTGACTGCCCAAATAATCAGAAACTTGGGAAATGAAGAAAACAATAAAATGTGCTGTTTCCTTAGTTTCTGTCGAGAGTCATAGTACAGTGTTCCCTCAGTATTGTGACTTCAGGGGTAACTCGGTTATAGCGTGCGGGACCGCATGGCTCCCAAAATTTACTTACATTTTTTAGTGAAGTCAAGTTTAACACTGACAATGTTTTTCCCCATCTCAAAAACCATTATCAACTGATCACCTAGAGCATGTAACACTGGTCATCTACCCTCTACAACTCCACCTTGGTTAAACCGCTGATCATCTATAACGCTCAGCAATTGTTTGGACCCCGAAGGTAGCGAGGGATCACTGTAGTTTAAGAGTGATATGTAAGTCAAATTACTTGAGATATGCATGAAAACGACATACCTTATCGAGATTAATAGGAACAGGGACACAGCAGGTTGTTTACATGATAGACATTAAGAATTATGGGATACTGAATGTCTGCCTCACCCTATCGCTATGGTAATTACCTGAACACCTTTTTTCCTAGAGAACAGATGTACTACAATCTTAATTCAGATGGATTTTAAAATGAAACGACTTAAAAAATAATTATTTAATTAGTTAACATTCACCCTCCATATTAAAACTCAATGAAATCTAAACTTCACATTTTTCTCAGCACTGATCAATATTCTGTTTCAAATTTTGTATTTACTATATATAAACTGCTGGACAAAAGAAGGTATAGACTTGAAAATTGGATTTGACAAAAAAAATTATAAATGTTATGAAAAGGCTGAAAATGTAAGGTCCACAACACAACAATGATATGGGTGTATACTTTCTTTTGCCCAGCAGTTCATTCTTCTCTTGCTATGAATACAAACTCACTGTCAAGCCCCATGCTTCAAGCCAGCCAGAGGTTTATAATACCCAGGATATTCAGGGTCATCTGTTGAATAATCTCTCGGATTAAGTCGTCTCCACCGGATCATAATAAAACTTAACATGTACTGGGTTTCATGTTGTTTATTCTCAACTAGTGCAGGGCTGACAACAAAGCTTGGCACTGTAGTGGATGTCATACGTACACCACAGTAGTCAAAGGGAACACTTCAAAAACCAGGACACTGTCTAGAGAGTGCCAACCCTCCCTCCCATCTCTCTCACCACTTAATTTGTTTTGGCATCCAATTTAAGAACTCTTGAGTCATAACAGTGTAAACAGCTGGTACATAAGAATTAGCCTTGGATTTTCACATAGAGTGCAGGACCATGTATGCTTAAAGCTAAGGTTAACTCTCTTATTGATCTGCCACTCTGTATTCAACACTGAAATATTGGCACCTAGAGCTGGGATGATTGACTTGGGTACTCTGATACTCTGGTACTCTGGTCAGGTGGGTCCTGAGTAGCAGCTGTGTACCCACAGGACTACCCAGACCCATGGTTAGTCACATGATATATTGTTTAATGACAAAAATGATCTGAAACTCTATGGAAACACAACAAGTCCTTAATGTTAGCATTTCTTTCTTACACCCATTCCTTCTGACGTTTTGTTTTGAATAAAGATTAAACTTCAGTCAACTTCAGTGTATGCATGACCAGATCCTTTTATCTGTGTATCTAAATACATTTCGCCAGGGCTAGTCAAACTATTCCCAATCGGACAGTTTGTACCCATCTCTTGAGACCTACAGTGGGTAGCCCGTAGGGTCAGATGGTAAGGGGTCGGGTACCCAGGTAGGGTCAGCTAATAGGGGGGTGGGTACCCGGGCAGTAAATTTTGACTCGTCCCAGCTCTATTGCCACATGTACTGCAGCATCCAGAATATCACTTACAGGGCTCGGCATCCGTTGTACCAAAAGGGGGTTGGCACCTTCTGTCTAGGGTTGGACATTCGAGTTAGACAAATGCTGTAATTTGTAGCATGTTATTACGATAGAACATCATATCCACATATGAATATGATGAATTCTACAAGATATGCATATAGGCAAAATAGTATTTTATTACATTTTATCCTGATGATGAGAGTTGCATGATTTACATCATCTACAACCCATTAAACAGGTAAACTGTAGTATACAACAATAATTCATTATCACATTAACATATTATTTCATTTCACTACATTTGAAAGTCTGATAAAATTTAGTCATTTGGTTAAAATGAGAAATGTCTTGAACAATGCTCTAAAAGATGTAGATTCTAAGGCTTGGAACATGAAACATTACTGCTTGGAAATAGTGCATTACTGTGAATGGATATGTTGTTCATCATAACGCAGTCTGCCATAAGACTACAAGGGAAGATGTCTAATGAACACAGTTCCAGGCTTTGCAAGACTTATCAGCCACTAGCACTGACGTCTGGGCTGAAGACTCGTGACCACACCACCGCCTTCCTGAAGTCCTTGCAGTGTCGGAGCATATACAGCGACTCTGAAATGGAGGTTACTCAATTTTATAAGGGCAAAATACGGTACCATGGAAACAGAGCCTCTTGCATCAATGTGATGAAGATGGGGTGGCCATGTGTCGAATCTACCAAAGATCCACATGTATATACAAATCTCATTTCTGGTCAATCATATTATCGGAATATTGCCCAAAGTAAACTTAACCAAACTTACACTTTCATCAGCAAAAAAGACCTGAAAGTAATGAATTAACTAAATATAATTCAGACATAAATGAAAAGTTATTTTTTTCAGTGTCATTATCAAATCTCTTGTCATGAAGGATGTGAATGACATGACTCGATCTGTGAAACTCATAAAGTAGTTTGTTATTAGTATTGCTAATTATTGTTTCATTGCTTCAAATATTGCTTCATCGACACTTTGAATCTTTTTGTGGCAATACTTCTTCATGATCTCAACCAAACTAATGTAATCACAGTACTGACCTCTGGTTTGTTTCCTGGAGACAGGGGAGACAACTTCTGTGGAGCTCTCAGACAGCGTCAGCAACCAGTCAATTGCCTTAAGGTTGAAGACATTATTCATTGTCAGTAGGGCAAAGAAAATACATGTTCAAAGACAGTGGTCTGTACAGTGCAATAATTAAAAGACAATTCACATTATATTTCTAAATTTTTATTTCAATCATCTTTGATTAGATGAAATGTGAGTTGGATCGAGAATGAATGAAAGGCTGCTAACTGTCCCATCAGCTATTTTCGGTCGACATGAGCATTGACGATAAACAGTAAATGGCTGTCTATATATTTTGACCATAACAATACATGTTTAATTCTGTCTAGGTAGGGTAAGCCTTGTGGTTAAAAAATTGGCTCGTCACGCCGAAGACCGAGTTCCCAACATGGGTACAATGTGTGAAGCCCATTTCTGGTGACCCCTGCCTTGATATAGCTGGAATATTGCTAAAAGCGAAAAACAAAAATCACTCACTCACTCATTTTCTAGATAGAATGGGTACAGATCACACACACACACACACGCACACACACACACACACACACACACACACACGCACACACACTGGGCTGTCCAGAAAGAAGATCAAGTTGTTACAAAGTGTAACCTGATGGTGTCATCATACACCAACCTGCCTGGATTGTTTCACTACTATCAACCATAAGTTTGCATTGCTTAGATTAATATATTTACTGCCTGCCATGACAGAGCTGGAATACTGTTGAATGCAACATCTGTGATCAGACATTATGATGTCGGACTAACAATTACATACCTTGGACATGATTTGATCCCAGGGCTCTCGCTCCAGCCTAGCTATGCATCCAGGCAAAAAATCAAGACAGTCTGGCAACATTTTTGCATAGTCAGCCACCCAGTTGTCTCCCCCTAGTGTTTCATCCCCAGTGGTGAGTCTGAAAAGTGATGGCTCCACACCAGAGATGGCTCCTGCTGCGGAGTTTGTCCACAGACATATCGCCCTGGCAACCACTTCCACAGCACACTGCATGACCTGGACAAACAGGTCAACAAGGTCAGAGTTGTCAAGTATTGTATTGAGGCTCCGTTTTGTTTGACCAACAGAATACAGAAATAATCCACAAACAAGAAAACAGCATTATTATTATTATCCCCCACCACATGGCAAATGAGAATTTTGTTTGTTCATATAGTAGAAGATACATGGAGAAAGGACAGAAACTCCAGAACAAAAACATTACGGCATCAGTCGAAGTTCACTGGAACGCCTTGTGAATGGCTTAATTGCAAGCACTAAAAAAATGATAAAATCCACTGTGAAGTAGGCTGGTTCAGGTGCCACTTGTAAATTGTGGTTTGTGTTATTTTTCACAATATACCTAGTACAAGTTCCTTTGCCAAGTGTTATACATCTCAATTATGTAATTATGGTTCTCAGACAACCCTACATAGATCTTTTTGTAGAAAATCCAAGAAATAGCAATTTCAGTACTCTGTTATGGATAATATGGAAATATGATCCAGAAAAGAACACTACAAACCATCTAGTTCTTAAGTTACTCTCTGGGAATGAAAGTAACCTGTATTTGGGTTTAGTCTAACTTGTTGCCAAGGAAAAAGGCACTAGTTCAGCATGTGTTTCATACATATGCAAAGTTTCATAATAAAAAATTAAACTGTTTCTGAGTTATGCTCTGGAATCAAATGCTACTTGTATTTGAGTCCACTTTATTGCCAAGAAAACAGAAAAAAGTATTATTTTTAGAAATACCAAAACATCAAAAAGCACCAGTTCAGCATGTGTTCGGCACATATCAAAAGTTTCATAATAAAATAGTAAACGGTTTCCTAGTTATGCTCCAGTAACAAACGTTACACATATTTGAGTCTATTCCAGTTTGTTGCCATGGAAACAACAAACATAATTTCTTAGAAATACCAAAACACCAAAAGGCACAAGATCAGCATGTGTTTGATACATATGCAAAGTTTCTTAATAAAATATTAAATGGTTTCCGAGTCATGCTCCGAAAACGAAAAGTGATAGACGCACGCATGGACAGACACTACCTATTCTTATATACCCTTCCTATTTCATGACGGAGACCATAACCAAGAGGTGAAATATACAATAAACGTGGTTGCATCATAGCAGTATCACTATCAGTGTTTCAGATTGAATGTGGGACACTAATTTACAAATTATTTCCTTTGGGCCTTATTCCATCGACTGATCTTTGTCCTTTGTGTGTTGTTAGTCCCATATTTTTAAGATGGCCATACAAAAGGCACAGTTCTAAGATTTGTAGAAGGAATGCCAGATTAGGATCTGACCTCTATGTGTGGGGGTGCCTGGTCTGGCAAGGTTGTGTTGCCAATGGCGATGTTGCGAATGTGACCAAGCAGTTCCAGAAGCCACTGTGTGCGGTTGACGGGTCTGGTGTAGTCGGTGGAACAGCCCGCCATCTGCTGGAAGCAGTGAGCCAGCAGGTGCAGCAACACTGTCTTCTCCCTAGACACAGAATCAGGCATTCAAACTCACGTCCAGCAGGTCGTGGTAGCTAAATTACACAATCCTGCAGTGAATTTACAAATTTAGACAATTGGGGCCCCCATATATGCCCACATCTGATGGATTACCGTAAGTACACATCGACATCGGGTCCTACATCTGATGGATCAAGTGCACATCGACATGGGGTCCTACATCTGATGAATCAAGTGCACATCGACATGGGGTCATACATCTGATGAATCAAGTGCACATGGGGTCCCACATAGACTTTGAGTGCAGTGAGAAAAGTGTTCAAGAAATTCTATAAAAGGTTGAACTCACGAGTGTTGACTGTGAATGATTGCGTCGATGCAACTGTTCAGTAGCGCTACAGGCTGGCGGCCATTTGCAATGAGGTAACATCTGACAAAAGTGCCTTTCACGAATGTCCGGACTTCACTGAAATCCTCCAGTGTTACCTCATCCAGGATCTCATCCGGGAGGTTGGACAAACACTCCGACATCTGGCAGTACAGCGCCACCTGGTGACAACACGGCATTTACTGAATACGTATAATCACTGTTTTCCTTAAGTTTGAGAAAGGATTTGAAAACATAATATTCACTGGAAATAACTCAAAATTATGTGATGTTTCTAGTGTTGAAAGGGAAGTAGGGCGAGAAAGTAAGAGTTCACGTTCGAACTAACAAGATTACTCGTAACATACATACTTGCATTGTTGCTTACAGAACAAAAACAGAAGTAAAGATAATCAACAACGGTTGTTCCAAACTATGACTCACACAATTTCAGACACAATGTTACTACATTTAGCATTGATTGTGCAAGATGACTAAGTCAACTGAATTGAAATTTCAGTCATGTCAGAGCATTGCACCTTAATGAGGGAGGAAGGCCCAATTCAATACAAGTTTTAGCTGTTTACAACAACGATAAAAAACCAAAAGTAGGGATTAGGTACAGACAAACCAATGATCAGGGATTTGAACAAATGTTTGCTGACCCTGTCATGCAAATCTGCACAGTGAATTGTGGCCCCTTAAACCCCTGGGCAGCCATGTCTCACTCTGCAAGATGATACAAAATGGACTCTGAATTTGGTCTAATGTAATACACAAAAGCGACATTCCTTTCCCAGTCCTGTAAATATACACAGTACCTGCAGGGTAGGCGTCATAGCCTTGTAGATGACTTGGGTGGCAGAGTAGAGGATCTTGGTGACAGATTCAGGTGGGTCCTGGACCTGCAGGGCAAGGTTCAAGCCTCGAAGTACACACACACACATTGGCATGTCGTTGTCAGTGAAAGGATCCATACATCCGCGCTCCAGGAATGTCTGCAGTATAGCAGGGCCCACAGACTTGATGAGGTAGGGCAGGGACTGGTACAGGAACTCCTTGCATTCCATCTGTTATAGAGATTATATATACACTGGTGACTATAAAACTTATACACTGGTGACTAAAGAGATTATACACTGGTGACTATAGAGATTATAGTCATTATACACTGGTGACTATATAGATTATATATACACTGGTGACTATAAAACTTATACACTGGTGACTAAAGAGATTATACACTGGTGACTATAGAGATTATATATACACTGGTGACTATAAAACTTATACACTGGTGACTAAAGAGATTATAGTCATTATACACTGGTGACTATAGAGATTATACACTGGTGACTAAAGAGATTATACACTGGTGACTATAGAGATTATATATACACTGGTGACTATAGAGATTATACACTGGTGACTATAGAGATTATAGTCATTATACACTGGTGACTATAGAGATTATACACTGGTGACTATAGAGATTATACACTGGTGACTATAGAGATTATACACTGGTGACTATAGAGATTATAGTCATTATACACTGGTGACTATAGAGATTATACACTGGTGACTATAGAGATTATACACTGGTGACTATAGAGATTATAGTCATTATACACTGGTGACTATAGAGATTATACACTGGTGACTATAGAGATTATAGTCATTATACACTGGTGACTATAGAGATTATACACGGGTGACTATAGAGATTATACACTGGTGACTATAGAGATTATACACTGGTGACTATAGAGATTATAGTCATTATACACGGGTGACTATAGAGATTATACACTTGTGACTATAGAGATTATAGTCATTATACACTGGTGACTTTAGAGATTATACACTGGTGACTATAGAGATTATACACTGGTGACTATAGAGATTATAGTCATTATACACTGGTGACTATAGAGATTATACACTGGTGACTATAGAGATTATACACTGGTGACTATAGAGATTATACACTGGTGACTATAGAGATTATAGTCATTATACACTGGTGACTATAGAGATTATACACTGGTGACTATAGAGATTATACACTGGTGACTATAGAGATTATACACTGGTGACTATAGAGATTATACACTGGTGACTATAGAGATTATGCACTGGTGACTATAGAGATTATACACTGGTGACTATAGAGATTATACACTGGTGACTATAGAGATTATACACTGGTGACTATAGAGATTATACACTGGTGACTATAGAGATTATAGTCATTATACACTGGTGACTATAGAGATTATACACTGGTGACTATAGAGACTACAACTGGTGACTATAAACAATGAAGGCTGCCAAAGCTCAGTGAGTACAATTTGTCAGTGTGATCATGACAAGGATACCCACCTCCAGAGAGTTGAAAAGTGGCGGTGTAAGCCACGATGAGATGAACATGGCTGCTGTTGGAGCTGACAGACTCTGAGAGACGGCCATCTTGAAACACAGACACCTCACACTTGTCCCTGAACAAAACTAAGGTATTAGAGCCAGTATACACGGTATAACATGAAAACAAACATTTTGCAAAATTCAAAATGTTTTCACAAATGTTAAATGATACAAATTTTACATACCAAAGTTGACTCTCATGAAAGGGGAGAGAACTCCTGCCCAGTTTACAGGTGGCAGCACTTGTTTGACATCCTCCTGGACGGCAGTCAAAGCCACCTTGACATATTCTGGTGGGATAACCTCAGGTCCTGCAATTATGTTTAGTAGACAGTATACAGTGTTCATAACATAGAAAATATAGGGGAATGGTTGTCCCAGGTACCACAATATGCCGTGCAGAGTTGCATCCCTTTTGGCATGCCAGAAACCCATGATTTCTAGTTTGAACCCAAAATTTGCCCTGTTTATGTTTCTAGGTTGTCAGCACCATACCCGTGCTCACAGGTTTCACTAAAGCGGTAAACGCAAAGACCTGCATCAGTTCAATCTGTCCTCCACATTAAGCTGTGATATAACTAGAATACTGTACAAAGCGACGTAACTCACTCACCCATGCACTGATATACGGTAATGTATTACTATGCTAGATTCAGTAATAAGATCCCATGTTCAAACTTAAGGTCATGACATCATATGATCATAATCAAGAGAGTCGTTGGTATGAAACGGAGGAATTGCCACTTTGTATTGATGGAATTGTTAATTGCAAGACTGATACACTTCTTAAACTTTAAGTTTAGTTGATCATGAAACTAAATGATCATTCAATTATATTTGATCAATTTGAAACAGTACATGAAAAATCATATGTTCTGAAAGTAATGGAAATTCTTGCTGTAGTCTGTACCTGGGACGTGTTATTATCCTACCTTAAAACTAAAACCCAATTAATAATGCAGCGTTATGGAGCAAGGCCTGGAGGTTACCTCTCTTCCCAGCCTCGATGAGGAGATCCACCAGGGCCCGCAGGATGCTGCTCTCGGGCAGGTAAGCATAGCTCGGTGGGACTGTCCAGAAATACATGCACAGTGGACATGATACAGCACTGTCACTTCTTACAACTCACACACATATTTAGTCATGAATCTATTTTGAACATCTGTAAACGTTTATTTTCTTTAGTTTAATATTTTTCCTTTTCTGTATACTGTGCACAATGATGATGAAAGGTATTGATCAGAGTCATACATCTAATGAGCCAGAAGAATAGAGCCACAGGGCTCTGTACTATAATATATCAGAAAGGAAAAGGTGAAAGAGGATTAGCAAAATATGTGACAGAAGTATCTACTAAACAGAATCCTTACAGCATGTTCATTAAGTAACAATGCAGCAATGCACAAGGCCTATTGGCACTCGACTTTCAGACAGGTGAGCTTGACAATATGAAACAAACTACAAAAGTATATTTGCCTAATAACCTCCCTGTAGCAATATTCAGTATGTATTTGCGTGATATTAAACCTCCAACTCAATAGTCAGTGTGTATTTTTGTGATATTAAACCTCCCACTCAATATTCAGTATGTATTTGCGTGATATTAAACCTCCCACTCAATAGTCAGTGTGTATTTGCAGGTTGACCTACCGCTAGCTCGGGTCTCCGTGATGGCACACGCAGACAGATAGAGATGTCCCAGCATCCAAGCACTGTTACTCTGAATGCCAAGGTCACTGGACTTAGCAACGACTGAAGTAGCCATCTTGATGACACTATCTGCATCAACATCAGTTCCAAGGAGAGATGTCCCACTGCCCTGAACCTGTGCATGACAGTTGATATTAACACCAGGATTGGCTGTGCTGGTCCATCTTGACGGGGAAAATCTAGGGGTTACTTTTTTCCGAGGCAATGGAGTTAACTGACTGTAGAAGTCCAGTTTCCACCCTTGCCGAACTAGGTTGGAATTATTGAGTTATATTTTGGCTGGACTAACAAGTCTTTGCATAGTCCAATCAAAATCCCGTAATGAAATCGACATCATGTTCACAAACAACATGACAACTGCCGTGCCAAATTTGATTGCAGGATTTGAAGAGCATGTGTACTGTCAACAGGACATTGACAGATATTTTCCAAATCTTTTCACGTTTTTTATCAAAGTGCTCGACTGATTTGAAGTTCTTCGCATGGTAAACTTACTTTTTTAATTACAATAGGATATTTATTATTGATGAGAATGTTGTGACTGGTGACTATTGTTTGAAGAAAATGCAAGTGAGAAGTGGAATCTGATTGGTCAATAGGAGGGACGTAGAAGGGAAATAATGCTAAACATCCACTGGTGGTGCTAGAATCAAGCCCAGAAATTCGAGCCTAGTTCAGCAAGGGTGGAAACTTGACTTTTAGAATCAGTTCACTCTCTTGCCTTGGGAAGATGGGGTGTTAAAACCCTGGCCCTTCATGCTTCAAACTTGACCCTTATTGAAGCCCATCCTCTGTGTCCACCAGTAGCCTGTATTGCTGGAATGCTGTCTGAAGCGGTATAACCAGTCATTCACCATCAGTCACTGAGATGAGGGCTGATAATGAGCATACACTCAGGGGGCGACGTTTGTTCAACTGTCCCATTCTTAATTTTGATGGACCTCAGATGAGAGAGCGACATGATCATGGAATACCTTAACTGTCTTAAAAAACAGGACTGTGAAGTTTCAAACCACTGATTAAATAAAAATTAACATTGTTTTTAATGTGCACTATTACTTCATTGCCTCCTAACATACACAGTTTCACCAAGAATATTCAGAAAAGTCTATGAGTTATGTTTCCAGAAACAAACCTTGTTGTCTTGGAAAAGCAAGAACTAAACAACTGTATTTGACGTAATAAGCGCCCTGTTCTAATAAGCGCCCACGGCAATATTTGCTGCTATATATTGGCTAGTGAACAATCCTTCAACCCTTCCGATTGATCAATGTACTGAAGACAGGGTTCGCGGGGTAAACCTTGGCTCCCCAAACTTCATGAAGAATTTCCCTAAAATGCGTGTTAATGCAGATAAAGTGACAAGTAAACTGTTGAGATTTAATTCCCAGTCGCACCCCTTCAGTAAATTCAGGTAAACGAACAGTTGATAATAAATGAACTTAGTCAATACAAATGTGAAATTTGAAGTAAAACATCACAAGACATGATTTACCGATTAAATTGTCGGATCCCAATGACAGCAGCATATCAAGGAATCACTGCACTTAGATACCGCAGTGGCTGTGTATACTTACTGACACCAATGTCCTCTCTATATACTTACTGACACCAATGTCCTCTGTATATACTCACTGACACCAATGTCCTCTCGGAGAACTTAGATACCACAGTGGCTGTATATACTCACTGACACCAATGTCCTCTCGGAGAACTTAGATACCACAGTGGCTGTATATACTTACTGACACCAATGTCCTCTGTATATACTTACTGACACCAATGTCCTCTGTATATAATTACTGACACCAATGTCCTCTCTATATACTTACTGACACCAATGTCCTCTCGGAGCCAATCAGAGCCATCAAACCATTCAGTGTGGACACCTTCTGTCTTGGCGGGGTTTCCTGTACACAACAGAACTTTATTGTTATTGGTGGAAAATACAGAGCTTGACTGAGGTTTCAAATGTTAATTTTAGCACCATCAAATCTACTACTAACATCTGACATCATAGTCCATGATAGAGACGTGTTCAATTTCAAACCATCTTGTATGTGTTCATAAAACACTCTAAAATATGTTTTCTGCATCAAAAGTTGTCACACAATGAACATTCTACAACCTTGGCACCGTTCCACAAAGTGATCTTAGAGCTGCGACTATCGTAAGCCAGTGTTAAAGTATGGGAGTTACCATCACCTTAGCGCTAAGATGGCTTTGTGGAGTCTACATTTTGTGACCTATAATATTTAATGCCAGAAGAAATCAGGATTGAAAAGAAATATTTCTGTTGTGATGCAATAACTTGAATTAGATGCATATTATTCAAGAATTGACTTTCACTTTGTGTGAGTTTAGTGAAATATGAACCTTCACAGAGTGAGGGCCAAACCGTATGAACGTCGGGGCTTGCAACACAATGAACTCACACAAAGTGAAGTTCAATTCTTATTATTTTTATATCACTATTCTACACATCGAGGTATGTATTACACAATTTCATTTAGCATATGTGACTTCATGTTTACACTGACAGCTTTACTATAACCAGCCGTAACACAGAATAAAATAGTTCATCGAAAGGAGAGGCAACATGAGCATATGTATGCTCAACTTGCTCTACAGGAACATCTTTTGTAGTATGGGAAAAAAAATATATCATCATTAGGTGAGAAAAATCTCTCAAGAACTACCTCAGTAAGTCAGTCACAGTGACAGCAGGTAGTAATACATCTAGATGAAGTATGGGACGTTAGTATGGGGGACATGATAAACATGACGGGAGATATTTCTGAAGTTGTTCCTTAACCTGTGGCGATTACAAGTGTAAGACATCATTGATTAATTGGCTGATCATTAAAAGGTAATTATAAAAATGTGTCAAATAAGTACTTAGGTAACTTTATAGATTTTGTTGTGGGCTGTCACTTGTGTGTCAGACACAGATCAAGTGCATAGTTTGACTTGATCATTTCTTCATTTTGTTCATTAGGATGGGTTGAAGTGAGGATATTCTTGAACGGGCTTTCAGTCAAGCCCTCTGACTTATCCCATGCTAAACCACTAAGTTCAAGATAATAAGGTCAAAATGATTGGAAAATAGCCTTCTGTATCTATTTGTGCTAGGGAATTCCCAGGGGTTTCCCCAGGAATGTGGAAGTTGTCCATCAGTGTTTACCACATCTCAAGAATACAGTCTCATGAAAAATGCATTACGTCAAATATGACGTTCATACACTTATGAACGTCAGTTTTCGCATTCATGTGTCCAACATGTATCGGGTAAAACTTCACATTTAAAAATTATTTTGAGTTGAATCCTCTAATTCACCAAAGTCATTGCAAAATACATCCAAAGAAATTCAAACATCCACATCTTCCTCTAAAAACTGTTAACCAGCCACCAAGTAGTAGAAACAATGAACACTTCACCCTACCTCTGATGCAAGACCTTTCAGCCAATCATGAACCAGCTTTGTCCGCAGCTGACCAATAGTTGGATGTCCCACTTTACTGAGGTTGTAACACAAGGCCCCCAGTGCCAGACAGACACCTGTTACCTGCAGACAGTACTGGTTATTATTGAGGAGGAAATCATCCAGGGTATATAGACCATGTATACCACATCACTTTGTTACCTGCAGACAGTATTAGTTATTATTGTGGAGGAAATCATCCAAGGTATATAGACCATGTATACCACATCACTTTGTTACCTGCAGACAGTATTAGTTATTATTGTGGAGGAAATCATCCAGGGTATATAGACCATGTATACCACATCACTTTGTTACCTGCAGACAGTGTTGGTTATTATTGTGGAGGAAATCATCCAAGGTATATAGACCATGTATACCACATCACTTTGTTACCTGCAGACAGTGTTGGTTATTATTGTGGAGGAAATCATCCAGGATATATAGACCATGAAAACCACATCACTTTGTTACCTGCAGACAGTACTGGTTATTATTGTGGAGGAAATCATCCAAGGTATATAGACCATGTATACCACATCACTTTGTTACCTGCAGACAGTATTAGTTATTATTGTGGAGGAAATCATCCAGGGTATATAGACCATGTATACCACATCACTTTGTTACCTGCAGACAGTGTTGGTTATTATTGTGGAGGAAATCATCCAAGGTATATAGACCATGTATACCACATCACTTTGTTACCTGCAGACAGTGTTGGTTATTATTGTGGAGGAAATCATCCAGGATATATAGACCATGAAAACCACATCACTTTGTTACCTGCAGACAGTACTGGTTATTATTGTGGAGGAAATCATCCAGGGTATATAGACCATGTATACCACAGCACTTTGTTACCTGCAGACAGTGTTGGTTATTATTGTGGATGAAATCATCCAGGGTATATAGACCATGTATACCACAGCACTTTGTTACCTGCAGACAGTACTGGTTATTATTGTGGAGGAAATCATCCAGGATATATAGACCATGTATACCACATCACTTTGTTACCTGCGGACAGAACTGGTTATTATTGTGGAGGAAATCATCCACGTTACATAGACCATGCATAACTCATATTCATTGTGAAAATGTTACATATAGACATGTTGTGGTATACGAGACATATCTTTACCTCTGGGTTCTGTGCATGTGCCCGAGTGAGACTGTCCACCACAGCACCGACTCTCTCAATCTGGAGGATGTTGGCGGAGAATGCTCGGCCACTGATGCAGGAGACTGCGACACAGACGGCCTGAAATACAGACATTGTCAGCAACCCGAAACCATGCAACATCATCAGGGGAAGACAAGAATTTGATCCATGATTACAATAAAAACATTATCCTCAGTCCATTGATTGTCAGTTTTTATTACTCTCCCTGACATTAAATTACTGGACTATTTTATCCAAATGAAAATCACAATATGCTGACAGCAAAATGACTTCATCATGACTTCCCATTCCCATAATTTGTGTCATGTTTTTCATGACCCTGCCTCAGTTCCAGGTATAGTGTGTCACACAAGACTCTCCAGATTTACTCAAAGTGGTAAAACAATTGTTTTATGATCCTCCTATAAATCAAATGTCACCTGATATGAGGAGTCTGTGGATGGCGTTTCCTCCATCAACATGGTCAGCTTGTCGTGCACTGCAGACACGTGGGCCCTTGACTCGGTCTTCCCCTCCTCACACAACCCACTCACAGCCAGACCCACACCCAGCAGACATCCGGATCTACAGCAGTCACAGGGCAACATCGTTTCAGATAAACCAGGAATCTCTTCTCATTTGTGCTCATAATTTGTGAATATACTCGCCGCCAAAGAAACGCAAACCATAGAAACATAGAGAGAAGTATGTACATTTGTTTCAATGTATACCAATTAATGACAAAACAAAAAATCAGTCAGGTGTTACCACAGTGTCTCTATTCTTATCACAATATGCTGCACATGATTTCCAAACTTTGCACGCTAATCCTGCACGAGACAAATGGTCTCGAGTCATGGATCCATGACGTCACATGTGATGTGTTCATGATGTTTGTTTGTTTGTTTGTGCGTCCAACCAATCTAATATCTCTTGAATATGAGTAATTCTTCATATATTAACCAACATGTATCGTAATCGCGTTTCTTTTGTCAGTGAGTATTTACACCCTTACAAACAAAAACGTCTCGAAAAGATGCATTGAAATGTCTCTACAAACAGAATATACCATCTCAAAAGGGTCTTGAAAATATAATTACATTTTTTAAGATGCTTCCACAACTTCTCCAAAACCATACTATTTCCAGCAATGCTTCCAAATAGTCACTGGACGAGCAAAGCTTTATTCCATATTCGTGACAGTGTTAGAACCAGCTAGGCCTAATTGTAAGGATGTGTCCACACCATCTTCCCAACTCTCACAGAGATGCTTCCAGACATAGCATCTGACCATCTAAATACTGACCAACTTTGATTGCCATCAATCTTAATGTATACAGTGTTATTGATTCTGGTAACAACCTGAACATGTTTTCATCCGGAAACTGGTAACACATGAATTCTAGACATATCATGTAACGTTTGACATTCTAAATATTAACCAAGTTGGATGGTGATCACACTTGATCAGTGTCTAACTAGGGACTAACCATACAGTACAGAAAGTTTTGTTAAGATCCATCAAGATCTGTCAAAGGTACCTTAGAAACCAAAATACGACAAACAATATGTATTATGTAATCTATTTTCCTTGTCAAGCCGATTATATTCCTTCACCTGAGAGCATTAGAATTCTTGCGATTATTATTAATGATCTTTGATTATCTCACCTGTTCTCCAAGTCCTTGGACAAACAGCAGCTTTCTAACATGTCCATGGTCTTCCATATGTCAATCATGCCCTGTGTCAAGTACAGCAAGCACAAGTGTTTCAGAGGCATTTAGAAGTTGCAAGAACAGGAATACATCACACCTTTTTATGGATAATAACTTCATCTTTCACCTGTAGCCCTGAAACCTTAGCCAGAAACAAAATGTCATGGCTTACGTAATTTACCTATATCAGGATCTAATGTGCCTTCCCAGCTAACACACTACGTTTTCACAACGTTGTGGTAAAGTTGTGAATTGGTAACGTAGTGATACAACGTTGTCACAACGTTATTATTACGTCACTGTGCAACGTCGTTTCACAACGTAATAACAACGTTACATTTTTACGTTGTGAAAACGTTGTTCATCGAATATTTCCCAACGTCTTGTTACATCGTTCCTGAAACGTTGGTGCGACGTCAACTGTCGCCTTAACGAAAATTGTATGAACAAAAGTTTTACATACTAATCGACACAATTTCTGCCAAAAACAAGGCAGTAATTCATTATTTACCTATATCTTCGGAATCAGGATTTCCATCTCGTAAATAAACTAAAGTCTGTGTAAACACCTTATTATCACGTCACTCCAACGTTATGTGACAACGTAATCACAACGTAGCAAAATTACGTTGTGGAAACGTTGTGCATCGGGCGCCATGCAACGTTATGATGACAACGTTTCTCATACGTTGGTGCGACGTCAAATAGTCTTCATCGCGAAAAGCGTAAAAACAAAGGTGTTTACTCGAAATAAACTACATTTTGGCAGAAAATTACAATAATGTTAGATTTGGTTTTCACTTTTCAGCAACCCGTGCTTGTCGTAAGAGGCAATTAAACAACAAACAATGACAATAACATTTTCGCCATACATGCATGATTCGCACTTCCATCGTTGTTGAAAGGTTGTGGATTGGTAACGTCGTGATATAACGTTGTAACAACGTTATTTTAACGTCGACCTGCAACGTTATTTCACAACGTAATAACAACGTTGCACATTCACGTTGTGAAAACGTTGTGCATTGGACATCACACAACGTTTTGTAACTACGTTTCTGAAACGTCGGTGAAACGTTATTGAGTTTGCTTCTCGATAGAATAGAATAGAAGGAATAGAACTGCTTTATCAAAATCAACATGAATTTGTCAGAAAACCAAGTTAGTAATGCATTACCTTTCTATATATTCGGCATTTGAATTTTTTATCTCTTAATACTAATATTTCGAGAACGTAATTGCGTATATCTGTGACAACGTTACAACAACGTTGCAAATTAACGTTGTGATAACGTTGTGTTTTGGACATTACAGTACTTTTTGTAAATGATGTTTAGGAAACCACTTGTAGATCTACCATCTCTTAGTGTTATTTTTTTTTAAACATATATATCTATTAACGAACTAAATGTTGTCACAAGCAATATTACAGTTAAAAACAATTGGCGCGTATTTTTTGCGGCGTGAGAGCGACTGCAGAAAAGTTTAGCCTGTTGCCTCGTGAAGTGACGTCAGAATGACGTCACATTGTCGCGGAAGATTTGTTGTCACCAGCCATCTTAGCTCAAACTCACTCTGGACATAATATATTACAAGCAAGTGATTGTGCAGCAACTGGAACTGGACAGATGATCTGTGAATTCGATTGAGGTAAGTTAATTTTTCAAAAATAGTCTCCGCTTGTTGATATGTTTCTGTGCATGCAGTGCGTCAAATGATCTAAATGTATCGTATTATTCAGAAGTGGCAGGATTAAGAATGCAGTTTGCCGGTCATTTTCACTGAGCGTCAGTGTTGATATTAATATGATACACAGAACTTGATGATAGAGGTGAAGGGGGCCCAAGACTTTTTTCCATATTATTATTTTATGGATACCAAGGGTAATTGCCAAGGGCAAGCGGTATATTTTTGACCAGAATTCAATCTGGTGGCGTTTTGTGGCCGTCATATTATGTTCGGGTTTCGTTCGTAAGCGTGTAGATTTGTAAATAGGCCTAACTTATGCATCGCCTACTGACCGCACTGACAGTTATCGCCATTTCTTCTGTGTTATTTCTGAAATCATTACTATTTAAAGTTTACATGTACTAATCTTCTGACTTTGATTTTTGTGCAACAATGTGGCTCATCCAGGCCATGGGAAAGGTTAAGTAGATTTCTCTTATACAGCGAAAATGTTGCTGCTGTCTATAAAGTTTATCATAGCAAGGTGCTTATCATGTGTATTTTTATTATTTCCGAAAAAAGAATCAATTCATCATTTTCCGATAACTAGATCTATGTCCGACTCCTTTCTAATGAAAACGAGCAAAAGTAAAACGAGTCTCTCGTCGCGCGCTATAACGGGGTGTTTGCGGTATTGTCCTCTCTGGTGATGATAAGCTAGTCGATAGTCAAAAGTTAAATATCACCATATATTGTCAGTGAGTTGGTCATCGTTTGTTGATGATTAAAGTGAGATAGGTGTAGCCAATGTGCACCAATGAAAAATACAATGGAATTGATAGCAACCATATTCTTTCGGTTTTCGATCTGCATATGTTGCCACGTAGGCTACCATACTACAGAATTATATTTAACGATATTTAACTGTATTAGATCTATGTTAATAAACGTAGTGACAAATAAATTTCAATAAATATTTAGAGCTGTTTCAACTTCGTCTGGTATTGTATAAGCTATTGCATTTTGTTTATTTCCCCATGTTTCTAATCTTTGTAAATGTTAGAACATATATAACTATCCTGGCATATTAATATGGAAAATATTAAGGTAGATCTAAGTATTAAAAAAAATCACAGTTTTAATTAGGATAAATACCCCGAAGTGTTAACACTTTTATCACTTATTGGTGGGCCAATTCATAATTCATATTCAACATTCTTGCTTCAAATATGGGAACTATTTATTTTATTTGGCAATATATATTTTTCATTTATGTACATATTTTTCAAATAAGGTTTTAGAAACTTGGCCATGATATTCACTTGAATCACTAGTTTGAGTGTACAGCAGAAAGGTAAAGTTACTGCTTTTGAAAAACTACAGTTGATCTGTTGACTGATAAAACTATTTGCCAATATTACTATCAGTTACATCATACTCTATTAGTCTAAGTAAATGGGATTTATCTATACAGTACTGGTTTATTTAAGAATGTGATAATTTGTGGTTTCTGTTTTTCTTTCAGGTGGAGAAAACAGTATTGTGGGAGCGTATTTGTTTAAAGTACATATCACTGACAGAAAGGTATGTCTGATTCAATAATATATACAAACATCTTCAAGAATTAAAATTTAGATGATTCTTATTTAATTATACCCACAATCTAAAAGGGCGGGGGTATAAAGTTACACCAATGATTCAGTGCTAAAAGCTTTTCTGCTTATGTATGATCCAAGAGCATCATGGTATTAGTGTCAGCGCCTTCACACTTTCAGCAGTTTTTAACAGTTTAAAGACTGACATCAGACATCAAAACATTATTTTGGGGAATGCAACCGTCATTTTGTTATGTCAGAAATATGTCCCTTGCCTTGCCATTTTATAACATTTGTGTCATTTTTTATTCAGTTACCAAGGCATAAGGAGAGACTGAGGATACAGTTGAAGATCATCCCTGTGACTTTTCATTTGAGGACTGAAAAGGCTCCCCAGCAACTCAGCCCATGTTCTGACTTGTCATTTAACAAATAAATAAAGGTCACCTCAACCAGAATTCTATTGTCATTTCGTTTACCTAATGGATCTTAGGACATCAGATGCATAGACTATTCTGTTGGTCACAGTGTTGCTCTCAATGCTGAATGTATGAGGTAAGGCCAAGAAAATTTAAATGTTTCAATTTGTGCAGGGCTTATTGTTTGATGGTTTTTAATTTGCAAATTCGTGGGAAAATCCAATATCTTTTAATTGTGTTGAAACATTTGTGAACAATTTGCACATAGCCTTGAAAATTGTTTTGGAAAATGAATATTATATTACCAAATTGTACATGTAATTTAAAACATTTAGATTTATATCTTGGCCGTATTTCAAACTCTGCCAAAAGAGAGTGCATTTCATTGACTTGCTGTTTCATGGATAGGGTTAAAGTGAATTCAGTTTGCAGAATGTATTTCTTGGTACCTGACGTCTTAACTAGATTGGTACAAACTTTTCAGGCTGCCTGGGAGGTATTGAGGAATAAAACAGGCGTTAATCTACATGGACATTGCAACAACGTGCTGCAATGCCTGCAGTGTCGCCATATGTAAACAGTATGCGATACCTACGTTGTCGCGACGTAAAAAATGGACGTTGTGACAACGTCTTGATTTGGTTGTATTTTGGTTTACGCACAACGTTGTAGCAACCAATCTGGGAGTCTACAGAATTACGTTGTGACAACGTAACATCACAACGTTGTAGCAACGAAAAGTAAACGTTGTCACAACGTTGTAACAACGTAGAATTGTTGGCTGGGTACGTTGTCGCGACGTTTTGGTTAAACGTTGTAGCAACGTAAAAAATGGACGTTGTGACAACGTCTTGATTTGGTTGTATTTTGGTTTACGCACAACGTTGTAGCAACCAATCTGGGAGTTGTGACAACGTAACATCACAACGTTGTAGCAACGAAAAGTCAACGTTGTCACAACGTTGTCACAACGTAGAATTGTTTGCTGGGTTATTGTATACAGTAAATTACGTTTATAAGGAACATGCTTATAATGAACTGATGGATATAACAAACTTACTTTTTTTGTCCAAACTATTTGCTGTAGTTATGCTGTATATATGATCATAACAAGCTACGGTTATAACAAACTAAAATGAGTGGTCCCTTTGAGTTCGTTATAAGAGTAGTTTACTGTATATACATTTTGCATACTACTTTCTAGATGAATGAAACTATTTTAAGACTCCATTTTGCACTTCATTTGCATATCTGGTTGTTTCTTAGCACCAGACTCTTCATTCACTATTCCAGCTGTTTAACATCAGCTTGTAAACAATCATGCCGTGCCAGGACTAAACAGTGATTGATATGATGAGCAACTATTCGGGTACAATGACATGCAATCAACCAAGTCCCCAAACCTGACCTCTCAATCCATTAAGTCGCATCTCCGAACAGCATAGGCTGCTAGGGATCTATTCTCATTCAGAATCCCCACAGGGTTTTAATTCATAATTCATTGCAGTAAATGATTTAGTTTTCCTAACCCCAACTGATTTAGACAACTGTCTATCTTACAAGGGTAACCACTCAGGTCTCCTAAATCCTACAGGAACTAGTTCCGTGTGCATGACCACCCTATACCACAAGACAATCGAGTTGCAGCTGTAAGCCCACACATCGATCATTTCAAAATGTTTCCATTTGCTTTTTCAAAATGTATACTGTAAATCTTGAAATTAACACGAGCGTGAATTAGTTGCGAAAAATGCGAGTGGTCTTTGCTCGCATTAACTAGACATCTATGTCTCCAAAATGACCATCAGCAATAAGACGGCCTCACTGCACACTTTGGGTAGCAGAAATACCAACTTGAATATACCAATCAGTGAACTGTTGTTGATTCAGTTATTTGATTGTCTTTGAACTTTCTTATTTCCAGTCAACAGAATATACATATAAACTGTGTGTTGATTTGAGAGAAAACAGTCTGTTTATTGTTTTTACGGATGTGCTCTACTCAGCGCTAATAAACAGTGCTATTTGCTGTTTGATTGGATTAAGGTCAGGTTGGATTAAGGTAAGGATATGTATCATTCCATTGGGGATTGGCAGGAAGTTGCATTAATATTGAGTCACATTTTTGGCTAGAGATCAGCAGACGTATTAATTTCGAGACGTATTAATTTCAAGATTTACAGAATCTACTTTAACAACAACCTGTCTCAATAATCCTCAATTCTTTTTAACAAACTCAATGTGGTAAGATCTGGTGGAACACAGTACAATGATGTTATGTTATATTGCTACTCCACAGCTGCCTAAAGCATTACCTGCAGCAGAAAAGGCTAAGCAGAGTTTCAATCTAATTAAGGCTTAAAAAAAAAGAATTGGTTCTCAGGCATTGGCTTTACAAAAATATAGTGCGTTAGGGCGGTGTTTTGGGGGGTTTTGTCTTGTAATTTTGTGGGTTGTTCGAAGTACTATGAAACCGAATAAACAGTTATTTAACCAAATACAGTTGTTTAACTGTTGTATTAATCAACCTGGGAAAGGGCCTCCCTACATAAATGTATTCCTTGGCACCATAGGAGGTCATGTCAGATGAAATTGTCAGCCAATCAATGTTGAGGCTTCAAAGTCACTGTACGAGCAAGCACATCATTCAGGGTATCATGTTCCAAAAAACAGTTTGAATTGGAAATATAAAAGGTGGTACAGTTAGATTGTTGTAGATATTTGATCCATTATGACGTATCGGAGTGCCGTGTCACCTGCATCCAAAAGCAGTTCAACTGAAGGAAGTTTTGTGTTTTGTGTCAAGATGGTAACAAATAAAGATGAATCATAACAGAAAGCTGCCATCTGATTGGCTCAAGCATCCTTTATTTGGGCAGCCAAAATTTGCTCAGGATTCACCAAACTGACCTCGTCTGAAAGGTTTGTGAGGTCTTTATATATAGAGTAATCATATTTGAGTAAACAATCTTATCTACATGTTTAAGAAGCAGAATCCTCCATTATCTATATCATGACAGCATCCGACATTCATAGACACCAAACTGCTTACACAAACACACTCATTGTCCACTGAATCGTCAGGTGTCTCACCTTAGCTCCCCCAACATCAGAAATGTGTTCTTCAAACAGTCTGCCCAAGAACATTCCCAGTCCCAGGCCATAGTGGAACTGAAGAACTGGCGATTCCTCACATCCTGGTTGCCCTGGCAACCTGTCAGTTGCCATTGAAATAACCTGGTAGATTCTATCTGAATCCATAGTGATGAAGATGGGCACGAGCTGTGAGAGGGCCACACAGGCAGAGGACCTGGCCAGAAGACTGGCGGGGAGTTTGTCACCAGCCGTTCTCTGCAAGAAGCAATACATGGAAACAGTGTTCTAAATAGATATCGCCCCGTGGGGTCATGGCCTTCATTTGTTCTCGGGCTGATAGTTTTATGTTTCAGCAGGCCATTACCGTCTGCAGTTTATTTAAGTAATTTGTTATTACTCCTTGCAATTGGGATACGATGACATGCATCAACCAAGCCATTGAGCCTGACCACCCGATCCCGTTAGTCGCCTCTTATGACAAGCATAGTGGCCTTTTACGGCAAGCATGGGTTGCTGAAGACCTATTCTACCCCTGATCTTCAAGGGTCCAGAGTGTTTTGAGTCCCATCAAACACAACTATTGACCATTACACATTACCTCCATGTTATCAGTCCAGCGTGACAACAGCACAAGGACCTACAGTATTTCAGGTTGGTTTGTTTGGCTGTGAGTTTAACGCCACAAAATTCCAGCTATATGAAGGCAGCCTGTAAATAATCCAGTCTGGACCAGACAAGCTATCAACTGTGTCACAGAACCTGACCAATCGATTCACTATATTGCCTCTAGCAAACAGCAAAGCCTGCTGAAGACCAAATTTAACCCGGAAAATTACCAAATGGATTTAATCTTTTTAGCATCATGGCAGATTTAATGTTTGAAAGGACGGACACCTATCAAAGGCTAAACCATACCATCCTATTTAAATACCCTGTAATCCACCTGATCTTATCTCAGTTAAATTTGAATTACGTCATAAGAATTTACATTTCTGTTTGTCATCTAATATTTTAATTTCACTTTTTTTTTTAACTTAACTGTAATAACATTCACATAATAGTGCATAATTGAAAGCAGTTCTTTGGGAACAGCACCGTATATGACCGTAGATAAGTCGAATTTTGAGGACCAGAAAAAAGATTCTGTAGAAAGGGGTCGGCCTATGTAAAGGTTACACTTTCATCAAACTATTTTTCTGTTGGTAAAACAAAGCTACATTGTATCGCTTCAGGTGAACGAAAAGATATACAATGAACCCTAGTTATGACCAGATAGTGTAACGACAGGATTAATTTGCATAATTCGATACTGATTGTTGATGATCTATTTCCGACGACGGATCATGACGAGACATAGTTTTAGGTTGGTGGTCCGGCTTATCTACCACACATAACATTTTGATACAGATATCAAGGACAAAGATAATACCTCGGCTTAACTTTGAGATCAGCTTATCTAGGGTTATATATGGTATGTTGGTTGTATTACAAGCTTCTATACGGGCAGAAAGACCAATTGTATATAAGTGTATGTTAGTTCTGGGAGCAAGGTTAAATATAGAATCTTCAGTATAGAAGCTGTCATCCACAACATGGCTTTGCTATTCACCTGTAAACTCCTACAAAGTCAAGCTGCTACTATGACAATCTCATTAAAATCAGATCTAAGTTCTCGCTGCCGCTAAACAAAGATCTGAGGACATTCCATTACGGGTCACGTCAGACTGCTACTATGATTATTCCTAAGACCATATATCAGACCAGTCATGGAAAATGTAATAGATTTTTTCAAAAACATCACCTGTTGACACAAGCCAAGGATCTTCCCTTTTGGCTTGAATGAGACTTCCATCAAACACATGATGGTATCCATGGCGACAGTCAGCCAATGAGAATGACTGAGATGTTGACACGTGTCTTCAGCAGCTTTCAGCGACTCCTCGTCCAGACCGGTAGCGTGTCGTGATGCAGACACTGCGAGGCCAGCCAGTGCCAGGACTGAGTTCCCTTGCCTTGTAGGATTGCCTCTGTGGAATCAGGGAGAAGTCATTATTGCAGCTTGTTCGGAGATGAAACTAATTGATGTACTCACATTCTCTTACCTTACTTCAGGTTCTTTCAGTACCCTTGCCACATTTTTCACAGATTCTTGAAAAACCATTAATGTGTAGCTGACTATTTTTCAGTTTATTTCTCATAAAATTGTTTCGGTCATTTTGGTTTAGTGAAAAAGATATCAAGTTCAGGATTATTAATATTCAGGTGAGCTATAAGCTTGCCATGTCGGGCAGGTGAAACCACTTTTACTTACCTGGATGCTGTCTTTATGAGATCTGCAATGGCATCTCTAACCCTGTGACAAACAGAATAATCTGATGGTGAGGATGAAATATTGCTGAAGGGGTCGTTGTCGGCACAGGTACTGCTGATATATACCTTAGCCAAAATCGGAATACAGAAAGGTACCCAAGGATGAGTCCATTACCAGTTCCTTGAACACTTACGTATACAACACGTCCTGGATGCCAAACTGCGGTAAAATTCTTAAGAATGAAATGCATGCCAGTGTGCTTCATAAGAAACGATCAACCACAGTGACATACGTACATTACTCTAATATTCCATGACGAACAGCATTATCCAGCATGCACTCGTCATTAGGCGAACCTGAACTACAATATGAACCAGTTTGGTTTCGGGTTGGGGAATATGGATTTGTCTGCCATTTAGGGTACCAGGTATCTTTCTGTATTCTGATGTTGGCTAGGGTACATATCTGTAGTATCTGTTAAATCTATAGCCAGATACACATACAAGTAACATGTTTCGGAAATTGAATATTTGAAGAATTACAGCCACGTGAACAGTCATATCCATCAATCAAACTTCAATTTAAACCAAAAAACGTGAATTACCGTTAAATATTAAATAAGGATTTGTGTCTTGTCAGCACTATTACAACGAAACATTATAACATGAAAGTCTGAAAATGGTCCAGACAACCAACTGCGACATCCTGTCAATGATTTTGTCACCTCCAACAACAAGAATGGATACTGAAGGTTTGATGTGTATGATAGCTGGAAGAGATAAATGGAGAGCCATGGCTAACTTATTTGTGAGAAACTAAAGATAAAAATTACCAAAGCCATGCTGTGTCCTGGGCTAGCTTGGCATCACTGGATTCAATATCTCCTCTCTTTATTTCCATCTCTAGATCAGCTTTCTTGGCCTGTAATGATAATATGAATGACTGGATTGTAATTGGCAGGTGGGGAGATAATTCATGGTCATACAAGAGTTATCTCCCCTTGACCATTATCACAGTAACAGATTTTTAAAGCCAAACTTGATTGATGAAATTGAATGTACCAGCCTTGATAAATAATGTTGTAAATGAACCTGAATTACCCAAATTATGAGAATTATCAGAATCATATAATGAACCATTTTATATTTCTACAGTGAAAACCCATTAGTCGTCCATTAGATCAGAAACCTAGCGCTTGATCTTTATTTCAGAGATGCTTTTCTAAGTCAGATGGCTGTTCCCATTGAAATCGTCTGGATTAACAATTTTTTTGATAAACAAATCATGCAGTGCTTCAATTTGTTCCCAGTAATCCTCCTTTGGGATTTCCGATTCCACAAAGAGGCCAGAGTATCCCTGTTTTCCTGTGTACATTAGGAGTGAGTGAGTGAGTATGGTTTTATGCCGCTTTTAGCAATATTCCAGCACTATCACCAGAAATGGGTTTCACAAATTGTACCCATGTGGAGAATCGAACCGGGACTTCAGCGTGACGAGCGAACACTTTAACCATTAACCTATCCCACTGCCCCTGTGTACATTAGGAGTTTAGGTGAGTGAGTGAATATTGCTACATGTGACATCAGTATGTTTGCAGCAGTTTGCAGTTTATATACATTAGTATATTTCTCTGTACCAACGAAACATTGATGACGGAATGTGTTTTTAACCTCTCCTGAACTTACCATGTTTTTCAGTGCCCCTTTCTGAGTCCCACAGTAATTTATCAGTTACTATACAAAAAACTAAATATTATGTAATATAAAACATTCAAAACAAAATAAAAGGTAAATTCAGTGTCCAATTAATAAACGTAAAACACTCACCTCCAACATGGCTGTGAAAAGTCTGTCCACAAAGGAGGTCCAGGCTTGGGGCATGAGCATACATCGGTGCCACTCCGAGGGCTGCACCGGCACCTGAAGCACATACATGCTCAGTAGTGAGGCAGAACACATACATACATGCTCTGTAGTGAGGCAGGACACATACATACATGCTCTGTAGTGAGGCAGGACACATACATACATGCTCCGTAGTGAGGCAGAACACATACATACATGCTCCGTAGTGAGGCAGAACACATACATACATGCTCAGTAGTGAGGCAGAACACATACATACATGCTCCGTAGTGAGGCAGAACACATACATACATGCTCCGTAGTGAGGCAGGACACATACATACATGCTCCGTAGTGAGGCAGAACACATACATACATGCTCCGTAGTGAGGCAGGACACATACATACATGCTCCGTAGTGAGGCAGGACACATACATACATACTCCGTAGTGAGGCAGAACACATACATACATGCTCCGTAGTGAGGCAGAACACATACATACATGCTCCGTAGTGAGGCAGGACACATACATACATGCTCCGTAGTGAGGCAGAACACATACATACATGGTCTGTAGTGAGGCAGAACACATACATACATGCTCCGTAGTGAGGCAGAACACATACATACATGCTCCGTAGTGAGGCAGGACACATACATACATGCTCCGTAGTGAGGCAGAACACATACATACATGCTCCGTAGTGAGGCAGAACACATACATACATGCTCCGTAGTGAGGCAGAACACATACATACATGCTCCGTAGTGAGGCAGAACACATACATACATGGTCTGTAGTGAGGCAGAACACATACATACATGCTCTGTAGTGAGGCAGGACACATACATACATGCTCTGTAGTGAGGCAGAACACATACATACATGCTCCGTAGTGAGGCAGGACACAAACATACATGCTCCGTAGTGAGGCAGAACACATACATACATGCTCTGTAGTGAGGCAGAACACATACATACATGCTCCGTAGTGAGGCAGGACACATACATACATGCTCCGTAGTGAGGCAGAACACATACATACATGCTCCGTAGTGAGGCAGAACACATACATACATGCTCCGTAGTGAGGCAGGACACATACATACATGCTCCGTAGTGAGGCAGAACACATACATACATGCTCCGTAGTGAGGCAGAACACATACATACATGCTCTGTAGTGAGGCAGAACACATACATACATGCTCTGTAGTGAGGCAGGACACATACATACATGCTCCGTAGTGAGGCAGAACACATACATACATGCTCTGTAGTGAGGCAGGACACATACATACATGCTCCGTAGTGAGGCAGAACACATACATACATGCTCCGTAGTGAGGCAGAACACATACATACATGCTCCGTAGTGAGGCAGGACACATACATACATGCTCCGTAGTGAGGCAGAACACATACATACATGCTCTGTAGTGAGGCAGAACACATACATACATGGTCTGTAGTGAGGCAGGACACATACATACATGCTCCGTAGTGAGGCAGGACACATACATACATGCTCCGTAGTGAGGCAGAACACATACATACATGCTCTGTAGTGAGGCAGGACACATACATACATGCTCCGTAGTGAGGCAGAACACATACATACATGCTCCGTAGTGAGGCAGAACACATACATACATGCTCCGTAGTGAGGCAGGACACATACATACATGCTCCGTAGTGAGGCAGAACACATACATACATGCTCTGTAGTGAGGCAGAACACATACATACATGGTCTGTAGTGAGGCAGGACACATACATACATGGTCTGTAGTGAGGCAGAACACATACATACATGGTCTGTAGTGAGGCAGAACACATACATACATGGTCCGTAGTGAGGCAGAACACATACATACATGCTCCGTAGTGAAGCAGAACACATACATACATGCTCCGTAGTGAGGCAGAACACATACATACATGCTCCGTAGTGAGGCAGAACACATACATACATGGTCTGTAGTGAGGCAGAACACATACATACATGCTCCGTAGTGAGGCAGGACACATACATACATGCTCCGTAGTGAGGCAGAACACATACATACATGCTCCGTAGTGAGGCAGAACACATACATACATGCTCTGTAGTGAGGCAGAACACATACATACATGCTCCGTAGTGAGGCAGAACACATACATACATGCTCCGTAGTGAGGCAGAACACATACATACATGCTCTGTAGTGAGGCAGAACACATACATACATGCTCCGTAGTGAGGCAGAACACATACATACATGCTCCGTAGTGAGGCAGAACACATACATACATGCTCCGTAGTGAGGCAGAACACATACATACATGCTCTGTAGTGAGGCAGAACACAAACATACATGCTCCGTAGTGAGGCAGAACACATACATACATGCTCCGTAGTGAGGCAGGACACATACATACATGCTCCGTAGTGAGGCAGAACACATACATACATGCTCCGTAGTGAGGCAGAACACATACATACATGCTCCGTAGTGAGGCAGAACACATACATACATGCTCCGTAGTGAGGCAGGACACATACATACATGCTCCGTAGTGAGGCAGAACACATACATACATGCTCCGTAGTGAGGCAGGACACATACATACATGCTCCGTAGTGAGGCAGAACACATACATACATGCTCCGTAGTGAGGCAGAACACATACATACATGCTCCGTAGTGAGGCAGGACACATACATACATGCTCCGTAGTGAGGCAGAACACATACATACATGCTTAGTTGTGAGGCAGAACACATACATACATGCTCCGTAGTGAGGCAGAACACATACATACATGCTCCGTAGTGAGGCAGAACACATACATACATGCTCCGTAGTGAGGCAGGACACATACATACATGCTCCGTAGTGAGGCAGAACACATACATACATGCTCCGTAGTGAGGCAGAACACATACATACATGCTCCGTAGTGAGGCAGAACACATACATACATGCTCCGTAGTGAGGCAGAACACATACATACATGCTCCGTAGTGAGGCAGGACACATACATACATGCTCCGTAGTGAGGCAGAACACATACATACATGCTTAGTTGTGAGGCAGAACACATACATACATGCTTAGTTGTGAGGCAGAACACATACATACATGCTCCGTAGTGAGGCAGGACACATACATACATGCTCCGTAGTGAGGCAGAACACATACATACATGCTCCGTAGTGAGGCAGGACACATACATACATGCTCCGTAGTGAGGTAGAACACATACATACATGCTTAGTTGTGAGGCAGAACACATACATACATGCTCCGTAGTGAGGCAGAACACATACATACATGCTCCGTAGTGAGGCAGAACACATACATACATGCTCCGTAGTGAGGCAGGACACATACATACATGCTCCGTAGTGAGGCAGAACACATACATACATGCTCCGTAGTGAGGCAGAACACATACATACATGCTCCGTAGTGAGGTAGAACACATACATACATGCTCCGTAGTGAGGCAGGACACATACATACATGCTCCGTAGTGAGGCAGAACACATACATACATGCTTAGTTGTGAGGCAGAACACATACATACATGCTCCGTAGTGAGGCAGAACACATACATACATGCTCCGTAGTGAGGCAGAACACATACATACATGCTCCGTAGTGAGGCAGGACACATACATACATGCTCCGTAGTGAGGCAGAACACATACATACATGCTTAGTTGTGAGGCAGAACACATACATACATGCTCCGTAGTGAGGCAGAACACATACATACATGCTCCGTAGTGAGGCAGAACACATACATACATGCTCTGTAGTGAGGCAGAACACATACATACATGCTCCGTAGTGAGGCAGGACACATACATACATACATGCTCCGTAGTGAGGCAGAACACATACATACATGCTCTGTAGTGAGGCAGAACACATACATACATGCTCCATAGTGAGGCAGAACACATACATACATGCTCCGTAGTGAGGCAGGACACATACATACATGCTCTGTAGTGAGGCAGGACACATACATACATACATGCTCCGTAGTGAGGCAGAACACATACATACATGCTCTGTAGTGAGGCAGAACACATACATACATGCTCCGTAGTGAGGCAGAACACAAACATACATGCTCCGTAGTGACGCAGAACACATACATACATGCTCCGTAGTGAGGCAGGACACATACATACATGCTCCGTAGTGAGGCAGAACACATACATACATGCTCCGTAGTGAGGCAGGACACATACATACATGCTCCGTAGTGAGGCAGAACACATACATACATGCTCCGTAGTGAGGCAGGACACAAACATACATGCTCTGTAGTGAGGCAGAACACATAAATGCATGCTCCGTAGTGAGGCAGGACACATACATACATGCTCCGTAGTGAGGCAGAACACATACATACATGCTCCGTAGTGAGGCAGAACACATACATACATGCTCCGTAGTGAGGCAGAACACAAACATACATACATGCTCCATAGTGAGGCAGGACACATACATACATGCTCCGTAGTGAGGCAGAACACATACATACATGGTCTGTAGTGAGGCAGAACACATACATACATGCTCCGTAGTGAGGCAGGACACATACATACATGCTCCGTAGTGAGGCAGAACACATACATACATGCTCCGTAGTGAGGCAGAACACATACATACATGGTCTGTAGTGAGGCAGAACACATACATACATGCTCCGTAGTGAGGCAGAACACATACATACATGCTCAGTAGTGAGGCAGGACACATACATACATGCTCCGTAGTGAGGCAGAACACATACATACATGGTCTGTAGTGAGGCAGAACACATACATACATGCTCCGTAGTGAGGCAGAACACATACATACATGCTCCGTAGTGAGGCAGAACACATACATACATGCTCCGTAGTGAGGCAGGACACATACATACATGCTCCGTAGTGAGGCAGAACACATACATACATGGTCTGTAGTGAGGCAGAACACATACATACATGCTCCGTAGTGAGGCAGAACACATACATACATGCTCCGTAGTGAGGCAGAACACATACATACATGCTCCGTAGTGAG